CAATAATGATGATTATGGGCATGCCATAGAATAATTATTAATTTGCATGGGCGCCCAATGACACGCACATGGGATGCTATAGTGAGGTGATATTAATATCGATCAACTGCATTTAAATAGCAATTCTATTTTCGGCATTCGAAATGCCGCAAGATGGCAAATCCAACTCAACGAATTATTTATTTCCTTGGTTAATCAAAAAATCATACGTGTATATCAAGAGCAGATAAATTATTTTGACTTTTGCGATGGGTATTTAATTTGACAAGCTTGTAACTGTAAGCTGTAATCTTTAGTCTCTGAGAATGCATAAATAATTTTCTTAAGAAAAATTAGTAACGTCAAGATATTGGTACATTTTAATTAGGTAAATACCCTCTAGAAAAAGAAGACATATGTAGATGAAATCCAAACGAAATACAAAATTCAAACAAATTTATCAGTAATTTAAGAGGATTATCTGTAAGTAAAATACCTGAAACTCTAAAACCCGGGGCATCGGGTATTTATAACTTGACTTTGGAACGTCTTAATTTATGTAATTATTGTTTTAGCCCACAGTCAGTTGGTTGATATGCTTTGTTCATTGCCCCATTGTATTTGGCCAACAAAACGCATTGTTCTACTAACACACAGTACACACAAGAGCATGTGGCAGCCCCACCATGTGTGTGAGTGTGTGTGCTTGTTTAATATTTAAACAATAATTTGCCGTTCGTCTCTCCAGTGAGAGAGCCTGCAAGGGAGAGGAACATGTCCATGCAAAAATTTGGGTCATGGTGAGCATTTGTTATGATTATTATTAACCCAGTTGTTGTAGTTGTAGTTGGCATTGTTGCTCTGCTCCCAAAATGGGTATTAGACAACTTCACACGCAAATTTCACAGCTTTTGAACAATAAATTAGGCACGAAAAGAAAAACATAACCAATGCAATGCACAGTGAGAAACATACCATTAAATAAAATAGATAAATAAAAGAGAGTTTACTATTTAAAGATAAAGTCATATATTTGGAATATTTTTATTGTAATTACCAAGTTTTAGATTAAGTTTTAAATAACTTTTTATTTAAATTTATGTCCTTGATAGGGACCACATGACGTATGAGTAATATATATTTGGTACTGGCCCACATGACGTATGAGCAATATATTTAGCTCTAGCTCACAGGACATATGAGTAATCATCTTAATTTTCTGGGAAATCATTAAAACCATTAAAGAATGAATGAATCTTTTGCTTGCTCAACTGCATGGCTCATTGAGTGCACACATAAGTAATTTCATTCCGACTCATTATCTCGTTTGATTTGATTTGTCGTTAATCTAAACATAACAAAGCTCAAAGACTCACACACTCTCAATCGCAAGTCGAACAGTCACTCGTGAGGTGTGTGTGTGCGGCAAGGACAAATACTAAAAGGAGGCGACGGCAACAGCTGACAGAAATTTTCATCCCATCCCATCCTTCTGAGTCTGGTTTTCCACTTGGAAATTTTCACGCGCCGCCAAGCTCAGCCGTCGTTTGCGAAATATTAACGAAATTAGTTAAATACCAGAAAAATGCATTTAAAATCGAGTTTAATCCTCCGGCGTGAAAACTCTCTCGCCCACGTAAAAGCCCAATAAACTGGGAGCGTGAAAGTTTTTCTCGTCTCTGGAAAAAAAGTTTGGAGAACTCAAGGTAACTGAAATGGTTTGAAATATGGAAGTAACTTGTTCTGGGGCATGCCCATGTGAGGATTATTAAGTCACATGAGCTGCAGGTGTTGCATAACAATTGAAAGTTGAGGAAAACTGAAAAAAGAAAATGAATAAAATATGTATAGCTGATGAAATGGTTTGAATTGTTTTACCATAAAACAAAATAATGATATTCTATAACTCCACATATGTATGATAATTATATTATTTAAAAAGTACAAAATAAATATAATTTAAGGTATAATAATTATTTTTACCTCATTAGATTTAATAAACCAAGAACTTAAATATATAGGTACTAAGAAATAAGTTTTAACTATGCTTTAATATATTATTTGCAAACTGTAATCCATCTTCTACCTCTTAGTTTTTATTTCGCAACATCTCAACTCAAATTAAGTTTATTACGCTGGCCACATGGAGGGGAAAAAGGACACCCTAAGCATGTGTGTCCTGCCATAGGATTTGGCACACTGCCATCAGAGGGCAATGGCAGCGCGGCAAAAAAAAATAATAGAAATGTAGGGTGGAAAAGCAGCAGGGCAATGTGAAAAAAATATATATATTTATATAGAAAAAAGAAGAACACATCGCAGCCTTATCATTGCACATTTCACTGTTGGTGTAACAATTACGCCAAAGCCAACAACATTTGGCAAACATTCAAAAATGCCAGCAGCCAAAATATACACATGGATGCCCCCCTGCACACACCTCTTTTTTGCCCTTCGGAAAAAAAAAACCATCCCTTCGACCAACTCAAACTCATCCGTTGCTCTGTTTTCCTGCTACAAATGTTTTTGATAATATGCAACATTGCAACAAACTAACCAACAACGAAAGCTTCCAACGAACATGCATGCATATGTATATATTTTCTATGTGTGTGCCACATACAATTTTGGATAAAAGTTTAGGATATATAAGTTATTATCATCAAAAATAGGGAAATACATTTACTCAAATTTAATTGTAAATAGAAAATGCGGTTGTATTAAATGGCAGATCAATAAATTATAAGCTAAAATAAGTTTTTCTCGTTCTATTATCTAATCGATAAGGAAGTTGTTAATATAAACTTAGTATTATTCGGAATATCGAACAAGAGTTATAGCAGAAGTTCTATTATTTAGATAATGACTATTTTTATATTATATTTATTTTATATAATTACGCCGCTTAATTTCCCTCAGATCTTATGGAAATATTGCGTATACGCCCCATGTAGCTTCTTTGCTTCTAGAGTCCATAGCTTTAGTAAAATATTGAAACAAAAAACAGCATAACCTTGCTATTTTTTTGACCGCAGGTGTGTTCATTGTATGTGTTGCAGGTACACACACACACTCACACATAATTGCTTTGTTCACTGGGTTATGGGCGGGGGTAGGAGAAGGGCACCAGGAAGAGGGCAGGGAAATTGGCGCAACGACCCCCTTTTTTGTCTCTGACTCTCGCCATAGATAAACCCATCTAATGGGGACGGCACCAAAATGCAAAACGGAAACCCAAGGACCTTGCCCCACAGCCACGAGGCGCTGGGGCATGCATATGCTATATGCCATATGTATGCAGATTAATCTGCATAAGTATTAGCTGGGAAAAGGGTTGCCAAAATAAAAAGGGAAAGCATTTTCGCCTCGCAAATTAAATATATATACATTCCTCCGAAAGAGAGCTGCAGTTCATAATTACGAAATGGATATTATTTTAATTTGTTTAGATTCAATTAAACCATTAAAAGAAATAGCTTTAAGAATTATAGATCTAAACACTTAAAAAACGAACATCACGAGTACATTTATTTGCAATTACTTTAGAATGGTGAAACACATTTAAGGATAAAGAAGTGTTGAAAACGTTGTTCCATTCTAATAACACTTTTTAAATATATGAAAAAAGTTGTAAAAAAACAGGTTTGTTCAATTAAAATCAATAACACCTATTTCTATTTCCTTTATCCAATATACATTTTCTATAAATAGTTGGTTTAATATTTCCCACAACAACAAAAAAAGGTCAAATGCAAAAAAAAAAAAAAAACATTAAGTGGCAAATAGAAATGCATTAACATTACATCCCGTTGACAGGCGGACAGGGTGGCGGCAAACAATTTATTAAATTAATTTTGGTTTAACATTACAAATGCCATTAAGGAGTGAAAAATTGTGCGCTGCGTGAGATAAATTTAAAATGCTAATTGCATTCGAGAATAAATCTCATATGGCTTTATGTGCATATTCGTGCACAAGTGCAACAAGGCTCTTCATTAGTATTTGCTGCGGCGGAATAGTCATGTAAATTTCATTAGGAATGCGATACGCAAATGAGGTCAGTTATTCAGTCAGAGACACACATTCCGATTCAAAGCCAGGATCAGCAGCAGGGCGTTGCCTTATATCGAATAAACCATCATCTCGGCTGTCATCTCCGCTTCCCCTTGAATGGGATTTAATTGCAACATACCATAGTTTGGTACCAGCAAAAAACAAACGAGCGAATAAACAACCAGAGGAGAGGAGATGCTGTAAAGCAGTTGATCCAGGACATAAACTGGGTGTCAGTTCCGCAGAAGAAATGGGAATCTCAATGCATTTGCAAGGGGGAAATAGAAACTTGGCCATTTTGATGTGAGTAAACAGGAAATAGGCAAAAACCAAGACATGATGGCACACAAAAACACACACACACACAGAATGTGGGTCGGAACTCGAAAAACAAGGAAAACAAAGCAAAAAGTTTAAAGGCTACAAAAGGAAAACATAAATGTTGCACCAAATTCTCTCAAATTCTTTAAATGGGAACTAGTTTAAAAATACACAAGGTCCTAAATTGAATCTATTTTAATGTACAATCCTTGATTAAGGCACAGAGAAAGTATTTGATTTTACACTTTTATCATTTCCATTCTCCTTAATTATAAATGCCTTTATTCAGAAGCTATTTTGAATGACTTTAGAATTACGACTGACTACTTAATGAACGACACTGCTCCATTCGAACACTCATCGGGGGGGTCGAACTAATCGCTGACATTTGTGAGCGAGTGGAGCCACTTAATTGGGGAGTCATCGATTTCGACTTAGGCGCAATTAACCACGCCCCCAGCTCGGCCAACTGTACGGGTTCACAACGCCCTAATTGAGAGATGCTCGCCGTGTACATGGTAATCAAGAAGGCGTGCCAATTGCCGAGTGTGTGTAGCAATAGTAAATTATTAAATCATTGACAGCGGCCTATTAATTTGGGTAATATATATATAGGGCCGGCGACGCAGAAAAGTAGGCAATACAAAATGACAGCGGTGAAGAAGATCCACGTTTCAAAGGAGAACCAGGAACCTATTCCTCTCGAGAGCTTCCTGAAGTACGCCATTGTGTTTTATTTGTCAATCGGTATGCTGGCCTATGATCACAAGGGTAGCGGCAAGGGGAAGGAGCTCCTACTCCATTGGATATTCATCGCCCAAATGATCAATCTGAATGCTGTGCTCTTAACAGAGCTGATCTATGTGTTCCTGGCAATCAGCAACGGCAGCAATTTCCTGGAGGCCACCATGAATCTCTCGTTCATTGGCTTCGTAGTGGTTGGCGACCTCAAGATCTGGCACATCTGGCGGCAGAGGACTCAGCTCACCCATGTGGTGCGCGAAATGGAAAACCTTCACCCACAGACCACCGATCAGCAGAAGCCTTACGACGTGGCTGTTCACTTGGGTGGCTATAAGCGCTACAGCATCTTCTATTTCGGCATGCATCTGGTGCTGATCTGGACCTACAACCTGTACTGGGCGGTCTACTACCTGGTCTGTGACTTCTGGTTAGGTATACGTCAATTCCAGCGAATGCTACCCTACTACTGTTGGGTGCCCTGGGACTGGAGCACTGGATACAGCTACTATATCATGTATGTCTCGCAGAACATTGCCGGACAGGCCTGCCTTTCGGGACAACTGGCAGCCGATATGTTGATGTGTGCCCTGGTCACCCTGCTGGTGATGCACTTCACCCGGCTGGCTGCCCATATTGAGGGCCACGTAGCCGGTCTGACCACGCCCCAGCGTGATTTGAAGTTCCTTCAGGTGGTGGTGGCCTATCACCAGAGACTTCTGCTTCTCTGCCAGGAAATCAATGGGATCTTTGGGGTTTCGCTGCTCTGTAACTTTGTGTCGTCCTCGTTTATCATTTGTTTTGTGGGTTTTCAAATGACCATCGGTGGCAAGATTGACAATCTGGTGATGCTTGTCCTCTTTCTCTTCTGTGCCATGGTCCAGGTCTACATGATTGCCACCTATGCCCAGCGGTTGTTCGATGCGGTGAGTTCTTTTGAATTAAAATTAATTAAAACCTAAAGTTTTGAAATTAAACTCAGAGCGAGCACATTGGTCAGGCTGTGTACAATCACGATTGGTTCCATGCCGATCTGCGCTACCGCAAAATGCTAATCCTGATCATCAAGAGGGCCCAGCAGCCAAGTCGCCTCAAGGCCACAATTTTCTTGAATGTGTCTCTGGTCACCGTGTCGGATGTAAGCAGAATTAAAGTACCCCCGAAAAGTCTCACATTAAATCAATGTCCTTCATTCTCCTTCAGCTACTACAACTCTCCTACAAATTCTTTGCACTCCTGCGAACCATGTACGTGAAGTAGACGCCGCGTCGCCTCCTGTGATTACGGCCACAATCCAATGGCTGGAGCATGTGCCAGTGACAATGTTTGGGGACAAAAGAAGCAAATCATCGTTGGCCAATAACTTACGCCAATTGCCGCAAAGAGTTGTGCTTTTTAATTAAAGTAGTGGCGCGAATCGCAGGTCACGGAACAAATCGAAGAGCGGTCAACTAACCGCAGGAACAATGATTAATTATCGCCATTTCGTTTGCACAATGGGCACGCGTGAAATGCAAGCCAAAGCACTGGCAATGGCGATGGAAATGCCGAAATTAATGAACCCTTCTCTTCCAGCAACTCACCTGGCAGTCACCCAATCACTTATCCATTCCCATGGCCAATTTAATTAACAAATTTCCTAATCCCAAATGTGTAACTTACTTACATGGCTTCAGGGATGCAAAACTGAGGCGATTAAGTTTCCATTTTAGTGAATAAAAGTTGATGAATTGAGGGAGTCCTTAGTAAGGAAGCAAATTAGGCATTCAATAGACCCTTTAGTTACTAAAAACCAAATTATTTAATGAGAACATTCAGAAAAGGTTAGTTAGATAGAACAATTGATAATTTTTGAGCAAAAAAATTATTCAATCTTACCTTCTACCAAAAAAGCAATTCAATTTCCCCTGGAGTCTTTAGCCCTGTGGCCAATCAATCGAATAATATCCATTTAGGCATTCCGTCTGACCTTATGCAGGCACTTAAAATTAATTGCAAAATATCTTTCCGCACTGCAAAGTGGCTGGCAAATTGCATTTTTATGAATATTTAATTGCAAAGTTGACACAAACAGACAACAGACGGTGGATTGGAAAGGGGGCGGGCTAATTACATTTCTACGGCTGTCGGATGGAGAGAGATGAGAACACGGACCGGGGCCGAACCTGCCAGTCAGATGGATGGCAAAATTGAAGAATTTTTTCAATTAAAATTACTGAAAAACGGGCAAGAAAAGAAGTCCGGCAATCAAATCGGTTTCATTTCCAAGGTTGAGGGGGCATTTCTAAGCTGAAAAAAAAAGTGTAGAACAAAATTTTGTGACAAATTATTTTTTTTTGTATAAAATCGATTGATTACTTTATCATTATATAATTTACTCCATCTCTGCTTATATTATTATATATTATATATATATATATATTAAACATTTTTCCCTCTGTGTAGGGATTGGGGCCTGGTCTCTTGGGCACTCCCTAATCTAATTAGAAATAACGCGCGTCACGAACTTGACTTGGCTTTGGCCAGTTTTAATGTAAAATCGGATACGAATGCGGATGAGAATTTGCCTGCAAAAGCCTATGAAAATTGGCCTCCACCCAGACGCCTTCTCATTGCCACGGAAATGCCCAAAATAGTTTCCACTAATTTCATTTGCGTTTGCAATTTTCTCTGGCCCAAAAAAAAAGTTTCGTTACGACTGTCACTCCCAGTTCACTGGTTCCTCATTCAAGCTTTCCCTGCAAAGGAGAAGAGAGGCAAACCACAGGCATTCTTAGTGGGTGCCAAGCCGCTATTAATCAATGTAATTGCAAAGACACAAATGACGGTGAAGAGAAAAGTGAAATAACTTTGCCACCTTGCATCTGTGGCTAATTAGCAGACAGGTGCAGGTGGTCATTACTTCATTTTCTGAAGACAAACACAATAAGGAAATCTATGATGTACCTGTTGGTAACTGATTTCATATTTGGATCAATTTAACTTAAAGGAAATGTAAGTTTCCTAAACCTAACTAGAGACACAGAACTATTTTAGATATTCATACATTTTGTTACTTTAAAAGCACACTTTATTTTATTGAAAAGTTCTCCTGCATTGTCACCCATTTGATTGCTCAACTATTCGACTAAAATAGTGGCCCACTGAGTTTATTTGCTTGATGCTCATTCAATTTATATTTATACATTGCTGGAGTCAAATAAATTAATTCGTATACCCAACTTTTTGCGTACTTTGTGTGTGCGTGTGTTTGCAGAGGAAAATGGGTCTGAGAAGTTGGAGAAATATTGGCTTTTAAAAATGTCAATATAGCAAGCAGCGTGCGCTGATTTGGCAAGAAAATTGCAATTGCAACCAACTTTTTTTTTTTTTTTTGCGTTGCATTGCGTCGCTACTCGTTGAGAAATTGTATTTCGTTTCATCAAATGAAGAAAAATCGTACATTTTTATAAGGCCATTGGGATGGATGGCGATGCTGCCGGGCAGCAGGCGGAATCAACTGGGAAAGGGGAGTTGTTGGCTGCCATTGTCCAGACTTTGGCGCCACAGTTGCTGCTCCTTCTTCTGCCTCGGATGATGCCTGGACGGGGGGTTTCCCGGGCTGGAGATTGGGAAGCACGTCACTTTGGCTGTTATTGAATTTGACATATTTCCGCACAGTGTGTATGTGTTGGACTGTGCGATACAGTGGAAACTCCTGGTTTTTGGATCCTTAAATTGCTAATTTCTCAAGGGTAATTATATAAACTATTTATTATACAGAATTCAAAAGTCAAATTTAGGAGGATGATGCAGAGGATGATATAGTCCACCGATTCGCCATGCTCCTGTTTACTGGTCATTGATACTTACTGGTCAGAGTTACTTTATGTTCATTGTTACTTACTGATCAGAGTTACTTACTGCTCATAGTTGCTTATTGATTATAGTTCAATTAAATAGCTCGCTGCTCCTCTCTGCCTCTCCCCCTCTCACTCTATGTTAATCGCTCTATGTTAATCTCTAGAGGCAACTGCTCTCTCCCACGCACTCACACTCACTTTCTCTGCTCTTCTCTGCTCTGCTCGGGGACTATAAATAAAGGTGCTGAGGTCGCGCGCGCCTCAGTCTGTCCTAGGGGTACCTAGTGTTAACATCTCAAGTGATAGTGATAGTGATCCCCCTTCGATCCCAAAAATATGACGTGGCCAATACATCTGGATGACTAGGAAGAAACTCACTTTGGATGAAGTCACCATTCTTGGTCAATGTAAACAATGACGAAAGAGAATAGCCACGTGTCCTTTACGGCGGTAAGTCTTAACCATGACATTTATATTATGTATGAAGAAGCTGTAGGTGGATTAGGATAGGATTAGGCCTAGTTCTAGACTTTATATTCCAATTTATTTCCCTATTGCCATGGTCCCCTTTACATACTTAGAAACTTTCTAATTTTTTCAATACTTTAGATACTTACTGATTATAGTTACTTACTAATCATAGATACTTACTGTTCAGAGTTACTTACTGGTCATAAATACTTAGTCAGAGTTATTTACTGGTCATAGATACTTACTGATCATTGTTAATCATCATATCATATCATATGATTCCTAACTAGTTCTAACATCCCCGGGATGAAGCGACTGCTGCCGGCCAAGTCTCGGTAATTTGGTGTTACAAAAGTTGCAAGTCATTGTTTATTAGTATTCAAAGTTAGTAACTGATCATACATACTTACGGGTCATAGATACTTACTACCCATAGTTACTTACTGATCATAGTTATATACGTATATTAGTTACCTACTGATCGTAGTTACTAAATGTTCATTGATAATTACTGATCATTGTTAATTACTTATCAAAGTTACTTACTGTTCATAGTAGCTTTAAAGTTTATAAAAAGGTTTATTTAAATTATTTTATTTATTTAAATTAGTTGTAATAATGTTTTATATTATTTTCTCCATTCGTTTATCTATATTCTACCGGTACGGGAATAGACTAGAATAGAATATATTTAAAACTTTAATCACAATATGTATATATTCAATCGTATAAGTTTCGTCTACGTGTCGTATACGTAATATTTTCATACTGAATTCATTCAATAATTAACTTTATAGATTTTAATTTGATTTTCTTGTGTCATTTAAAATTTTAAGATAAATCTTTCCTAATCCTTAGTAAGATTTGTAGTTTACCTGTTAGTCTTTACTGTAATTGTACATGCGTGTGTGTGTGTGTGCGAGTTGTGTCGGCCAAGGGATTAGCGTCATTGCCATTTTTGGCGTATTTCTCATGTGTGCTCTAAGCTCGCTAGTCGGATGTGACCCCCCTCCGGCCACGCCTTTCTTTTTCAGCCGTCCTCCGTGCACTGCACTTTACTCCCACCCACCTCCCCGCCCCGCTTTCCGTTTGTGTGTGTGTGCGGGCGTGTGTATTTGTCAATTTTCACTCACTTCATTTAAGTAAACACATTTGCTGCATTTCATATTTCCAGTCACGTTCTAAGCATAAATAACACACACACACAAGTGCAGCCGTACATATGCGAACGCGAATTAGAACGGTTCTCAAATTCGATTTCCGCGAGCCAGTTCTAAAAATAAAATTAAAACTTTAAATTTCAGTTCTGGAAAGTTTGAACAATATTTTGAAACTAATTGGTTTCAGTTTCATCTGTCAAAATACGATTTAAAATAACGTTGATTTTAAAAATATTTGTATTGCAAATGGTTTTGATACTCAACAATGGAATAGAACTTTAAAGTTTGAGCTGATATTAAATACTGAATATTTAAAAAATAGTAAATAAGTAAATATGAAAAATGAATATGATAAAATACCCAAGCTACTAGAATACAAAAGCAGTCAACTTTACTATAACGATAAACGATTTGTTAAACTAAAATAACTTTTTTGTACTTCATCTAAGTAACATAATTTATGTAAGCTTACAACTAATCATTTATATTCCTTTAATTTTGCAATATTTTAGTAAATAAATTTCCATTTCTCCACTAAGTGTTAGCTTCAATAAAGCAAAAATCTTTGGCTAAATACATGATATTTAAAAAAACATTATATCTAAAATATCTTAATTAAATTTCATCCAATTGAGAACACTCTTTTTCGAGTGTATATTTGCTCCTTGTAGTGCATTTTGCTGGGGTTGACTTAGTTCAGTTGACGATGGTTGTCATGACTCGAAACGAGGAGATCGGAGCATACTAATACTAAAGTTATGTACTTGTTGTGAGTCAGAAGGGAGTCGGAGTCTGTTGACAATCCATTTTGCAATTCCCTGGCATCGTATCAGATTTTCTCGCTTCTCCAACTTTTCCTGCCAGAGTTAAACTTTCAAAATATTGAAGGCGCGCGTCGGTGGCTGTGGAAATTAAATTTAGAACTTGTTGTTATCCCTTTTTCGGGATATTGTGCGGCTGGTGCGGGCAGTTTCACCATATTTCCTTATTTATTTTGGTCGCAGATTGCCAACAGAAATTCTTTGGCCAAAAATACATAATTAACGACCCTTTTTCAATAACTAAACAATTTCAAGCTTCCTAGACCGCCGAATATTTTTGCAAAAGTCTGCCAGAGCTGGGTTCAGGGAGTGGCTGAAGGATAGATATTGAATATCCTAGCCGCATGGCTTTCGGCATCCACAGCAGCAATTTAAATTAAATTGCATCGAGCTTCGGCAATGTAAAATAATAATAACCAACAAAAATGTTAAAAGGCTGCGGAAGTATATATATAATTTAATTTTATTTACAAGTCTGCAAAGCAGTAAAGAAGTAATTTTCTCTACTTTTTAATTTATTTTGTCATTCCCTGTCAATCTCGTAGTCTTTCCTTCATGCTTTCTCTGTATCAATCTCTCTGTCTCTCACACACACACACTCTATCTCCCTCTCTCCCTCCCTCTCTCTCTCTATAAATAAACAGAGAGAAAGAGGATAGCTCTCTCTGTGTTTCTCTATTGATGACTCGTTCTCGCCATCTCTCTTTGCCGATCTCAACGGATCTCATTTCTCCCGCTCTCACTTTCTCTTTTCTCTTGACTCGGGACTATAAATAGAGGTAGTGCCGTCGAACTGACTTTAGTCTGTACGTGGCCTTCCCAGTGTTTACATCTATGTTTTAGTTAGTGGCAGTGATAGTGATTGTTCTGCGAACCCAAAAATATCATCTGACCAATGGATTACATCTGGATGACCAGGAAGAAGACCAGAATAAGACCAGAAGCCTAATTAAAGTCAACAAAAATATAATTCTACTGCGGTAAGTTTTAACCATGACAATTATTTTATGTATATTCATACGTAGATGCTATAGGAGGGATGACCCTTAGGCCTATGCATTTATTTTCCAATTGATTTCCTTATTGCCAAATTTTAATTTAAAGTTATTATATAATAAACATACTTTGATCTTGTTGATTTAAAAGTTCTTAGAACTTATTCATTTATTTTACAATTTACAATCATTTTAAGTGCACCTTCAAAAATATTACGTATACGTAGGTTGCCATAAATAGGTTTTCAAATATAAACAAAGTTGAAATAAGCTTAATCGTGGAATAAAACAAAATAACAAAAATAATGTAATTTTCTGCGATGTAATTAATTTTTTATCCTGCTTAAAACTTTTCGAAAAGTTTATTCCGTTTAATTAGTAAGGAAATTCAATCTAAGAAGTAATTGCCTTGCAAATATAGCCAAAGACTTATATCCAATGAAATATTAAAACCAGGCTCAGAAAAATAACAAGTTTTCGGCTTTCCAAAGTGTAAGCTCAGGGAAATGGGAAAATGTTTCTGTTGTGCCCAATTTTCAGTAAGAGCTTAGGCCAATTTTAAAGCATTTACAGTTGCTTTGATGCAAATTTAAAGTTCTTAACGCCGCAAAACGGTAAGCTTACAAATCCAAACAATAAACAAGAAACAATTGCTCCGCAGCAACAAAAACATGAGCTCCAGCTCCAACAATATCAGCAGCAGCAGCAGCAGCCGCATTGGATAACAATGGGAATTCGTAGTGGGAAGCAAAATTTTCCATATTGCTGAAATGCAATTGCAAATGCTGCTTACAGGCTTCACACACACCGAGCAAGGAAAACATAAATAAACGTAACCATCAATGGTTCAATTCTCTGTGCTCCTGCATGATTGTGCGGAGTGCAGGGACTATCAGGGGATAGCCCCCAATGGTGGCTACACGGATGTATATATATATATACATATATAGGGTGAAATTTCGGGGGTAGGACGGACGGTGGAATAACATTGCACATTTATATTGCGATTTTCGCCTGTGGAAAGTATCTCGTATTCTTAACAAAAAAAACAGCAGCAGACGGAACAAAAGCCCATTGTCGGGAGTTTGGTCTCCAAATAAATTCGAGACCACTTACAAGCTTAACTATTTCAAGGTGAATTTTTCCCGATTTCTTGAAAAAATATTCTTTGAATTCAAGGGAGAAGATTAAAGGTAAACTATACATTTTTCTGGGGTAATTGGTTTCAAGGTTTTATGGAAAAAATAGTACAAGTATTTTTATTTTGTATATTCATTTAAATTAATTTCACATTAAATACTTTTATGGAAAACACTTAATAATATTTAAATGCTAACAATATATATATATTTGTTTTAATCTTTTTCTGTGTATGAATGCATTAAATTGTTTGCACGGAAAACACAGACTGCCAACCAAGACGGACGATGGGGGGTATTCCTTTGGATTCCATTGATAGCTGGATTCGCAGTCGATGATGCTGCGCCGAAATAAAACATAAACAAACAAATAATAATTGTGCACCACACGACTGTATGAAATAAACAATGCATTCTGCCAAATAAAAAATACGAAGAAATACATAAAAGAATCAACAACCGGATGTCAGATGAGGTGGAAACTCTTTTTTTCATACCATAACAATCGAAATGCCTATCACAACTTAAAAATTGTTTTACCTTTTGTATTTTATTATCCTCAATTGTTATATAATTAAGTAGCTTTATAGGTATTAAAAAAAAAGAAAAGAGTATTGAAAAAGGTACAAGATTGTTTTGACTCCGATATTCTTCTTTGACTCTATGAAAGATATTTATATAATTTATAATTGTTGACCAAAAATATATACTTTATAGTAGAAGAAATGGCTACTTCCATTTATTGCTTTAAAGTAAATTTTACTTTGATGCGTAAGAAGGTTATTATTAAATTGTCTTTGGTTAAGCTTTATTACTCTTAAAGTGCAATGCAAAAGCCCAATCAACTAAGCATGACTATAAGATGCTGATAAGATTTCTTCTCGGTTGCCCCACTTATAGATACAGATACTGATGTGATACCGTTGCCGTGTGGCTATTAAACCAGGTATATTTTATATGCTCCAGCCAGCAGGAGGACACTGGATGGCATCCGCACATGAACAGCAAGCAAATCACATTTTCATCAACGGGAATCTGTTTTATCGCACTCCATTCCAGGGGGCCCACATCTACATTTTATTAGCCCTGCAGCTATCCGTTCACATAATTTGATGCCGGCTCTTATTTCGTCTATTTTTACTGTCTTCCGGTTTATTGTCACCCCATTGTGACCCACCCGGACCTGCCATTGTGCAAATCTACTAGCAAATAATTCCGATTTTTTTCCTGACTTAATTAAAGCCTTTAGTATGGACTGCCCATACATTTGTAGGGATTATAGTGTACTCGATTTTTTATTTAAAAAATATAGAAATTTTATTAACGAAAATGGAGTTTCATTGACATTGGACATGTTGTACATTGTTAAAAAATTAGTTTATGGTGCTATTAAAATGAAAAAGTTTTAAATTTTCAAAAATAGAAAGACACTCTGCGACTTTTTTAACTATGGCCTAAATATTTGGTGCCCGAATTGATACAAACGGGTTTCTATATGAAATGTGAAAAATACATATATATGTATAAAGGCTCTTGAAGCACACTATATTTTTGTTTCATTTTGATTTCCATGTTTTGAACCAAACTTATGCTGCGAGTAAGTGGTTGATTCCCAATGGATGATGTGGATCAACAGGCAGCGTCAACACAGAATCAAATCGTCAACCGAATTTGATTAGTCGTCACTTGCACTTGCAATAACTTGGTGCCCTTGGCCACCAACCCATGTGCCTCCCTGCAACGCTGGCTATGACATGTGCCGGACTCAAGAGTGCTCCAGCACTCGTATGTGGAAGGATGGGTAAAGCAAAAATGCTGAGATTGCGTAGGGTCCAATGTCCGATGTCTGTGCATATCGATGTAAAGGAAGGGTGATGGGTGCAGGGGAGATCCGCTCATGGAAAGATTGAGATGAGAGCCTGCCTGGACAGTCGAAGTAGAAGCTTGCAAGCAAATAACAAGATTTCACGCTTGATTTTCACATCAAAAGCCGGATAAAGAAATGGGAAAATCTCTGTGTCGTGTGCAAATGAAACGAAGCAGCTAACAGGATGGGGACAGGATTGGTCCTCTGCCTCGGATTGTTTTTCATAGCAGCAAATTGAAGTTTACAAAGTATCGCAGTTGATGGGAATACAGTAGGTTTGGGTGTGGGTGAGGGGTCTTTATATTTTTTTACTGTCTGGACTTATGAGAGAATTGGTTAAGTACAAAGCTAGCTCAGAGTTGCTCCATAGACTCTAGCTTCAGCAGTCGCTGTTCAGTCAAATGCTGGTCCAAGGCCAAACGCATGGCGTCCAGAAAGTCCGAAAGGCTTATTTTTTGGTTCTCTTCGTAAAACTGGCTGCTCGTGTACTGGGCGTGGGCCAGGAGCGGCAGTTTTCGCAGGGTGCGACCACTTAGACCGATGCTGACTTCAGCCAAATTAGTCAAGAGTCCCTCCTCGGCATCCTCAGCCTCCAAATCCTCCCGCTGCACGATGCCCGTCGACATGAGCTCCGCCAACATAGTCTTGTAAATAGATCGAACAGCCGGCAAGCCCGGATATCCTATATACTGACGGATATCAGCACGATCCAGGAACGCTAGATCTATGCTCTGCGCCAGGTTGGAAGTGGCCAGGATGAGCACGTTGGGACAAGCCTTTATATTATCCAGCTGGGTTAGTACCGCATTCACAACACGCATGGCGTCCCTAGGCTCATTGCTGGACATGGAACTTCTAGCGTATGCCAGCGACTCCACTTCGTCGATAAGCACACAGACTAGGTTGTTCTTGTCAGCTACCAATTCTCCGATTTTTGAGAACAGACCCGCCACAAGCTTACCGCTTTCCGAAAACCACTTGGAGAAAAGGCTGTGACTGTTTATCTCCACCAAGTGGGTGTATGCGTAGCTGCCCTGTGTCCGAACAGCCAGCTTCTGGGCCAGAGCCTTACACAGGCTTGTTTTGCCCGTTCCTGGCGGGCCATGGAGCAGCAACAGTCGGTTACAGGCAATCACATTCATGTCCACACGATGCTGCGAGAAGCTCAGGGCGGACAGGGCGAACGTAAGAAGCTTCTCCTTCACTCCGCTTTCGTAGATCAGATTCTCCCAGAGACCCACAAGCTGACTGGCTGGCAGTAAAAAGTGATTGGCTGCTATGACGCTATCGACGCCATCACCATCACCGCTGGCGCTTCCATCGAAGAGTCCAGCACCGGAGCTTGCATCCGTTGGATGAGGCATATAGAAGTGGAAACGGAACTTGCTGTGGGCCGATGAATCAAGCCACTGTCCGTCGTCGTTGTCGCACTCGAGTAGCACAGTATCCACCAGCTGGCGCTCTTCCTCGGACAGAGCAGGGACAAGGGGAACATTGAGCGGGAGGTCTCTGCCCGACTGCAAATAAGCTTTCAAAGCCGGCATCAGTATAGAATGCAGCGTCTGCAAACGCCTGAAATAATGGAGTTAATAAAAAGGTCGAACTTCGCAACACCATGCGGTACTCACTGATCAGTGCGTTTGAGGCGAACCTCCACGTGGACAGTGCAGTTTTGGCTCAGGTAATTCATTTTTTTAAGCTTTACTTTGGCTTTAAAAAGTCGCGGGAACAAACAATTTATAAATAGTAAATTTTGAGATGGACCTAAACAAATACTGACATATCGATGTATAAAAATTCATTTCTATCGATGTATTTATTTATTTGTCAAATTTGTTTATAATTATTTTCATTTAAATATTTTTATATTTAGCTAAAGAAAAGTGAAAAATAAAAGTCGTAAGGGGTTTGTAAGGCAAAACCATTGTGTGCAACATTGAAGTTTTCAGCACTAATATCTATAGCAGTTGAGAGGGAAATTTAAAAAATTGCCAAGTATTTTATTATAAATAACTGATTTATGAGCAAACCCTTTTTTTAGTTTCGAAGGCCTTTTTTGGAGACTTTAACATAGCCCATTAACTTATAAGCCATTCTCTTAACGTAAGCCAACATGAACACATTTATTGCAAATTTAACTCTAGTTAATATTTAATTGTGGACTCAATAAAGTACTTGTTGAACTTGCGCCAGCCAAAACGCTTCTTGGGATCTCTCTTGCTCCACGCCGGCGCCAGGTTCGGCATCAATCCCGCTTTCTGGGCCATCGTCACCAAGGTGCCCATCTTTTTCTGCTGACGGTGGCACAGCCCGGTAATCCTTCTGGGCAGCATGCAGCCGTCGGAGCGGACGTACTGCGAGAGGATGAGCACGTCCGTGTGCTTGATGTCCAGGCCCAACGTACATTCCGGGCAGAAGTTGCTCTGGCAGGCGGATTTCAGCATTAGTTCGGCGCGTGGCGACTCCACGTTGACGCCCTCAAAGACCTTCACATTACTCTCCTGCTTTTCCTGAACTGCAAGCGATGCACATCAATGTTTTTTAATTAAATTAAGTTAAAGTTTTACCCCTTTAAAAGAGGTTATGAAACAGGCTTCTTGGCCCTGAGCACAACTCACTCTCTTTGATCAGTCTGGGCGATGTGGTGGCCACGTTTCGAGTCTGCAGCGCGGTGATGCGCAATGCCCTGGTGGCCACTACCAAAAGCGAAGCCATGTCGCAGCAATCTTTTATTTACAATTTATAAGAAAACTAATTGTGCGGCAATGTTATTGCTTTTGGCTGCAGAGTGACCAGATTTGTCGTTGCTTCTTCTTCGCCGTCATTCACTAGTGATACTTATCGATACACTTTCACGTATATTCATATATTACCATATGTTTTCACATCTCTAACGTGAAACAAAAGACGCCGGCTTAGAACAAATAAAATATGTGTAAGCAACTAAACGGAATTCCCAGCGAAATGAACCAACATCAACCCTGATCATTTGCAGCCGCCTCATCGAGCAACAAGAGCACCCTGGTGTCCTCCATCATCTCGGGCCTTCTCAGCCTTGTAATCTTTGCCACACTACGCTTTTGTGCAGACTGGTTTAGCGACTCGCAGCTAAAGGTTCTGCTGGGCGGATACCTTTTCTCCTGGCTCTTCATTTTGAGCCTGACCTGCTTATCCAACGTGGAGATGCTCGTCTTTGGCCAAGACTTCCAGGCTAAGCTCGTACCGGAGATTCTCTTCTGCCTCTCGCTGACGGTGGCCGCAGCTGGAATCGTTCACCGGGTTTGCGCTACCACCAGCATCCTTTTTTCGCTGGTGGGCCTCTACTTCCTGAACCGCATATCCAACAGCTACTACTCGAGCTCGGTGGCCACCGTGGATGCTCCCGCGGCGCGCAAGGGCGGCAAGAAGTTCAAATAAATGCACGGAATCTCTAGCTTCGGCTTTATGTGCTAATGTAAACATTCTATTACTAATACGAATTAATAAATAATTAACAGTAAAACCTATGCGGCCGTGTCATTTCCAACCTCCGAAGTCGCCTCGTTTCCTGCTTCGGAGTTAGACTCGTTCCCCGTCTCATTGAGGTACGCAAGGATGTTGTGGTCCACGAAACGCACTAACTGAACAAAATAAGAAAAATCTTAAATATACTTTACTATTTCAAAGCTCCCTCCACCTACCTGCAGCCCCACTTTGCACTTTAAGTCTGTGTGCTTCTCCTTGAGCCTGTCTCGCAGGGTCTTAAACCAGTCTGAGATCTCCGCTGTGTTGTTGGGCAGTTCGAAACCCCTGTAACCAGCCTGCTCTAGTTCCAGATTGGCCGAATTTAAGGCGACAGCGGACATAAGCAGCGAGAACGCCTTTAGCAGGACGTAGGTTTTGCGGAGCGACCATTCCAGGAGTATCACGTTCTGGCTAATTTGTGGCACCATCTCCCAAGCCTCCCTCAGCTGTCAAATAAATGAAGATTAGCGAGTGCTTCACTGACACAATCGTTCTTACGCTGCGATAGATGTACAGGATTATCGGTGACCCGGACAAGACAGCTATTAGAGAGCGGAGGAGGCCGAGACAGATCATCTTGCCAGTGTCGCTGGCCACAAGAATATGTGGAATTGCATCTAGCAGGTAGACAAAAAAGTACTCCTCGTTGGCGTTGGCCGCCTTAAGGCTATTGAGCATTTCAACCGTGGCATAGTGTATCATCGTTGGCTTCAGTGTGTCAGAGTAGTTGAAGGTCTTGTTCAAAAGCTCCAGCCGTTGGTTGCACAGTCGTTCCCACTCGTTGTCCGCCAAAAGAAACAAAACCACAGATGCAGAATAGAGGGCGACAACCTCCTCCAGGCTTAGGTTGCCTTTTAGCAGCTTCAGGAAGCCTCTGTACAGCTTTTTTTTCCGAAAAGTAGATTTTGACTTAAGGAAATCTGTGCCCACCACCTACCTTATCCACGTCGCCTTCGTTTTGGGCCTCCACACAGAAGCTATATCTCTGCAACGGTCGGAGAGTCTTCAGAACTTTTACCAGGTTCTCGAAAGTTAGTTCAGGAGCTTTAATGTCCGGTAAACCGGCTAATTCGGCATTTAACATTTTGTCAACAAAATCGAACAGCCGGCTAATGTTCTAGAGAAGAGATAACAACCGATAGTACACTCCGCGATTCGCAGCAAAGTTGCGAATCTTTGTTCAGCAAATACCCAAACCTTTATCACGGTTGCTTGTCAATGCACAACCACAATTGCTTCTCTTTTTGCGTTTGCTTTTTCAATAATGATGACAGTTTGTCGGAAGATGTCGATATCCCTAGATGTTTTCAAAATGGAACATCGATGCATCGCTTAACATCGCTATCAAAAAACATCGTTAAAATATATCGATACTCGATACATCGACGTTAGCAGCATCGCTATTTCCCACATAGCGACAGGGTCACACTGAACACAGCCCCAAAAGTACAGAAAAGTCTTCTATTCGCAGCAAAACAGATTTTTTGTTTTAATCGTAAGTAGAAATCTGCATACGTAGAAATAAGTAAATAAGGCAGGCGCGAAACAACACCCACCCGTTAAAAGTAAAATTTCGATAAAAAAGACAAAAACCTTCGCAAGTGCATTTTTTCGACGAAAAAAGGGGTTATGTACGAACTGCGGGCGTAGTTAGGCGAGGTTAGTCATCGGGTGGTCAGAAATTCACGCAATAAAACGTTTAGTTCAGCATCGGGCCTTTGTTAGACTGTACCCCTGTACATTATTAAATAAAAGCGACAGAAATATGCACACTTTGAACCCCCCTCCCGATGCCCGTTCTCGGTTGCGTTTCCCTTTCTTCGTTCCCCTCTTCCTCTCTTTTTAGCGTTGAAAATGTGTCGCTTCAAAATGGCGCCGAACCACATGTCTTCGTTATCGCTTCGTCTCACTTCGTCTCGTTCGTGTCATTCGCTTGCTGAATTTCATTTAACAAAGTGGTGCGCGCAGACACAAACAACAAATACCTAGTAACCGATTGTGATAGCTGTTAAAAATAGAATTCTGGACTTGGTCTGAATTCTATTTGAGCAAAATTCTAAACTTTGATATTAAGGCCAAAAACGTAAATTCCTTTAAAAATATTCATCTCCCGCTCCGTCTTCGGTTGTTGGGTGAGTGTGTGCGTGCGTGTCATTTTTACAGTGCGAAAGCTCGTAGCAAGCAAAAAGAAGAAATCGACAACTTTCTGCCTTGATCTTTCGCAGTGTTCGAGTGTGTTCTGTCGGCACACGTGTATTAGTAACCGCTGCGCGAGGTTAAATTAAATTACATATTTTTAAAAACGTTCATACTCGCTCTCGTCAAAGCAACAGGCGCACACGCACGCACACACTCACGTGAATCACACACCAGCGCGTCCACCTTCGATTACTAACAAGGACACGCGGAAGCGGCCAACAGACTTATTTCCGTTGAGTGAAAGTGTAAGTTTAAGTGCTAATCGAATTTGTACTTGGCAACGTATTTTCCATTTTTGCGTTTTCGCCACTTTGTCAGTTTCCCCAGCCACACACATCTCAACGCTAGCACAAAGGCCCTGTGCTTGTGTATGTGTGTATGTACAATGACCTCGTTTACCTACCAGAGTAACAACGTCAAAAATTTCACTTTATATTCTGCGTTTCTTTGTCGATTTCTTGGGCGGGCGATTCTTGTTTCGCCTTTCATTCCCTCTTTCGTCATTATCAAACTGTAAAAAGATGGAACGGTTCTGTGTGAGTGTGCTAGAGAGAGAGGGTGATTGTGCCCTCTCTGCTCTCCGACCAGGCGCGAATGTGTGAGTGCCGAAAGCACATGTACGGGAATTTTTAGGTTAGACTCGCTCGCTCTTTAAAGTAAAAAGTTTGAAACGAGAAGAACTTGTAATAAATCTGCCTTGTAATTGATCTAGTGACCTTGCCAATTGAGTCAAGCTACAAGTAACAAACTGAAAACAACTAGGCAACAACACATCAAAAGCACCTACATATCTGATCAATTCCTCTCCCTTTTCCAGCAATTTATTGTATGAGTCAAAAAACTGAAAGACCAGTGCTATCGGGTCAACGCATCAAGACCAGAAAAAGAGATGAAAGAGAAAAATATGACCCAACGGGATTCCGTGATGCGGTCATTGCTGGTCTCGAAAAAACTGAAGGCGACCTGGAACAAATCTCTAAATATCTAGACAGCGCGGGCAACAAGCTCGACTACCGTCGTTACGGCGAAGTTCTCTTTGATATATTGATTGCGGGTGGTCTCTTAGGTGAGTTTCTTCGAATCTCTTCCTTCCTTACTTGATTTAATTAACCCGCTTTTATATTTGTATATTTCTAGTGCCTGGCGGTTCCATATCTCAGGATGGCGAAAAGCCGCGCACAAACTACTGCATCTTCGATGCCCCCGAGAGCATGGAGTCGATGCGCAACCATGAGCAGGTTCGTATACGAATTTTAACAAACATTTAATTCGCAACTTTAGAAATCCTCTCTAACCTTTAGTAAGTAAAATTTCAACTTACAAGCCATAAAATCGTGCACAGTTAATGTGTTTCTTGATCAAAGGACAATAAATAATATGGAAAATGTTCCTCGTTAGTTATGCATTTCATTAGAGCTGATTATAAAGTTTAAAAATGTAATCGGTGTCAAGAAAATGCAATATGAAACGACACATTTTACTTGTCTTTAGTTTGTTCTAAACCCTAACAGTCTGGAGATTTCTAATGTGTCAACACGACTATTCACTTGCTACGAATGCTCACCTGCGAAGCTCATTGAATCGAATCGTGCATTTTATTAAAACATAATCTTGCACAATTAATTTTTTTCTTGATCAAGGGACAAAGAAAGTTGAATTATGCATTTCATTAGAGCTGATTATAAAGTTTAAAAATGTAATCGGTGTCAAGAAAATGCAATATGAAACGACACATTTTACTTGTCTTTGGTTTGTTCTAAACCCTAACAGTCTGGAGATTTCTAATGTGTCAACACAACTATTCACTTGCTGCGAATGCTCACCTGCAAGGTCATTTAATCGAATTGTGCATATTAATATAACCGGTTAAGAATCTCAACAAAGTAATCGGTGTCAATTTATGCTAAATGAAAAGATTCATTTACTTGTCTTTATTTTGTCAAATATCTTAATCCAGCAATCTAAAGAGTTCTAATGTTGCAACAATAGTCAACTCTCGCTAGGCATTGCAATTAATTCAAGTTAAGATAAAATTATTAATTCCTTGTTTTTTCTTACAGGTATTTGTTAAGCTCATCAGACGGTACAAGTATCTTGAGAAAATGTTCGAAGAGGAGATGGGAAAGGTTCTACTATTCGTAAAGGGCTTTACTCCCAGTGAACGCATCAAGCTTGCGCGTATGACTGCGCTCTGGTTAGGTGAGTTGCTAATAGTATGCAGGAAAACCACCTGCTCTAGGCCCATTCAGCTAATTTATTAGTTGTCTCGATGAACACTCGTTGTTCGACTTGCAGCTGAGGGGCTAAAGTGAACTCACTCTTGGTATACTGACTCTTGGATGACTTATTGCCACATCCAAAAGCCACGAGCCCAAGGACAAGGCACGATTATTTGTAGAATCTTGTCGAGTTGCTTCTGTTGCGTACAGTTGCTAATTTTTATTTTTCTATGATTTCACAGTTAACGGCTCTGTACCGCCAAATGTCTTACTGGTACTAAACAACGAGCACCTGATCAAGGATGGCATTGCACTAGAGTTTCTACTAGAGCTGTTCCAGACGTTCAAGCAAGAGAAGGGCATTGCATATCTGATACAGGCGCTTAAGAAGGGTGGACTGGAAAGCAAGTAAGTGGCTCGCTCGAATGTAATTCGATTAGATCTGGAATGTTCTCAGGAAGATGCTTCAATCATTCTGTTGTGCATCCTTAATTGATGTTCCTAGAGAAAATTTAGCGGAGTTTTACCCAATTCGCAAATGAACATGAGCTTCATTTGGGTGCCGATTTAATTTCGTACACTAATTTAAACAATTTAAATTGAATTTAACAATGGCGATTATGCCAAGCAAAGAGAAAATAATTCATTATATTTGTTTCTTTTCCAGACTTATGGACTTTTTCCCACCAAACAAACGTACTGAGGAATATTTTAAACAAGTTTTTCTTGACAAGGAACTCAACGAGATCATTAAGCTGCACAAAGCTCAGGCCAGCCAAGAGGCTAAACGCGAGCTGCAGCAGGCCCTCATCGATGATATCAACGACGAGAAGGCCCACAATGAGATAACCGCTGACATTAAGGAGTTCTCGCAACGCAACAACATTCCCGATCATGAAATAATTGTTATTGTAAGTCAAAACTAACTATAGGATTCTAAAAAAGTCCTATAACCCAACTCCTTCTGTGGTCTGTTACAGATTTGGTCCACCATCATGTCATTGGGCGAATGGAACAAGAAGGAGGAGCTGGTTACCGACCAGGCTGTTCGTCATTTGAAGACATACTGCACCTTGTTGCAGGCTTTCGCCTCAACAGACCGATCGGAGTTGGCTTTGATTCTTAAGGTCCAAGAGTTCTGCTACGAGAACATGAACTTTATGAAGGCCTTCCAGAAGATCATTTTGTTGTTCTACAAGACCGAGGTCCTGTCCGAGGAGATCATCTTGCGCTGGTACAAGGACGGCCACTCCAACAAAGGAAAAATGCATTTCCTCGAACAAATGCGCAAGTTTGTCGAATGGCTCCAATCAGCAGAAGAAGGTTGGTTAATTTCTTTTAATATTCTTATATATACTAGTGCAATTTTTGAGAATGGTCTTGTCCCGGATGACACTTTCATTGTACAAAATTGCAAGAGCATTTGGGTTTTTTGCTTGCCTCGTTGCTCCTCAAAACTCCAGAGCATCGCAGGCCAATGAAAACCTGGACACATCTCCACTATAAGATCCTCTGAGCAGCATGCTTCTTACCAAGCTTTTGAAGCGCTTCCGTCAAATGGGGCGCAATTTTAAAGGGTTCATGTACAGTATGCCAGAGCAAAAGAATGATTGGGTGTCCATATAACCCGTTTCCATGGTTACTCTTGGCCAATAATCGTTCGGACAAAAGCTTCGCTTCAGACAGACTAGACTTGTGTGCGCAATCCTGGCAAAAGCCCCGAATGTCTTTAGAAACGTTCCGTTGGCTGCCAGGGAATGAATTGTGCCAGAGCATTTGAGTGATTGGGTGTCCATATAACTAATCATAGTTACATTTGGCCAATAATCATTTGGACAGTTGTTTCACTTCGTCAGATGTAGGATCACTATATAAATATATTGAAAAACATTAACCTTTCCTCTAATTTTTCTTTTTAGAATCGGAATCTGAGGACGAGCAAAAGAATGGCGAATAACAATTTGGTTAAATGGTTATAGAATGAAAAGAGCAACACAAACGGAGCCGACCCCTACACACCATCCATCCCCATTCGTCGTTTTTGGAACACGCATCTATACAACTAAACAGTCCACCCCTTTAAATCACAGAGTCATTTTGAGAAACTCCACCTAGATACTACTCAGAAATTTCCAATAAAAAAGGAGAGAGTAAAACAACAGAGTCAAGCTAGAAATTCAAATTTCGTAGTCCAATGCCTGATATCCTAGTTTTCCAATGCATCTGTCATGCATACGCATTCAGTTTGCCTCAAATGAACATAGATGAAGAAGAAAATATCAACAATATCGGAGAGGGAGAAGAAAACTGGTGGATATTAATTTAATAACAGAGTACAGGAAAACTAAAGTTTTAAGATTCGAAGTCAACTTTGCGGAGATCCCTGTAGCAAAAGTTGGAGAACTAGAGATGCACGAGAAGGCGTTTTATGTTTAAAAAAAAGGCTTTGGCCCCGTTTGTATGTTCTCATTATTTATTTAAAATTTATCCCATATATGCATATACAAAGAACAAAAAAGAAGTAATATTCATCCTCAAAATATGTGCCGCCAGGTGGATAAATGTGCACGTTGGCGAGTTAACTTCGGAACAAAACTTGATATTTCATCGCACCAAAATTTGAACGAGGCCGATGAAATTAAGAAATTTAAATTGTATGGAAGTACATATATGTATACAACCATTAAATTAAATACCAAACAAAACCAAAACTGTGGCTTGATTTAATGTAAGGTTGTTTACGGGTCTGGGTCGATTATTTTTCAGACTTAATTTGGAATATATTGAACTATCGATAAAATGAGCGATCCAACAGAAGCTTTTTCCATTATTTCATATCACCTTGTATCGCGTGGCATTTTTCAATAGTTCCAAAAAGCTCTTGTTTGTTCGAGATGTCTAATATTACAAACTTGTGGAAACTATACATACATTTTTATATAATTGCAGAAATATATGAATATTAAACATAATTGTCATATTTAAATTATTTATATGGCTTAGGTTTTAAAGCTATAGGGAATACATATGATTTTTCCACCTTTGCTAAATTTTTGGTAATTATGCCAATTTTGTAAACGTACATATGTACATATATATGTCAGAAGAAAGTTAACACATTAAACTTGTAAAGAAATGATGCTTTAAATTATTTATTTATAACAAAGTTATAGACATTTGGTTGGTGCTCATAAACTATGATACAATTATGTATGCTTGAGTTCCACAAATATTTTATTATACATAACTTCCCTCATTTCCGACCCTATAAATCATACATATTTTTGATCAGCATCAAAAGACAAGTAGATTTAGCCATATCCGGCTGAAAAAAAAACTTCCAAAATTTTATAAGGGGTTTCATCGTTAAATTTTGAGAAATTGAAGGAAATGTTAATTTTTTTAAATTTTTAATTTAGTTTGGTTTATTTATTTGTTATTATATATTAACTTAATAAAAACTAACAAAGAAGAGCTTTCCGGATTTAAATTAATCCTTTTTTGGCTTAGTTATGCCGAACTAATTAATTTATTTTAATTGTATTAATTTCTCGATCCTTTCTATGAGAGCTATATGATAGATATAGTAGTCTGACTTTCATAAAAATTAAAACGAAATTCTAAAATAATATAAAATGGCTATATCTTAAATTTATTGAAAATTTTTTAAAAAGTTATAGTTTTTTCCTAATATTTTCCATCTATATAAGAAGCTTACTTTTATGTTCGATTTCCGATATGATCGGATAATTCAATTGCAAAATATGTTGAAAATTGAAAACTAATTAATTAATTTTAATTGTATCAATTTCTCGATCGTTCCTATGAGAGCTATATGATAGATATAGTAGTCTGATTTAAATAAAAATTAAAACGAAATTCTAGAATAATATAAAATGACTATATCATAAATTTAATGAAAATTAATTAAAAGGTATAATTTTTTCCAAAAATTTTCCATCGCTCCTATGGCAGCTATGTATATGTTATAGTACGAATGAAAATCTGTTAAACAGATTTATATATACATATATATAGTCCACCGATTCGCCGTGCTCTGACTCATATACTAGTACAATTATATAAAAGAATAACTCCATAGTGTCGTTCAAATACCTTGCTCTTAATTATGTGCCAATCTCGCACATCTGTGCATATGATTCCCAACTGGTTCTAACATCCCCGGAACGAAGTGACTTCTCCCGGCCAAGTCTCGGATATGTGTTGTGTTACAAAAGTTGCAAGTCATGGTTTATTAGTGTTCAAAGTTAGTAACTGATCATAATACTTACTTACTGCTCATAGATACTTAATGATTATAGTTAGTTACTGGTCATAGATACATACTGTTCAGAGTTAATTACTGATCATAGATACTTACTGTCCAGAGTCACTTACTGGTCATAGATACTTACTGATCATAGTTACTTACTGGTCATAGATACTTACTGTTCAGAGTTACTTACAGCTCATAGTTAATTACTGATCATAGTTCTATAAATCGTCCGATTGTTCCTATGGCAGATATATATATGTATATATATTGTCCGCCGATTTACCATACTCCGACTTATATACAAGTAAAATGATATAAAAGAATAAATCCATTGTTTTCTTCAAATAGCTTGAAATGTGCTCGAAAGCAAATCTCGCACATCTTTGCATATGATTCCCAACTGGTTCTAACATCCCCGGAACGAAGTGACCTCTGCCGGCCAAGTCTCAGATATGTGTTGTGTTAAAAAAGTTGCAAGTCATTGTTTTTTAGTTTTCAAATTTAGTAACTGATCATACATAATTACTGGTCATGGATACTTACTGATAATAGTTACTTGGTGGTTATAGATACTTACTGATCATAGTTACTTAATGATTATACATACTTATTGATCATAGCACTTACTGTTCAGATTTACTTACTGATCTTAGTTACATACTGACCATAGTTACTTACTGTTCATAGTTACTTACTTTTAAAAGATACTTGCTGATTATCTACATTTAACAACCGTTTGTTTGGCAGTTATATTATATAGTATTCCGATTTTCATAAAACTAAAAACGAAATTTTATAATAATAAAAGATGGAATCAAATTAGATAAAAATATGTTAAAAACTGTAAAAGTTAAATAATTTTTTTAAATCTATTTCATCAATATGACTCACCTCAACAGGTTGCAGCTATAATAATAGGCTTAACTTACTTTTATTCCATTAAAACATTAATATGCTAAGACAAGTATTATTTTTTTTATTGCATATTAAACTAGAAATTAAAAAGAGAATGACATTTAGTTTTGTTTTTGGAAATACTGTTTTTATTCAACATAAATTTTGTTTAAAAGTAATTTTTCTTGCATTTCGTATTTCATGTAATGTATATAGTACTCGATGTTATATAATAACGCATATGCTATTTTTGTATTTGCTTGCTAAATCTGTAGTTATTCATCATATTTTTGAACAATTCAATTTACTTGGTAACGTTGATTAGAAATGAGCCTGAAGAATACACTATGAACATTTAAATACAAGGATCAATAGCTGTAGTTTTAGATCTGGATATGATGGTGCAGCGAAGGAAGGCAGGAAGCGAAGGCAGTTTCTCGGCACCCCATAAATTGAGTCATACTAATTTCCATTTTCTTTTTTTTTCTTTTCATTTTTAATATTTTGTGTAAAGTATTTATACGGAAGCTGAACTTGAGGTCAACAAATTTAGCTACTTGAGCCGGCCGCTTGGCAATACTTCAACGTCGTGGATGCGATTGTGGCTATGATGATGGCTTTTTATGTGGTGCGTGCGGGTGTGTATTCGTTTTTTCGCTCGCTCAACAACAGACATTGATGATCTTCGGGGATATTATGGTGCCAGGTGTCAGCTGCACACGCGTCCGTTGCCCTCGAAGCAGCGAAATCAGTCACATTGTGGTGGTGTCCATTTCGGTGCTCCGGCGGGCAACAATGCTGAATGGGCGCGTGCACAGGCTGCCAGCGGCACGAAGAATGGGTTACTATTACGCTGCCGATGCTCCTGCTCCTCCTAACCGCTGCACAACACGATAATTACAAACACAAACGACACAAAGATATATGTATATGTAAGAGTTCAACAAAGACTACAGACGACAGAAATTAATTTACAAAAAAGATAACGCATTGGAAGGGGTGCAAAAAAGTAGAAAACAAAATTCTTGGGACAGGAATGTATGCAAATTTTAAAGTGTATGTATACAATTAAAAGCACATGCCTGAAGACCTACTGCTCAGAAATATGCGTATATGTAGATGTAAAAAAAACGAACAAACTTTAACAAACTCGTATTATGCTTTTGTATGCTGCTCCCAGGATCGTGTCCTCTAAACTATATAGTAAGTATTGGCATACACCATATATATATCGGACCATATATATGAGTTTTGTGTGAATAGTAGATATTACAAAGACAAGGAACGGCAAAGTGTTTTGAATCGAATATAACCCTAGCTGCTGTTGCCGACTCTGCCAAAGAATGAGTTTACTTTTCGGTTCAATATTTAGTGGGTGGTTGGTAATAACTTGAACTGTTCCTGCTGAATAGGTGTTGATGCTGGCTGGTTCTCTTCTATCTGGTTACTCTGTTGGATTTTGTGTTGCACTTAACAATTTAATCGGTGAATTTACGATTGACGTTGCGGCCGAACAGGGCGTTACGAATCTCGGGCACCAGCTGCTGGGAAATCAGCTCTAATCTGGATTCCAGAGTGTTGGGGACCTGTTAGGAAATAAGTCAAGGTCAAGGCTTAGTTTGGTTAGCCCACTGGTTGGGAAAGCTGCTATGGGCACATACCTTGATGCGTCCGTTGAGGGCCAGCAGCTCAACACCGCCGCAGGTATCAGCAGAGAGGAAGTCTTTCTCGTCGATGACCAGATCGACGTTCTGGTTTATCTGGGCCTTGTACGACTCAGCGGCTTTGGGCAGGACGTCGCGCACCAGGGGGACATCGACCTCGCGGCAGCGCAGAATCACCTTGGGCTCCATAACTTGGAACAGTCCCTGGACGATGAGCTTGGTCAGCACGGTCTGGTATTCGGACTGGTTCTTGGTGACCTCGCCGAGACGCTTGCGGGCATCATCCAGCACGCTGCTCACATGGTCCTCGCGCACCTTCAGCACCTGTTTAACATTATCGTAGTACCAAATGAGCAGAGATTTCAGCTTTGAACTCCTAAGGAAAACGCACCTTCAGGCGAGCCTGGTTGAGCATGTTGGAGGACTGGATCTTCTTTTGGAGCTCCACCTGTTTCTCCTTCTTCTCGTAGTACTCCATGATCTTGAGACGCTGCTGCTGGACAAGGCGTCCCTTCTCGATGTTGAACTCCTCCTCGGCCTTGGCGTCGATCTCTTCGGCTTTCTCATTGGCCTCCTGCTCAATGAACGCCATCATGTGTTTGATCTGCAACGAACCGGACGAACGAAGCTCAGGTTAGTTGGTCCTGCTAAGTTAATATATCGTCACATGACGATTTCTTTTGGATATAAACGTTTAAAACTCCAGCCATTATTTATTTTCGTTAACGTTTTCGCGGCTGATAACGTAACGGGGCTTGCTGGTCGTGTGACAGAGTGCGAGTGTGGGGGCGCCGCACTAGTCGTCTCGCTCCAACCAATTGAAACAGTGCGGGGGCCGTGTCACATGACCAGCACGTATTTTTTACTCACTTTTTACGCAAAGTATTTGGACAAATATCTTTCGAATCTTTTCAATTGCCCATTGTAACCAATATACCTCTTCCAATTGTGGGATAACTCATCAAAATACTGGGCCCAATCAGCCGGGTAGTAACAGCCCATCGGAAGGGGCGGCAGCGAATAGTTCACATGACTTGTGGACATTCCTCGGATTGGATCCCATGACCTCGCCATCTTTAGTTGTTACAAACTCCAAGACTAATCTCTTCATTTTCTCCTTAAATTTACATTTGTGTCTCCCCAATTATGCTCCCGTTTACCTGTTTCTGTACATCAGCATCGCTCAATGCCATCTTGACTGCTTTTTTTCACTTGCACAAAACCGAAAGAAATTCAAGTGTTTCGAAGAAATCCACGTTCGACCGTGCCTGCAATTAATTACAAATTTATTAAACTAGTAAATTCAGAGCCGAGTTTATATTGAAACTGTGGGAAAACACGAGGAAAGTGGAAAAACGATAAGTTACTTTGCCTTCTGCCCGACGTCTGAAAATTTTCACTGCAAATCGATCATATGATTTTACGGGGAGTGTGACCCTGCTGTGGCAGGCCAAAAAATGTGTATTTGTCGGCAGGGAGGTACTTTTCCACGTCTGCGGCGAATGGTATGTCGGCGCTTCGCGGTGACTGCTTCATCTCCATGTACACACGCTGAATAGAAGAAAAAAATTGTTTTCGTCTGGATTTCGGTGAAAATAAATCATTTATTCCAATTCGCAACAGTACTTTCACACTAGAGAGCCATGGAGACGCTTCTGGAGCAGCAGCGGCGCTACCATGAGGAGCGCGAACGCCTGGTCAAGCTGATGGTAGACGAGCACGCCACGAAGAAGCCGGGCGAGAAGGAGCGCATCCACTCGGAGCACCGGCTCAAGTACCTCATGGAGCTGCACCACAACGCCACCGCCCAATTGCGCGACCTGTACGAGGACAAGGACAACGAGCGCAAGGCGGAGATTGCCGCCTTGTCGGGACCCAATGAGTTCAATGAGTTCTATGCCCGCCTCAAGCAGATCAAGCAGTTCTACAAGTCGCATCCCGCCGAGGTGAGCGTGCCGCTGTCCGTCGAGTTCGACGAGATGATTCGCGTGTACAACAATCCGGACGACATGAGCGCCCTAGTGGAGTTTACTGACGAGGAGGGCGGAGGCCGTTATCTGGACCTCAACGAGTGCTACGAACTCTATTTGAACCTGCGCGCCGTAGAGAAACTGGACTACATCACCTACTTGATGTCTTTCGACCACGTTTTTGACATACCGCGCGAGAGAAAGAACCGAGAGTACCGGAAGTACTTGGAAACCCTCAACGATTATCTGCACCACTTCATCCTGCGAATTCAGCCGCTACTGGACTTGGAGGGGGAGTTGCTAAAGGTAGAGCTTGATTTCCAGAGACAATGGCTGCTTGGCGTCTTTCCCGGCTGGTCACTCAAGGAGACAGAGTCGGCGTTGGCCAACACTGGCGCTCACCTCGATCTCTCCGCCTTCTCCAGCTGGGAGGAGCTGGCATCGCTGGGATTAGATCGTCTCAAGTCCGCCCTGGTGGCCTTGGGGTTGAAGTGTGGCGGCACACTAGAGGAGCGTGCCCAGCGGCTGTTTTCGACGAAAGGCAAGAGCACTCTGGATCCCGCACTGATGGCAAAAAAACCCAGCGCCAAGTCTGCCAGCGCTCAGTCACGTGAAGGCGAGCGTCACAAGGAGATTGCTCAGCTGGAGGCTTTACTGTACAAGTACGCTGAGCTCTTGTCTGAGCAGCGGGCAGCCACAAAGGAGAATGTGCAGCGGAAGCAGGCTCGGACCGGCGGCGAGCGGGACGACAGCGATGTGGAGGCCAGCGAGTCGGACAACGACGACGACCCCGATGCCGACGATGTGCCCTACAATCCCAAAAATTTGCCACTTGGCTGGGACGGCAAACCAATACCCTATTGGCTGTACAAGCTGCACGGCCTGAACATCAGTTACAATTGCGAGATCTGTGGCAATTTCACGTACAAGGGTCCCAAAGCCTTCCAGCGACATTTCGCTGAGTGGCGTCATGCGCACGGCATGCGATGCCTGGGTATTCCCAACACCGCCCACTTCGCCAACGTTACCCAGATCGAGGACGCGATAACGCTGTGGGAAAAACTCAAGTCGCAGAAGCAAAGCGAGCGCTGGATAGCCGATCAGGAGGAGGAGTTCGAGGACTCGTTGGGCAACGTGGTCAACCGTAAAACATTTGAGGATCTGAAGCGCCAGGGACTGCTCTAGAGTGTAGATTTAGTAGCTGTTGGGTGCAGCGTAGTATATGGACAATTTAAATTCACTATTCTGTAAATCCAACCCATAAAGTTTGAAGTCACCCATTTATAAAATAAAAGTCTTATCTAAAACCATATAATTGTGAGCAAAAATAATTATTCATCCCGCACCTTTGCGGGAGAAGTAAAACTGCAATTGATTAACTTTTTCAGAAGTCATCTCTTTATTTTAATCATTTTTATCCAATTTGCGCATATCTGGATTATTTTATAGCGTATATGTGTATATTTATGCATGCATATGTGTTTATTGTATAAAGCAGCTGTGAAATTGAACTAATATCATTTTAAAAATTAGTACTTATTAAATAGTAGAATCCACAAGACAAGCTTAAGCTTATTATCGATAATTTGAATAAATAACTAAATTATATTTAACAAACGACTATCCAAATAAAAAGGAAGTAAATATATATAATTTTATGTATATACAAGTGAAATTTTAGTTTAAAATTAATTAACTTGCGGTAATGTTTAAACGTAAACTTTGCTTGTCATTGAACTAGGAACTAATGATTTCAGACCCAACAGTGAGTATTTTAGTCAAGAATGTATAGAGTTATCCAAAGATTGTCATTACATTTCTTAACAGAAGAAGCGAACCACCTTAGTCGATGTATGCAATTTCAACGGAACCAATCTCTTTTGAATAGCAATGCAAATAATATTTAATTAGTTACTGACTTAAGATCTACATACATATATGATTCAGCCAAAGATGTATGCCTGCACTTTGAGTCCAACATTTTCCACTTTGGCCAAGGGAAGCAGGGAAATCTTTTGCGATGGCGCCTGCGACTCGAAGTTCTCGATCTGGAGATAGGGAAACTCTTGGTACTGGGAGTCATGGCTCAGCCGGACGAATGCATCCTGGAAAGTGTGCACATGGACCTTAAAGAGGCATCGACCGTGCGAAAGCCTGGGCAGATGCTTTACCCGCTCGGATAGTTTGTAAATTGCCGAGCGCAACTGTTGCTCATACTCCATCAAATTAGGATCCTGTGGCGCTGACTTGGAACCTGGATCCTCAAGGGACTCCACCTGGAGCTGGTAGCTTTCTAATGGCTCATTATCCTTTTGGTAAATAATCACCTCCAAACATAGCAGCTCCTGGTGGGCGAGTAATTCCCTGGCAGATCGCAAAACAGACGCCAAATACTTGTTGAGCGGCGGAAAAATAGAGACCAAGACCGGGGTGTTGTAAATACGACGTTTCTTGAATATCTGAGCCGGATAAACGCCCCGCGAGTATAGAATATGGTGTATTAACACCTCCATAGCTTCCAAGTAAATATCGATTGTTTTTTCAGACTGCATTTTCTAAACAAGCAAAATAACGTCGCAAAAATAAAAATCAATATCAGCAGTAGCGCTTAGAGATGGAAAACCATTGGTGGTGCCATCGATTTAGATTTATATTCATAATTCGATTGATACCATGGAAACTATCGATGGGTTGGACTATCTAATCAGCAGAGCTGCCAACTTGGACATATTCTAATTTAATTATTATTTATTATTTGTTATATTATTTTACTGTTTTACACAATTGATGTACTATTTTGGAATCTTGCTTGCTAAATAATGCTCTTGAAATGTTTTGCATTACAAGTTGTACAATATTTTTTAAAATTATGATATTTTCCACAAATTCTTAGAATGTTGTCTAAGAGCGCAACTTGTATTTTTTTTTTTTAAAGGAGAAATTAAAAATATAATTTGATATCAGAAATTTAGAAAAAGGAATGTGCCTCTCTTATTTTGTTTGAAACACGACGAAATAAAGATCTATAATAAATGATCTAAATAAAATAAATAAATAAAAATCATTTAAAATGTATACATATGCATGTATAACAAATGAAAAGTAAATAAATGTAATCAGATATGACTATTCTCACTTGTGACTTGATCTAACTCTATTTCTTTTATATATTATGTTACTTTCGTATATGTATGCACTGTAGGTCACTACGTGGACAGCAATGATGAAATCACACGAATCTTAACCAATAAAAGGCAAGGCATGAAAAATAAACAATGTGGTAAAACTTTAATTAATTTCGTCTAGAACTGTTTTATTATGTGTTTGTTTGGAAGCCATATTTTAAATAAAATTTATAGATTCTAAGCTGATCTAAGCTAGTGTGATAATCATTCCAAAAAATACTGTCAATAGTATTTACCTCAGAGTATTTTTGTAAAGGCTTTGCATGGTCACACTGCTGCCGTACATCGGCAACAGCGGCAATCTATCGTTAGCTATATTCAACGGCCTGTCCCATCTCTAGCTGAAAAAATGGCTGAAATTGGAGTGTGTGTGTGAATAAAACTGTGTGTGAAAAATTTGCGTTTGAAACCAATTTGAAAATACAGGCGTTGCAGCCACAAAATTGCTGCCCCTCGTCCACTGCCCACTGCAGCTGCCTAGTCCGTGTGTGCACACGGCGCAGGAGACCGAGCGATCGCTAGACGGAGCGCCGAAAAATTTGCGATTGATGCCACTCTCGGCACTCAGCGGCCTGCAATTATAGACAAGCAAAGCGCAAGCTAAGCGAACACACGGATTACATTCTGGCTGGGCGAGATCGAGAATGTAGTTGGCAAACCAAAGCAGAGCAGAGAAGCTTCGGGGCACGGATAACTAGATGAAAATTCAGAAAAGACCAGCACTCCCTATATGTAATATATATGTAATACACACGCGCCTGCCCCGCCGACAGTGTACACACATCTATATATCGGCTTGATACACACATACGCAGTTGCATCAGCATGCCCGACCGTGATTCTGGATCCGATTCCGACGCTGGCCCATCCATGAATCAGCAGCAAAAGCAGCAGGCCGCGCGGCCCAAGCGGAACCGGCGCATCATCATGCGGATCGAATTTAACGATTCGGATGACACTGCCTCGGATCCCGAACTCGATCAGCGGCCCTCCTGCTCAACGGCTGCGGCGGCGCGGCAACTTCGCAGCACTCGGCGTCAGGAGGAGGAGATGGAATCGAATTCCGACTCGGATGCAGTGCCTCGAAAGTTCACGCGCAAGCAGCGCAGTCGCTACGGGCCGCAGAGCGACTGCTCCTCCAGTGGCAGTGAGGTACGATCACGCACTATTCTGGAATGCAGCGAGTGGGAATCCCAAAGTTGTGAAATAACAATTCAATGTGTCCCAATTATTTCATTGCAGATCAATCAACGTCCCATGCGCAGCACCAAGAGAAAAAAGGTAGTGTCCACCGAGGAGGAGGACGAGTCGGAGGAGGGTAGTACTGCGGGACGTAGAGTACAGCGCACTACGGGTGAGCCGGATCCCGGCTTCACTTCCGACAGCAGCAGTAACGATTTGCTCGAGAAGTGTCCCATCTGTCTGCTTACCTTCCGGCAACAGGAGATCGGCACCCCGGCAACCTGCGAGCATGTTTTCTGTGCAGCCTGCATCGATGCCTGGTCGCGAAATGTTCAAACCTGTCCAATCGACCGAATCGCGTTTGACCGGATTGTGGTGAGGGATTCCTACGCCAATCGCAAGGTGGTGAGAGAGGTGAGAGTCGACTTGAGCAAGTCGAAGACCGAGTTGGCGTTGGACGAAGAGGTTGAGGGGGGCGCGGCACTGGAAGAGGACGTGACCAATTGTGAGATCTGCGACAGTCCGGAGCGCGAGGATGTGATGCTTCTGTGCGACAGCTGCAACCAAGGATATCACATGGACTGCCTGGATCCCCCGCTCCATGAGATTCCGGCTGGTTCCTGGTACTGCGATAACTGCATCGATTCCGAGGATGAGGACCCCGATGAGCAACTGGAATTGGCCGACGACTTGAGCCAGCTGTATGAGGATATTAGAGGCATGGGCCTGCCTGAGACGCGCCTCCGGGTGCGAGAAGTTCAGCAACCGCCGAGGATTCTACGCACTCGACAGAACGAGCGCATCCGAGCGGCAATCCTGCGACGCACTCGATCCGACACTGCCTCGGCAGAAGGTTCTACTCAGACTCGCACGAGAACCCGCACCACCACTACAACCACTACTACTACAACAACAACTCGACGGACCACCACCAGCACGACCAGAAGAACAGCGCCACGACGCCGCCGGAGGAGACCTCGACACCGCACTTATGTGGTGGAGTATGATCTAAACAACTTTGACGAGAAGTTTGCCTTAAAGACCAGCAGGAAGGTGATCCGTCGTCGTCGACGCCGCCGACGTCGTGTTGCTGCCACCGCCTCCAGTGAGGGAGCAGGACGCCGACTTACCGCCAGCAAACGACTGGCAGAGCAGATGGGTGTCAAGTCAGAAGGAGTGCACCGGTCGCATCTGAGCGGAGGAACCGCCGCCAGCTTCACACTGTTTGGCAATGCAAACGACCTTGAATACTTTTCGGACAGCGAGCCAGACTGCGACGGCGCGCCATCCTCCGTCGGACTTGGCTCCACTGCAGTTCAAACCTCGGTTCGCATCGCTAGTGTCGGAGCACCACGTAATCGGAAGGCATTGCTTCATGGCAAAGCTCGCACGGCGGCCACTTCATCCGCGTCGGCTTCAGGCGCAGCTGGAGACATTTTGTCCTCCATTTTAGAACTGCAGGATCGGTGGCACGACGCCTCTCGGAACTTGAGCGACGTGCATATTCGAGCCGATGGCAGTCTAAATCTCCCCCTAGAGTGGCGCCTGCAGCAGCACCGGCGGCTTCCTCAAAGCCCGCAGAGCACGTTACCCAGGCCCCGCTGTACCAGCGCGGAGGAGCACGACCCAATTTCAGTAGAGGCGGTGGAGCGGGCGGTGGTGATAACTACAACAATCGCTACAGCGGAAATAACAGCTTCAGGGGTGGTGGCGGAGAATCAAGCGCTGGTGGAGGAGTAGTCCAATCAACCGGCGGCGGCAGCGGAGACGGCCAACAGGCTGGCGGTTTCAGCAATCAAAACTTTAGCAGCCCCAGCGCCAACAATACCAACACAAACGTAACTAGCTTCACACCCTTCCACCTGCGCTTTAATACGCCCAATCGCCAGCAGCAGCAGCGCCACAACATGCCACCTGCCAACCAGCCAACCATTTCACCTTTTCGCGGAAGTACGCCAACAGTCGCGCCGGCACCGGTGGCGCCATCGAACACCTTTCCGGGACAACCTCCGCTTTTCGGTCCGCCTCCTTCCGTCAACCACCATCCGCCACCGGCTATGGGACTGCCGCCAGTTCTATCGGTACCACCTCCTCCCACGCCGCCCGCTAGCCTCTCGTGGAACAATCCGATATTCAAGCTAAACACAATGCGAGCAGATGATGATACCGACAACTGTCCCAACTTTTCGATTTACTCGCAAGCGTCTCAGGCGGTGGCCAACGCGTCGGCCATGTCTACGGGAGTGCCCTACGGACCAGCTGCTGAGGAGCCCGATAAGGTATAATGGAAAACTTATAGCTTAAGCTTCCTCGTTTACTTATTGAAAGGAAAATTGGACTGGGCTCAAGCTCCAAGCATTCCATCCGCAGATGAACTCAACTCTGGTTCTTACTAACAGTGTTATGTTTATTTTCTTTAACAGGGGACACAGGACGATGATGATATGAATGAGGATTTAGTACAATTAGACGACGATGATGAAGATGAGAACAATGACATACCATTGCCACTGGGACCCGAGCCCGAACCAGTGCCCGACAAGGTTAATGAAGATCTGTATGAACCGGAGAATCCAACAGTGGAACCGGAAGAAGCAGACGTAAACGACGAATCGAATAGCGACGGTGTGCCCATGGATGAGGCCGAATCATCCGATCATAACGATGATAACAGCAACAGCAGCTCCCGCATGGTGGAAGCCCCTCAACCAGAGCACGTCGATGAGGAAGAGGAGGAGACAAAGACGCGAAGCACTCCCAGTCCGGCGGTTAAGGAGGACCGAGTGGCAGAGCGAGACCGGGCCAAGGGTGTACTGGAGCTGTACGACGATAGCGACTGGGAAGAGTTGGACATTGACAAGCCCAAGGAGTTCGAAAAGGCGCTGGATACGGGGACGGATGCAGAGGTCGCAGCTTCACCCAAACCAGCAGCTTCCAAAAAGTCAGCACCGAAGAAAGATGGTAAGACGGATAAAGATGGGAATGCGAGCGGTAGTGACCATGAGCAGGATCGCTCCTACACACCCTGTTTGGACGAAAAGATATTGGGCGATGGCGAGGAGGACGCAACAGGGGCTGCTAAGAAGAACGATGCCAATAGCAGTCGAAAGTCTCGTTCCTCTAACGCGTCTGACGATGAGGAGGAACCGGATCGAGCGCCAGCCATTAGCACGGATATTGTGTCCGAAGACGACCTAACAAATGAAAACCAATCTAAACGGCGCAGTCATAGCCCTCGGAGTCGCAGCCGGAGTGGTAGCCAAGAAGAAGCCGTCACCAGGGACAACTCCAAGTCAAAGGCACGTTCAAACCGCAATAAGGAAGAGTCCTTCAAGAAAGTGGGTAAGCGGCAAAAAGATCGCAATTACCGAGGCGATAAGCCGCTGACGGAACGTAACTCCCGTTCGGGTTCGCGAAGTCGCTCGAGACAGAGTCGCTCCAAGAGCCGGAAGCGCAGCAAGAGCAGCAGTCATAGTAAGAGCAGGAGCAGGAGTAGGAGTAGGAGTAACAGCAAGAGCAGGAGCGGGAGCAGAAACAGGACCAGGAGTCGTTCGCCCAGCCGCCATCGAAACCGGCGTCGTCGTGGCAGTCGCTCTAAATCCTATTCACGTTCTCGGTCTCGATCCCGAGATCGGTCCTACTCGCCTGGTCGCTACAGGATGGCCTTCCGTGGACGGGACTACCAGCGTGGCTTCATGCGAGGTCGTGGAGGTTTGCGCTTTAATTACCGCAACCAACAGTTTCACAACCGGCCGTTCCAGCATTATGGAAACCAAAACCATCACCACAATCAGCAGCACTTCCACCATCAGAACCAGCACCATGGTCAGCATTACTTCAACCACCACCATCATGGTCAGCAGTTCTTTCAGCGTCCCAAGCGGAGGGAAATGCCTCGCTACGATGTCCGCAATGTGGTGGGAGCATCGAGGCATCACCAGGCGCACGGAAAGGATCGTTATGGTCGCGATGCCATGCGCTCGGGTAGAAGCCGTTCGCCAAGGCGTAGCTCACGCAGTTTCTCACGCAGTGTATCTCGTGGATCGAGGGGTGGTTCCTTGCGCTCCCGATCTGGTTCCCCCAAGCGGTTCAGGAGCTTCAGCATGTCGCCCACACCACCGCCGGGTACAACACCCTCTCCGCACAAGCAAGGTGGTAATCGTAGGTCATCTCCGGACAGACGCTACGCCCGCTCGCCCTCGCCTCTGCCGCCTCCGCCCGTTGGAGAAAGGAACCGTAGTCCTGAGTCCATACATTCGCGCGGAGCACGTTCTCTCACCCCCAATCGAATCAATGGAGGAGGCATTAATCGGTCCCCAATATATATTGGTTCCCCGCGCTACACGCCTCGGCTAAGTCGGAGCAGGAGCAGAAGCCGCTCCAAGAGTCCCAAGGATGCGCCCAAGAAAAAGAAAAAGAAGTCGGACAAGAAGAAGAAGAACAAGAAGAGGACGGGCAGTGGTAGTCCAACAGCGGCCGCAAGGATGCGACGCATTTCACGGCAACGTGATCCTTTTGAAGATGACGACTTCTTGGCGCCACAGAGAAAACGAAAGAAGGGAGGTATGGGTACTGGCCAATGGTCGCCCTCACCTTCGCCTGGTCGCTGTGATTTTCTGCATGATAGCGGCTGCCAGGATAAGAACCCATCATGGACACCGCCCCTAGAATCACCTAAGGGCGCCGGAGGCCACTACGACAACGATGGTGGACTATCACCCAAAAAATCCAAGCGCAAGCGGGACAAAAGCAAAAAGAAGAAGAAGCAGCAGCCGTTGGAAAAGCAACGCAAGGAGAAAAAGCGCAAGCGGCGCACTCAGACGCCGGAGCCCCTGCCATCCAAGGAGGTCTTCGCCTCCGGCAACAACATCCTGGTGAGCGTAAGCTTTAACAAAGAGGCGAACAGCGGCAACGCCGTCTCCACGCTGAACTCCCAGCAGCAGCAGCAGCAGCAGTCGATGGTGACTTTACCTTCCATCAGGGACGATCTGTTGAGTAATCGCATGACGTCCATGACCAATAGCAATTTGGCCAGTGTGGTGGGAGTTAACAAGAAGGGCAAGAAAGATAAGTTGCGCAAACGAAAAAAGCTGGAGGCCAAGCCGGTGGCTATCATCGACCTGGAACGCTCACCTTTCCAAGTGCACCAGGAGCCAGCGGATGTTATTGTGCTAACAGACAGCGAGGACGCGACTGATCAAATGTCGATGAGAAGAGACAGGGAGCGGGATAGGGATAGGGATCACGACATTATGAGAGAGAACGGCCAAAGGGAGAAGACCCCGCAGGGCAATTCACTGGAGACAATCATGGAGACATCGTACGAGAACATGACGCAGTCCACCGGCCCCAAGACGCCACCAGAGCCACCGCTGGTCAAGTTCAGCCTGCCCAATAAGAAGTTGCAGCAGCACAAGGTGCGCAACAATCCCCTCCATGATGACGCCGACGACATAAACTCGGCGGACGAACTGGAGGCGGCCGCAGAGGAGCAGACGTCCCAGCATGGCCACAGCAGTCACGATGGCGGCCAGAAGATTGGTCCGAATACGCCGCCGGAGTCGGGTCCGTGCTCGCCGGATGCTTACGATCCCTTCGAGCCGACCAAGTCCCCGTCGCTCTCGCCGCGGTCGCCGACACCTCCTCAGGGTCAGAGTCTGGACAAGCAGCAGGTTGCCAGTATGCCTGCGAGCAGTGCAGCTGGTTCCGGGTCTAGTGACAAGAACGACAACGATGGCGCTCAGGCGACCGTGTCCAATGCAAGCACTAGCACCCAGACCCAGACCAATGTCATCAATCCAGTGGATTTGGTGATGGCGCTGATGAATAAGCCCAACCAAAGCGGAGCCGCCAACCAGCAGGAGAGCGAAGTAAGCTCTGCCCAGTACATTAGCAGCAGCTCTATAAGCCTTACCGTTGGATCCAGCACGGGCGGTGGCGGAGCTGGTGTCGGAGGCGAGAACCATGACAAGGGTTCCGATGGCAACTCCATCACTGTTCTCTCTAACGTCTTGCTCACGAGCAGCAGCGTGGTGTCCAGCTCACAGCACATACCCTCGATTTCCAGTCCAACGCCGCTCTCAAAGAAGCTGACACCACTGCCCAAGGCCGGTGGCAGTGTGGCCAGCAGCAGCAGTGGCATTGGGAATCTACCCACCACGAGTGGAGGCGGTGGTGTAGGTACCGGCGGCATGCGAAATGGCAGCGGCAGCGGAAATGCCGGAGGATCGGCCAACGCCCTGGATGACTCGTTTAACATGGACATCGAGAGCCCCTATTCGCCTGGCTCGGCCGACTACGAGGATCTCTTCGAGCCACCAAGCCAGCTGGAGGGAGGCCGTCGGACGAAGGGTGGAGCTGGAGCTGCTGGCAAGACCGAGATGTTCGATAACCTGTTTGGGAGCAGTTCGCCAGTGGGCAACATCCGGGTGACATCGCGCTACAACTCGGGCAAGAAGTACCGCAACAAGAGTGACCGCAAATCAAAAACAAAAGGTGAGTGTTGCCTATTAGATTCTGCTTTCCAATTGTTTATTGTATAGAGGATACAAGTTTGCAATTGTAAAACCAATTAATTTTATATTTTTCTCAGGTGGAAGAATACCTGATTCTTATGACGATGTGCCTAATTCGGCAATGGATCTGCAGAACAAGGATAGAGTGAGTCCATTTCAGATATTCCCCATAAAGCTGCGACAAATTATGAATGTTTGTGTTTACTTTGCAGTTTTTACGCAAACTAAATCGACAGGAACGTGTCGTTGAAGAAGTGAAGTTAGTTTTGAAGCCGCACTTTAACAAGAAGGTGATTACCAAGGAGGACTACAAGGACATCATGCGAAGAGCTGTACCCAAGGTAAATTTCAAGCAGGACATTTCAAGCCAATTTACTTGAAACACTCTAAATTTATCTGTTTAAAAATGTTTCTCCTTAGATCTGCCACAGTCGGTCTGGTGAAATCAATCCACACAAGATTAAAAATCTTATTGACGCCTATGTAAAGAAATTCCGGGCGAAGCACAAGAAGTTGAGTCTCCTCAACACGGGACAGGTCAGCAGTGCGGTCAAGTGTGCCGCCTATCTAAAGAAGCTATAAGCAAGCTAGTATGAGAGCGAGCCAACGCCTAGGTTCAGGCAGTAAGAGATGACGCGACGCGTCTTAAGGCATACGATTAATAGGCGTTTAATTTTGCAGCGTTTGGATAGTAAAATCGAAAGAATTTTGTGGTCGCATGCATTCCTACCGCCTACCATCATCAAATTTAAAATCAACTATATTCACCGGCCGCAATGGAAGAAGATATGGAAAAGTAAAAGGAACCACTCATAAACTGTCATTATAACTATTGGAATTTAGTTTTTAAGTCAATTTTAGGTCACATTACGAATGATTTTTAGAGCTTAAGCGTAACAAAGAGAGAAGTGAAGAAGTATTTAAAATTAAGCAGAAGCAACCTTTGCCACTCAATATTTTCATTTTTACCCAAAGCACTATACACAAAAATACTTTATTTATATATCAAGACTAGTTCATTAGATTGTTTATTCGTATGACACCCTGTAATGATAATATTGTAACTGTGTTCTGCAGTTAATTTAACCAATTGTAAGTAGTTGAGTGATGAATGCAAAAATAATTATATTTTACCTCTGATAATTTAAAAATATTTAAATTAAATCACACTTGAGAAACCTAATTGAGAGCCCAGCCCAGGAACACCATTGGCCTGTACGAACATCTCGTGGCGTCGCCTATGCAATGGAGTGCTACTTTTCTTGAGACGGTAGAGAGTGTTGTATCGAACGATTGTAATTATGTATTCATATACGAATAACTGAATGGACAGTTGGACAGTTTATTTATTCAAACACTTGATTTCGCATAGTCTGCTGTCAGTTATGATTTTGAAATAAAGAGTAAAGAGTATATTGAAATATACAATTAATACATACACGAATTGTGCTAAATCGTTTTGTAAATATATCCATTTAAATAAAAATAAAAGCGACCATTAACTAATCCAATTATGATATATGGCCTTAAGGGGTGGGCCTATTTTTTCGTTGTTTTCCGAGACTTGAGCGAAATCATGGTTTTATTTTGATTCGAAACTTGATAATCTTTTAGATAGCAATTTTTGTGGTATAAATCGGACCAATATAATTAAAAATATCCTTATTGGGTACCGTTTGAAAGATATTTTTCTATAATATCGGTATTTTACCTTTAAATTTTCGATATATCAACGTAATCAGTTTTTCCGTTTTTTTTTTGTTGATTTATAGGACTTTGCCACCTACATCGCTTTTTTTTTTTGGAAGTTCTTAAGTCTTGTCTCTTTCGCAAAGTAGATTCTTAATTGGACCCCAATATAAATACATTTTATACAAGTACCCCGAATTTAAGAATAAACTGTATATTTTTTGGTAAAGTTTATTAGTTGGATTTTTGTGTTCTGCTTTTGTTGCATTTGTTAAATGTATATAAAGTATGTGTATATAATAAATAGTTTTGCACATTTATAATTTTCATCGAAAAATGATTACAGTGTCTAATTGAAGACGTCTGATCCTCAGAGATGAGTTGCGAATATTTGCTCCCAATGTGGCGTGATCGGTCTTAGGGACAAATCAAGTAATCAAGTCAAATGAGTATTCCATTTCGAAAGCGGTTTATATCGACAATCGATTGAAATAGTATAATATTATTATTCAACTGAATTATCCTTTAGAGCCTTTTGATTTTGCTTGGATTGCCTATTTTAGCTTTCAAGGGTACGAACAAATTGTGCTAATCTCCTTGTAAATAAACAAAGTATTTAAAAATAAACGTATATACGTGTTCAACAAAAAATATCCTTAATAAGCACTTTGTTTGATTTTTGGTAGTCCTCAATTAAGGCAATCGACGATGTTACCAGCAATTGAGTTTCTCCAAATTGTGAAGTTTAACAAAAGGTTGATCAACAAGAGGCAAACAAACGAAGCAGGTTGCACGATTCCTTCTCAATAGGTTTTGTGGCTATATGTTTATGTACTTATTATGAAATTTGGTTAGATTACGATTTTGTTTCGGGGTTCTTTATATTAAATGCCAGTTTAGTTGTCGTATGAGCGCAGACTTTGGCTTACACTGTCGTCGGAGATTGTGCGATTCCACACCACATCCGCACACCCTATGATGCGACGTCACTATTATGATCTCTACCAGAATCCGGAAGACTTGCCGCCAGGTGGGTTCTTTACCTTGATGCACGCTCGAACACCAGATCGGTCCAGTTCCTCTGTGAATATAGATTTGCGATTTCTTTAACAAAGCTGTTTATATCTTTCATATTCATCATATATTACCGCTTATGGAGAACGAAGACTCCTGCAAGTCACGTTTCCCATCCACGCGCCCACGCACCGAGGGTGTGCTGCATAGCGAACCCTCGGCTGGCATGGCCAGGTTTCCGGCCAGCATGGCGCTGATAGGCTCCTGCACTGGAATTTGAATATCCAGCTCGGCGAACCGCTTGGCCACATTACCGTTCTGCTTCTCTTCATGCGGCTCCTCCGGCTGCGATTGCACCTTACCCTCAATGATGTCGTAGACAAAAGGCGGACGAACCGGAGTCGGAATAAAGCGTCCAAAGCCCTCTGCCACGCGAACATTTCCTCGTTCGGCACAGATGCGTCCACGCACTAGAACGTACTCGCAGATGCCATGGACGGTCATGCCCTCGAAGATGTTAAAGTCACAGGCATGGTGGTGTGTGTCCTTGGAAATGGTGCGGGTGGCATTTGGATTCCAAATCACAATATCAGCATCCGAGCCAACAGCTAATGGGAAAGGAATAATAATTATTGATTGATTTTCTTTTTAGGGCTTTAAGATTTACCGATTCGTCCCTTCTGCGGATAAATGTTGAAGATCTTGGCCGCGTTCGTGCTCGTTACGGCCACAAAGCGACAGGGATCAAGAAGGCCGGCGTGGACACCCTTCTCCCATACCAGCGACATTCTATCCTCAACGCCGTTAACTCCGTTCGGGATCTTGGTGAAGTCACCCTTGCCCATCGCCTTGTGCTCCTTATTAAAGGTGCAGTTATCGCTGCCAGTCAGCTGCAGGTCGTCGCTGTGAGGAGAACGTCAAAGATTTTTTAATATCAGGGAAGTGAAATGATCCTTGATTAGGTCAGTTAAACAAAACGAAACGAACAATCACCACAGGGTGGGAGGTGCAACGATCATGTCTTATGCTCGAAGACTTACTTACTTCTAGAACATGGAAATTTAATCTTATTTCCTTATTTTCTTTATATTTTTAACCAAATAGGTAAAACTTCGGTTGTAGGTTCATACAACTGCGGTATCCTATATTGTCCTTTTTATATGGTGACACATAAATGAGCAACTTATGATGATACTTACTACGCCAGGGACTTCATCAGTTGTCTGGGCGTCTCGGCAGACTCCCGGATCGGCGGACTGGTGATGCAGTAAATGCGATCCCCCTTGGGCACACCACTCATAGAGCGACCCAGGGAGCTGGCTAGCGTCTCTCCGAAGACACAGTAACCGCTGCGACGGGCACGGCCCACGAGCTCGGCGGATGATTTGCTGGTCAGGCCGGACACAAAGAGCGGTGTCTTCATCTGGGCGATGGGTGAGCGTGTGAGTGAAAGCATGGGCAAACATGGAAACGTCATTAGATTGGATTAGTGTGCTAGGTCGAGCCGGAACGCAATCAGTGGGTTAATTTGTTAGTGGATATGATACAAGCAGGCATAAGCACAGGCCCCGTTAGTATGCAGATTAGCCATCATCAACATATGTATATAATACATTATCCCAGGACCAGAGACCGTAATCATTATGTGTACCCAAAAACTAACGAAAATAGGTAACTGAATATATAACAATAATTAAGCCATTGCCAATATTTACACATCAAATTAGAATGAAAGTTTTTAAAAATATCTATAAATAGCAGTCTCGAAATGTATCAAATTGTTTTTAAATCTTAAAATCCTATATTTTCCTCTTCAATTTCGATTAATTACTATTATATCGTTAGGTTTAAAAGCTCCTCGTTGACTTCTTTTTGACATTTATAATTGATAGAAATAGTTTCCTTGATGTTTCTTTTATTTACGGTCCCCGTCCTCAATCCGAACAGCACTTACTTCGCCAACAGCTTCATCAAGAATTCGGGCGTCGTCTTGTCAGGCCGCAGGGGCGGGCTGAGCACATGCGCGGCTTCATGATCAAAGCCCAGGTGCTGGCAACAGGTCGCATCCGTGCCCAGCGCCGCGGCCAGGGTCTCGCCCATAATGTAACGACCCCGGTACCTTTGGCGGGCCCTGGCCAGCTCAATGCCCGCCGACTTGCTCATCACATGGACCACATACAGCGGACAAGCGGCCTGGTAGCCGAGAGTCGGGATATTCGTTTATATCGAGGGGTTATATCGAGTGCCGCATACCGCATATATAATATGTACAAGGGTGCATCATACACAATGGAAATAATAAGAAATCAAAAGGTGTAACATATAAATAAACGATAATTATAGCACAGCCTGTTTCAGCTGGCCCGCTACCGACATCCACATCCACCACTCACGCTCTCATCTCTCCTCTACCGCCGGCTAGCCATCGGCACTTGGGAGTGGTCTTACCTGGTGGGCCAGAACGCAGGCGCGGTGCACGGCCTCCGCCTCGACCTCCTCCGGCCGGGATAGCTCATGACCCTCCGGTCCATTGATGCCTTCGGCCAGCAGGCGTTGCGTGTTCTTGGCAATAATATCGCCATTCTCGGCATGGACCTGTATAGGAAGTAATAATATTACTCAAAAGTACTTTTTAACTGGTTTCGGTTTATAATCAACTAACTGAATATGTATTTATTGTTAAAGATACTACTGATAATGTTACAACTAGTTACTAAATTAGAAATTTGACTTACCATAGCCACACCATTCAAGTGTCGAATGCGCTCAAAGACATCTAAAAGGTCTGAATCGTTTAGCTGTTAAGTATAACCAGATTATTATGGGTCTTAACATGGCTTAAATTAATCAAAAACAGCTAACCTGGTAGAGACCCTTGTAAGCCATGAATGTTTTGAAGGAGTTAACTCCAAGCTCTTTGCACAGAATACCAATCTCCTCAGAGACCGATTTTGACCACCAGGTGATACCTACATGCAAACCATAGTCGCAACATACCTTGAAAACAATTAAAGGAATATTATATTACATTCACAGATATTAAAATCAAGTTTCTTAACATTTAAGGAGCCTAAATCTCGTACCTTGGGATCAGCCCAGCTGCGCCATTTGTCGTAGGCCTCGATCATAGACTCATGTTTGTTGGGCAGAACAAAATCGACTAAAAATATGACAATTGTAAGCCCCTGGTCCTTGAACATGGATTAAATCCATTATGCTTACTTATCATGGTGGTGCCACCGGCAACGGCAGCCTTGGTACCGTGATAAAAGTCATCCACGGCAACGGCTCCGCCAAAAGGCAGCTGCATGTGCGTGTGGGGATCAATGCCACCGGGAATGATCATAAGCCCGCTGGCATCAATGGTTCGTACTCCTCCTGGTATCGTGATTTCAGAAGCGGGTCCCACAAACCTGACAAGTTATAGATTATTAATTAACTAAGTTTATATGAGGAATGATTTATAGGGTATATTTCTTTTACAAGTTTCGGAGAACTACAAAACTAGTAAATTGTGAAAATATACTAGAGTTTTTAATCCCAAAATCATGGCACATACTTGATAATTCCATCCTCGATGTAAACGTCCGCCTTGAACGATTTATCATGGTTGACGATCTCACCTAAAATAAAAAGCAATATATTTGTTATGAAGGGTATGTATAGGCATCACACTGGGACGCATGATAAGCTTACCATTCTTAATGTAGACACGATTCGCGGCGCTCTGCAAGTGAATGGGCACCTTCTTAACCGGTTTCGGGCTAGTCGACATGGCGAGAGTCTGCAGTTAAATGAGTGAGTGCTGTGAGTGAACGAAAAGCTAGACTGGGGAGGATTTCCCCATTTCCCACAGACAGAGACACAAGCACGCGAGCGAATAGCCAGGCATTCATTCATTCATTCAAATGGGGTTGTTGGGCCTTTTGTGGTGGCTTATGAGTCATCGTCATCAGAGGCATCGCCTCCAGGACAGGCTCCAGACACGTGCCGTACATTAAAAACTGTGCAAACTGAGCCTAACCCCTATGTGTACTCAGAGAAATAATCAATTGAGAAGCTTTGTGGGACTTAAGATATATCTAAAATTTGACATCTCTAAAGTCCTTCTTGGAAAAATATTGAAAAACATGAGAAGTCTTGACATAATTGTTATCAAACGACTTTAGTTACAAATAACGAATTAAGCTACTTAATACCTTTAATCAGTCTTTATTTATTTTTAACACTCTGAACTAAGAAATTTTCATTATTAAAACCTTTCCTCCGAGTGTATATGTATGTAGCAAATCGATAGGTATTATGACCCCGACTTTCCACTGATTACGATGATACTGATGACGAGGCTGCGGACCCACAGTGCAGCAGCAAGGCAAATGTCATCGCAGCTCGTTTGTCTTTTCAGCAGATTGGTTCCTCCACTCGTCAAGCGTTTTGTTCCGCCGCCAGACAACCGAACGCGACACAATATAGTAACTGCATAATGTGCCAGGCAGAATTTTAATGTTGCGCCTAAGCCATTACAAGGGCCATCTTCTCCTCCTCCTCTCGTCCGACGTTCCGTCTCCGCCCCTGTTTGTGCTGCAGTTGTGGCCCAGTACAACGCAGCCAACCGGGCCAGCGGCCATTAACCTTTGTTGCTGAAGTGTTATATGGCCTACTCGGTTGTGGCTGTCCCCCTCAAGTACTCCCTATTTAGTGGCGAGTGTTGCTGTGATGTACTTCGGACGGATGGTGACTCGAGAATGGCATTGACGATGGCCCCAAGACCAAGCCCAAGCCAAGAAGTTCAAATTGTGCCATACGAGTACAACAAAGCGACCAAAAGAGAGTAGGGAGTTCGGTGCAGGAAGTATTTGTTATGGGTCTATGAATATACGAGGGCCTCCCATACAGCTGCGGCCAATGGGACAGAACCACTAGCACGCAATGTGGGCTAAGGTGATTTATTCTGTCGTTGGTATTGCAAGCAGGTAATCCCATGAGGCGAATCAGTACTGCAGATATCCACAGAACAAGGCTAAAAGTACTTTGCTTTTCATATACCAGGCTTTTCTTCAAAAATAGATTGTATTTCTTAGTACTTTCTGCTATATACTATATTTTATCTATAGTGAGTTCAATTTTATTTACTCCTAATGTTAATAAATTCGGTTATGAATTATGTATATAATTAATACAGTAGCTGTAGGTGATAAGAAACCGGGATGAATTATTTATGCAATCGTTACTGGTGCAGAAATGCCACTTGCTTACCAAATGACAAACCGTTGTCATACAAGTTTAACTTGTTTTTGAAACTTCAAACATGCGATTTTAAACTGACATGTATATTCAGCTTTGCCAAAATATCTTTTGCGAAAGTGTGCATTGTATCCATGGGTTACCATTTAGATGCAAGGGTATCTTAATCATTTTTAAAACCTCTTCTGCTTGGCAAGAAAGTTCTCCAAAATTGTATGCAGATTTAAAGTGAAATGAACTAAATATAGCCAATGTTTAAAAGGTAAAGCCGCCAAACGATTTATATAAAGCTTCCTTTCTTGTTAATTGGTTATTAGCCACAAATCTTGGCAACTCAAAATATATAGATCTATATATATAGATAAAGAATCCATTATCAGATGCTACAGTTTTCACCGCAACTGTGGATATGCCTACTTTGTTATGGTAATGATTATTGGGGGTGCATGACGTGTTTGAAGATGGCTACATTTCATTCATTCAATTTACACTGAGGCCGGCCGCCTGGTGATGGTTAATGGTGTTTCTCCCTGTTTCTGTGGAGGTGGACGCGGAGGCATATATTGGATTAAGCGAGCACTTTCCCCTTTTTTACGACGGAACATCCGAAATAAACAGAAGCCCGCTTTGCCGAATGCATGTGTTTGGATGCAATGAACTAGATTATCTGTTAGCATGTGTTTATATACTATATACGATGCACTGTCGGGGTATGTACATGTATAGAAAACACACAAGTGGGTTTGTAGGTACATAATGCAATTAATGCAGCCGCATTAATGTAGGGGAAAATGTGCAAAGCTCATTCTCTCTGTTGTGTCTGAATTTTGTGGGTCGCTGGTGCTCTCTATAGGCATACAAGTTTTTTTTTGTTCAGTTACAGTTTTTGTTAGCTTTTTGTCGGCCGCCTTTTTAAATATTTGTGCATCAATTACTCACACTAGCTGGACCAATTAAGCACTTGGCATGACTCCCAGGCCAGGCCTATGTTGCAAACATAGAAGTAATGGCTGCACATATTTTACTATATTCGAGATAAGCGATTAATTCTGACAGTAAAACAAATGTGGGTTAGTTTTCGAGTTGTCAGTGCAATTAATCAATTTAAGTAAAGTCCTAGGCCAACAAGTTATCTGTATTGCATGCCAGGCCATGCATAGTTTAATATTTCATAAATTAATGTAGCTCCTTTTGTTGGTTAATCGAATTTTATTGTTACTATTTAAAATAACTCGCTTCATTATCTAATTTTTTATCTTTAATGGTGTCCATTCTATAAGAAAGGTAAAAATATATTTATCAGACAGATAAAGATATTAGTTTATAATTTGGTACAGTTAGGAACCCTTGTTAAAATTGTTAATTTAAACTCTTACAAAATTTAGCAATTGGAGCTTTTCTTCTCAGTAAAGTTACAAAATAAACTCAAATATAAAGGTCCCAAAATATTTATAATACCTTTATCAGCCCAAAAATGATTTCAATAAAAGTGGCACCTCCCTTGACAGCAGATTTGATTTGTTTAGGAGCAACAACCAGGCTATATAATCTCGACCTATCTTATCTGGCGTGGGGCTGGGATCATCCTGCCAGCCAGATGGTCGAGCAGGGTGGCATGTGCGTGGATTATGGACCACTTGGTGCCTGTCCCACTATTCACTAACTTGTCGCACTTATCGCGAGCAAGTGTGTTGAACTTAGAAATGAAATCCTGACCCCGAACGCAGACACCCAAGAGCGATGCATCAGATTGTACATAGGCACGGACAAGTACGTCAATAATAAAATCAATTCCCCCGAGGGGGAACGTTCATCTCCACAGACGTCGCAGCTATGCGGTGCCGGTTTTCCAGAGTACAACGACTCCCCGGCTCCACCTTGAAGCCCCCCACTCCCCACCCCGTTTGTTATTAAATCGATAAAAAGGCTGCGAGCCTGAAAAGGCAGCAAAAAGAAAAGCCTCCGCCCGGCGGCCGTACCTGTACCGGTCCATGTTCATATGTACATGTACCCACCCATCGGCTGTCGGAGATGAGATGTGTTCATTGCACCTGATTAGCGGATTGATAAATGCAGTTGTGCCGATGTGTGCACACTCTCGGACACATATTCAGGTGTACACAGTAGGCGGGGAAATGCATGCCATGCATTCGGTTGAAACGCCCGCAAGTCTTGTTGCTCCCAACGCGGTTATGGAGAAATTTCAATTTAACGGCTAAAACATAATGGCATTATGTATACTAATGTGTGGGACCAATAAAATTTGAAAATAGAACGAGAAACTGTTGAAAATACCCACGCATTGCGCACAAGTATACACAGACACACACACAGCGACACACATACACAGAGGGCTAGAAAACACAATTGCAATACAGAAAATAGAGGAAAATACACTAGCTTTTCCTCTTCAAATCACATTCACAAATTAATTCTGCACTTGCTCCCCATCGGCATTTACCGTTAAGGTGGCTGTTGAACAAAATCTCACGCAATTTGGCAGCTGAACGAATTCAATTTACACGCACCGTACAAGTTCACCGTTTGAAAATCGAAAAACTTTTAACGCGTAAAGTGTAATGAGAGCAGTGTGGCCAGATATGTTTACTTTTAGCTATTTTTGGTATTTTTAAAAATGGAAAAGCTTATGGAGTTTGCAACTAGGTTATAGCCTCAAAAAAGCTTTTTTTAATATTCATCTAACATATTCTATTAAATATATTATATGAGATAAGTTAATTTTAAAAAATAATAATGTATACATTCTTGATTATATCTATTTTTAGCATTTCTCTTTTATATTTAGCCTGTTTTAGCTAATTGTTGTACAGACAGTCCGCTTTTCATGGTGGCATTTGTCAGCTGATCCGTAACAGAGCTGTAACATTTACTTTCTCTGCAACACTACATAAAAATAACGAACAAATCTGTATAAAAAGTAATTATTTACAAATTTTATATATCCAATTAAAAAAATTGCATATCGGATAATTGGTAGAAAATTGTCTTATTGATAAAATTAAAAACATTTTTTTAACCTTAAATGATTGTCTCATCATTATTTTACCTGTTATCAAGGATTAGGTGAGGGATATAGATATTATACTTTACCTGTTCTATTTTTGCAGTTAAACAAAACCGATTTATATATTACTTGGAAAAATTATATTTAAATTGAAACTATAAACAAAATATTAGAAGCTGTATAAATGAACTTTGTAACTGAAATGTTATTGTGAAAAAGTGTACTAACTTAAACCTGTTGTATAGCGCTAAAAGCGGACCGCAAAACCTGCTGGGCAGCAATTGCGGCCGCATCTAAATCAGTTGACGTTGGTTATTTTCTGTATGTGGACTTAAAGCTATTAGGTTTTGTAAATTTTCCTGCTGCGCACAAGGGGCATGGCCTGCCCCGTCAACGAACGCTGGGCCCAACTGTGTAGATAAGACATAATCGATTTTCATATTGCCATTGCGATTCGCCACAATCCCAACAGTTCCTAGTGCCAAAGTTTCAACTATCCAGCCTTATGATATAACGCAACTGCTCTTTTCCTGGGGGCTCCCGTTTTCGTTCTCAATCAGGATCAGTAGCTGCTGGAAAATATCACCCACAGACTGCGGGCAATATGAGATACATGTTATTAAATAACTTCAACTTAATTTCAGTTGAGCAGCAGGAACTTGCCTCGTTTTGTTTGGCGGAGGTTTCGAGAAACGCTGCTCGCCAGGTCTCGGCCAACTTCTTGCCCTCGTCTGTCGAAACGGTGCGTTCCTGGTGCAAGTCGGTTTTGTTGCCCACCAACACCACAGGTACACTGTAGGCAAAGAGTTCTTAAGTGAGCAAAATCCTTCATTAATAACACCTTGAAAGACATACTATTTCTTGCCCATCACATCCAACAGCTTCTCGTATATGATCTGGACCACCTCAAAGGACTTTTGGCTGGTTATCGAGTAGACCAGCACGTAGCCGTGGAAATCCATGCTGTATTGCACCGGGAATATGCTGTACTCATCTTGGCCGGCCGTGTCGATGAGCTTCACAGTGTACTCCTGCGAATTGACTTTTGTGTGCGTGCTAAATGCTGTGAAAGAAAAATACAGGCAGCTTGTATCGAATCTGCAGTAATTGGGTCGCTGTTCGCTTCTGGGAAATCCCCGGCCAGAGTTGCACTTGCTCAGATGCTCTACTCACTGTTCTCGATGGTGGGGTCATAGGAGTCGACAAACTGGCCTTCCACGAATTGTATACTGAGCGACGATTTTCCTGCAGGTGAAGGTGAAGGCGCAATTGTTATATTGTTGTATGGAATTGTTCGTAGTTCGCAGAATTCGTTGTTAGTGCTGTTGTCAAAATACTACGCAATTATAAGCGCCAGCAGCAACAACAACACAAGCTGCTGACTGACGGAGTGGGTGAGGTATGGTACGTACTGTATGTACATTGACTTTGATTTTGTCGCAAAACTCACCCACTGATCGGTAGCCCATGACGGCTATGTTGCGCTCCTTTGGTGGCATTTTCGAGGATTGATGTGTTTTCAATTAAACTGAGATTAACTTTGGTTTTCGGGGCTTTTCCACTCTTCGTTTTTCGAATTGTTGTCTCTGCGACTTTCGTTTGTGTGCCTGTGTGTGTGTGGGTGCTGTGTCTGTGCGCCGTGACCGTGTGAGTACACAAGGGTATTATTGCTTATTGCTGCACGACACTTGCTCGGTATACTTGTTGCTATCACAGCTATGGGGGTTTTCCAACGACTTTTAATTTAATTATTATGTATTAGATCTTCGAAAACAGCGACTTGCTAGAGCTGGAAAAAAGACTGATACTCCATCGATATTGTATCGCATTTTAGTTTTCAAATATCGATCATTCGTTGCTTTCGGTAGTTTATCCACACTCATCGTCTCACGTCCAAAATATCGTCGCGCGCACACCTCTAGGCAAGCAGCTGTTGTCAACAGCGTTTATCGTGAAAATTTGTTTAATTTGGGAATTTATAAAGCGAATCAAGTCGTTTGCTCCCTCGGAATGGGCTCGAAACGCCGAAACATCGAGGACGAGTTGTCCCGTTTCGAGGCAGAGATCTCCAAGCCTCCATCACGCAACCTTTTCGTGCCCAACCAAGTGCGGCCTATTATCGCCGCCAACACCTACAACAATGTGCAGCAAAAGTTGCAGCAACACCAACCCACGGGTGGTGGGGGTTCGCGGTTAACAGTGCCACCGCCTCCGATCCCGCCGCCACCCACATTCATGTCCACCTTTGTGCCCACGGGCAGCGGCAGTGGGTCATCGTCATCTGGCAATCATGGCAAGCCTATGTCCGCCACGCCGGTGGTCCTGAGCAGCGCCCCCAAGCTGTACCAGTGCAGGCAGTCCGTTCATGTGCCAACTGTCGCCGCTGCGCCCTCCATTGACATCAACGCCGTGTCGTTCGACGTGACACAAAAGCTGAAGAAGCTCAAGGCAGAGAAGTCCGGCCCGAATCCCATTGCCGAGGAGGCTATCAAGGCAGCTCGCGCCTCTTCGGCGCTGCAGTCATTTCAGACAACAGAGCGCAAGAAGAAGGACCGGAAAACTGTTCGGATTGCTGGCGGAAGTGTGTGGGAGGACACCTCACTGGCCGATTGGCCCGACGATGATTTCCGAATTTTCTGTGGCGACCTTGGAAATGATGTAAACGACGAAGTGCTTACCCGCACCTTCAACAAGTTCCCTTCGTTTCAAAGGGCGCGTGTGGTGCGCGACAAGCGAACCGGCAAGAGTAAAGGATTCGGATTTGTCAGTTTCCGGGAGCCGGCGGACTTTATTCGTGCCATGAAGGAGATGGACGGCCGCTACGTGGGCAGCAGACCGATTAAGCTGCGCAAGAGCACCTGGCGGCAACGCAGCCTGGACGTGGTCAAGAAAAAGGAGCGTGAGAAGCAGGTTCTCCTGCAGGCGTTCAACTCCATGAACTGAATCTGCCTCTGCCTGCGTCCGCATTAATTTTTAGGCTAGTTTCGGTCACTTTGAAGTAGCAAATTTGTTTTCGACATTGCTGCCAAAGATGAGCAATAAATTTACTTTTAGCAATCGATGTGCTGACAGCATTTTATTGAAGTGACTAACAACTAACCCTACCCATTACGAGGTAACCCAACAGCACAACAAATAGGATGCACATACTTGTGGAAGCTTCATTAGCGATGGCTTGATAAGTTAAGAGGAGCAAGAGCCTAAACTGGAAAGCGATAATTGACTATGTAATACGTAAAGCTTTTAGTACCATTTGGATGATTCCTTGCCCCCGAGGAGAGGCCGTCGCACCGTGTCACTCATAGTCCCGATGTCTTGGTTCTTATCCTCCTCGTTCCCTGCTAACCTTTGGTACTGGACTCCCTCTTTCTTGGACCACCGGATTAGCGGTGTACCGGCTTCGAGCCCAAAGATGGAGGGATAGTACTGCCTGTAGCTGGCGTAGCCCGCAAACAGGCCAAGCAGACCCCCGAAGGTAACGTCCTGCCAGTGGTGATGATAGTCGCACGTTCGACTAACTGCTACCAGCAGAGCAATCAGCAGGGGAATCACAGAAATACACAGCCGCCACGTGTGTCCGCGTCCTCGGGCATCAAAGGCGTGCAGCTTGGCGCCAATATAATAGGCGATAAAACCGAAACTGGCAAAGGCGACTGAAAGCGGTGAATAAAACTATTAGCTGGAAACTCAAACAGCATCACAATTAACTTACACGACGAGTGTCCGCTGGGGAAGCTCTTGCGTCCTTCATTTATATCTCCCGCAATGCCAGTGCAGTTAAAGTCTAGAATCGATGTGTCCAAGCTGGTCGACGTTGTGTTCAGAACCATGACACCGTCGGGAAAGCAGCGGTAGAAGTAGTCTGGTCTGGGTCGACCCACTGTTATTTTCAGTATGCTCGTGGGTATGCCGTTCATGCACAGTGCCAGAGTCCAGGCCCAGCTGGCAGCTCTAAAATCCCGCTTGTCCTTGGTAAACCAGTAGAAGGCAAGAGTAACCAGAAACGGGGCCACTATCACCCAGAAGAGCAGCTCCCCGCCCTTGACAATGTCCGGTCTCCTGGGATTCTTGTAGAGCCAGAGTTCCTCCTGATGGATTTCCCGCTTGAATGCCGTCATCGTCTCCAGCTTACTGCAGATGGTTGAGATGAGTCATGAATGAGAGAGGTGAAATTCTTCCGTTGTTTTTTTTAGAAAATAAACTCACAAGAAGATCAAGACAAGGACAATGCGGAGAACAACATCAACTGCATCGCTGAGCTTCCGGTTGGCCTGACTAGGACTAGGACTCCGTTCTCTATGTTTCTCCGGCTGTGCAGAGCTACTGTCTGCATTCATGGAAAGCTCGTTGCGCCACATTCCGTCACCGCTGCTCTGCGCCGCTGAATGCCCAACGTCCTCAGCGGAACTCTCGCTGAGGGTGCGTTTGCTGGTCGTCGATTCTTGACCTTCCTTTCCTGCCGACATTTTGAGGGTCCGCTGGGTATTGTCACTGGTTGTCTGACTACGTCTTCTGGTGCTTGTCACCTGAATTATTGAAGAGATAGGGAAGTAGCCGCGTCATTAATGATTGCACTTTCGGTCAAAATAAACATAGAAAAGTTCTGTAGCTATGTTAACTGATAGTGTGGATCGAAATGATAACGCATATCTTGTGTTCTTCCGGGAATAAAATCCCAGCGTAAGCCGATAGAGTGGGTATAGCGTGAATACACCGTCCGATATCCGCGATTAGATATGTACACACTCCAAAGCACGCTCCGCGTCAATGTTTGTCATCAAAACATGGTTACGTATAGCAGGTATGTATGATATATGTCCGAAGTGTCTGGGAGGGAGCCTTAAGCACACACATTGGGGCTTTAATATGTTGGCGTCAGAAACAATATTGGCTAGCTGGCGCACCTGTTCCTCGGCAATAAGTGAGATATTGCCGTTCCGACTACGTAAGTCCCCCGTGTAGCTATCGGGCATTAACGCCAGATCGCCTGGGATGGCTGGGCTTGACTTTGGAACTATTTGCATTGCGCCGGGACCGACTGGGGTTTGGGGCATCCACTTGTTGCTCTCGACGAACGCGCTGCTTGGCACTTAACTGATTCCGACTGCTGCTAAATGCTAATTGCGGAGGGCTTTTTATAAACTTTCTCTAATCTCGCGGCAGCATCGTAAAACAAACAGCAAAATAACCCCTCTCCGCCCGCCAGTGTCACTCCCGCTCGCTCAATAGAAAACATCAACAGCTGTTTGCCCTTTTAGTTAGGCAAATTTCACGACAGTTTTCAGCTTGCGGCGGTGTAACAGGTTTACCTGTTAATTAATCATGCTCGTGGCGGCAACAATTACAGCTCATTGCATTTTAAGACTCGTTCGCGACAAAATTACACATCTTTTGGAAAGTTAGGAGCTCTGCGGTGTCGGTTGGTTGATGTGACCAAAGTAGCGGAACGGCAAACATACCATGACTCACAAGCTCACAGCTGATTCTGGTGCAAACAAAAAAAGACCAAAATGCATATTCATTCCAAAAGTTTATGTGCTAATCTGATTAAACTGGTAAATAAATAGGGTAAATGGGTAAAATTAGAGAATGTAACGGATTTTTAATAGGCCAGCTCAATTGCGTTTTGTATTGTTATCGTTGGAGCTGCCAACTTGGCGCAGCAGTCTAGCTTCAGTACAGACAGGGTTGTTATGGAATCATATGATTGAAAATTTTGGTTCGGAGCAATAAGTAAATAAGCAATTAAGCGCAGTTTGGTAAAAAAGAATGGCGTCAACAAAAAGCGATAAAGAGGCCGCCGGACAGCTACTGGATGCATTGTACCTGGACATGTTCCATCTAATCGAAGAGCACACCCAGAGTCGAGTAAATCTGGAAAGAGAGAACGCCAGTGGAGCTATTCTATTGGCTCGTACTCGATTCCAGCACGGAGGCAGTAATTCCGTGTCCACGGCCCAGATTCCCACGGAGAACAGTGCCGAGTTCAACGCCCTATGTCGGGTTGTCGACTCCGGAGATGGTACGGGAATCAGCATTGAACGTCAGGCGGTTGACAAGTCCAAGGGCTACGTGGAGCCCCTGCAATGGTTCTCGTAAGTGCTGATAATGGTCAAATGGGTCGATGTAATAACTTCACTTTTTTGCAGGGTTCTTCCGCCCATGAGTTTACGAAATGCCGTGTCCAAGTTCAAGAATTGCGTCGAGCTGGTGGCAGAGAGCGCAAATCTGCAACGACAACTGGGTGATGTCCTGGAGTGGATCACTAAGATGCGCCAGAGTCCTCTGTTAAAGTAGATACTAATAAAAACATTAAACATAACATTCCCGACCCGTAAAGTATTCTCATCAGGGAACATTGTAATATTAAATAATTATTTTTAATAGAATTAATTCAATTTAATCGTTTTCAGTGAAACCAGCAGCTTAAAAATATTAACTTTTAATAAATAAATTAATCAAAAAGTGAATTAATAGATATTTTATGGTCCCAATACCTTTCCGATAATAGTGGGTTAATATTGGCGCTGCCACTTGTTAGGCAAGAAAAGAACAACGAGTGGGTAGCGCCGCTGATTCTACTCGTCAGCTGTTTTGGCCTGCCAACCATTTTTCGCTTCGTGTTCTTGGCAAAAATTAAAATTGAACGCGTAATTCGCTTGCTTTTCTCGCGAAGTGCTTGGTGAGACCTTTTTTGTGACTTTATTAACTCCCCAAAGCTCTCCGTTACCGTTACGTACCGAAAATATTAAACTCTGGCAGGAGAGCAAAGGGCATTCGACCAAAAATCGATAATTGAAAACGAAATGCAAAAGCAATAGTGCGACAATTAAAAAGTAATATAATTCAATTTCAGCTTGAATAATAGAGGCGTATTGTTCGGGAACATGCGAGCGAAGAAGAAGGAGCGCAACAGTAGATAACAGATAACAAGCGACGCCCGAAAAGTGACATTTAGAAGCGACGAAGAAACAGCAGCCGCCACAACAGCGCGGGTCTTTGTTGTTGTGTCTGCGACGAGAACCATCGTCACCACTCCCCAAACCCACACACCACCCCTCAAACCACACACGTGCCTGCCCTCCAAATCGGCCATGAGTGGCGCTCGGGATCAGACCGATCCCCCGCTGCTTCAACTCGAAGATGAAGTGGATCTGATAGGTGACTTTGTCAAAGAACTGCCGCCGTCGTCTAGTCAGCTGGCTCCGCTCCTCAATGGCTTCGAGCCGACCGTAAACCAGTTGACCACCAAAGTTGAGGTGAGTGAGCACTGTGCTCCTAAACCTCCAATAGACGTTATGAATATGTTTTCTTCTTTCCCAGATCAACACCATTGGGATCGGAAAACGCAAGCCCAGAAAGAGAGGAAAAAAGGAGCGGGAGCCTATGCTCTTGTCGGTGGATGATGACGACGACGAAGAGGAGGAGGCGGTAGAAGAGGCGAAAAACCACACTAACGGCCTTTTGGCCAGTGATGAGAGCGCCGGGGGCGATGCCGCGCACCCGAAACCACAGCTAGATCAGTTTGCAAGATGGCACGAAGACCACGACACCGACGATGGCGATGATGAGGACGGTGAAGAAGAAGTGCTGATAAAGAAAAGCTCAAACCTGCGAAATGGCCGCGCCGAAGAGATTAGCGACGACAGCGCACAGCATCAGCAACAGCAGAAGCTGACGTCGCAGGTGATTAGTCACATTGCACCCGCGAAGGCGTCAACATCTCTATCGACAGCGTCATCATCCCCGCTAAAATCCTCAACGCACATTGCCCTCGCCCGTCACCCTCACGACGAGGCCGACGATATTTGCCTGGTGCCAGAAATCGACTTCGAGGGCATGTCCACGGACGCCGGCAGCGACAACCGGGAGTCGCAGCCGCTCCTTGGAGGCGGCGGTGCCAGCCACGGAAGTCGATTTAGCGAGCTGCTCGGCGGCCTGGGACGCGGTCATGATCATGTGGGCCTCGTATCGAACACATTTGGCGGTAAGTTTACATCAGATAGGGACTACCCGAAGTCCTATAAGTGGTCAGCTGTAGGGCTTCAATCTCTGGGCTTCCCCCTTCATATCTTTCATTAAAACGGGTACACAAATGCATGGTAGGATGACTCCACTGTCGTTTCGTTTTTGTTTGCCTTAGGTTAAGCCGCGGCTTTGCTCATGCGGCTCGCTTATCTCTTTTATTTTATGGTCGACATACTTTAAAAGCTCGTTGCGATAGTTTGGAATGAGTGATTCCGCTTGTAAAAGGCGTTACTTGTTCAGTCGTATTACCGAAAGCTAGGACTCCATTGAAGTGATCCAAGCACCCAGCAGAATAAGCATAAATCACTAGTAAGCTAGCATTTGTTTATAGACACATTTTAAAGATAGTTCACCCACATATTCGAAAAAAGCAACGGTTATAGTATTAAAATTCAATGACTTGGAAACGGATATTAGTTGTTTCCAGTGCTCTATTGTTTAAGGAAACCCTACAATCTTAATTTACCCATATTGAATAATATAATCAATACATCGCCAAATGTGCACTATTGACTTTTGATGATCTGTGTGACTAATCCGCTATTTCATCAGGAGATGATTAATACTGTGTGCTCCCATTTTCATTGTATTTCTATTTCGTATAGTCAATCATTGGACGTAAGCACTGGTGTTTATTTACATTAATTATTTATTTTTTTCATTAATAATAATTTCCCATTGTGAGATAATTAGTTACATACATATATCGGGAGTAGAATGGGCGTATTTAAAAAATACGATGAGAATACATATAATAACGATATCAATCGACATCGGCGCATATGTCAAACCTTATTTATATATTCTAATACCACACAACATACACTAAACTCAGCTGTCATTCGGTTATAAACAAAGACAAATTCATTGTAAATGTTGGTGCACTTCGTTAGTGCGCATACTGAACTCCGATTGCAATTGCAAGCCAAAGAGCTCGAAAATGGAAGTTGTTCTGCTGGCAACTGGTGCCGACTGGACATAGCGACATGACCACGAGGGCTAACGTTGAGAACGCTTCACCCAAGGAGCCTAAACCAGCTCCAACAGACTTGAAATTGGATGATCATGAGAAGCCCACGACGAGTAATAAGACGCTGCAGAACAGTCTTCTGGCGATGACTACCTCCGAATACGCGCCCTACGCCTGCTGCTGCTGCGAGGATCTGTGTCAGGTGGCAGAGAAAAACTTTATCGAGTCTGACTCCGATGGGGAAATACCTCCGATCTTATTCAACTCACAGTCTCTGGCCCGCGACTCAAAAGACACAGTAACCTGCAAAATTACTTCACCGCCATGCCAGTGCGCCAACTGTCCGCTGAGGAACTTCTGTGAGTTTATTTTGAGGTCTTTTACCGGGGACCCCTTATCGAAACGCTTTTTCCATGCTAATTGCGACCTGCTTCTGTCACACACATAATATCCGTATCAACTTCTGCCTCCGACTGAGGTACGTTTTCACAAACATTTAATTCGATTGTGTCCCCATGTCGCGCTTGTCGAGTTGCAGTCGCGAGAATTTCATCATCCAGCAGGTGTTCACCATTTGCCAGGACAACCAAGGAGAGTTCAATGAGAATTTTGACTTCATAGGTAACATTTGAGCTAATTAGAGATTGAGCTTAACTCCTAATTGGGTAAAATGTTGCTAAAATTAGTAGTTCATTTAAAGTGCCAAATAAAAAACACAACCCCTTTCTTTAAATAACGCAGGGTTAGGCTCCAAGTAAGCTTTGAGTCGAATAAGTCTAACAAGAAAAGGGTATTTCAAAGATATATAGTAAACGAGATTGAATTGCAGTTGTAGTAATTGGTATGTGCGATTTATTTTTCCTGAAACTGAGGGTGGAACTTGAACTTTATTGCTGTCTTTTCACCGCCTTACGGCCGCGTTCGTTATATGTAGTTATTTTTACCCGACAGCTGACATGCCGCCAATGCCGACGACTCATTAAGGAGACTCGACAGTCTCTGCAGGTGTATTAATACATTATTAAAAGTGTAATTCCGAAGCCAAATTGGTTCAATTTAAATGAGAAGTTACCCGCAGTCGGTTTTCTGACGCGGTTGGAATTATGCGCATTTTTGTCCTGCGCACAAACTTTATCAGTAACTAAGGGTATTTTATTCGTGATTGTCTCCCTTAATCAATTTGTGTAATTACAGATGATCCGCTTTTCTCGGAGATTGTGGCAAAGGCCGAGGGAGCCATCGATAGTGGTGTTTTGCCCGAGCGCATATATCAGGGTAGCAGTGGTTCCTATTTCGTCAAGGATGGCAGTCATGTAAGTAGAGTATGTTTTTACGGAATATGAAATTGAATCCTTTGTTGCGCAATGGTAGGCGTTCAGGGCTTAAGTTATGCCTGGAGCGCGATTTGTTTTTTTCTACTGATCCGCGCAAATATAAATACGTCAGGCACTCGGGGAAGTTCTGCAATTAAGTCATCTTTGCAGGACTTTTGGTTTGCACCTGAAACAGTCTAGCATTATTGTAGAACGTTTATCTTATCAAAGGAACTTACCTAATGCAACACAATTTTCTCCTTCTCTAGCAATGCCTAGCTGTATTTAAGCCAAAGGACGAGGAGCCCTATGGCAGACTGAATCCAAAGTGGACCAAGTGGATGCACAAACTGTGCTGTCCCTGTTGTTTTGGACGTGCCTGCCTGATTCCCAATCAGGGGTGAGATGGCCATATCCCCACAAAAATGCGTACCAATATTAACATTAATATTATTTGAATTATGTCGATTTTTTAGCTATCTTTCGGAGGCCGGAGCCAGCTTAGTGGATCGCAAGCTAAATCTGAATGTGGTGCCAAAGACGCGCGTGGTTAGGCTGGTCGCCGAGAGCTTCAACTATGCCCGCATCGATCGTCAGAAAGCCAAGCTGAAGAAACGAATCAAGGAGCACTACCCGTCGGCCCACTTCAACCGGATGAGCCTTCCCCTAAAGGTAAGCGGGTTTCTTTTGCAAGGTTCAGCAGTTTGAGATTATCTGGTTTTCCATTTCCCTCTAGACTGGCTCCTTCCAGCTATTCGTTGAGGGCTATAAGGACGCCGACTACTGGCTAAGACGCTTTGACAGCGAACCTCTAGCTCCATCGGTAGCCAAGTCCTTTCAGCTGCAGTTCGAACGCCTCGTCGTCCTGGATTATATCATTCGCAACACGGACCGGGGCAATGACAATTGGCTGATTAAGTACATTCCGCCAAAGATATCTGCACAAGTGGGCGGTACTGGCGGTAAGTCAATGCGGTCCATTGTCCGCCCCAAAATGCCTATGTCGCAGCCAATCGTGGATCTGAATGACAAACAAAACAGTCCGGGGCCTAAGGCAAACCCTACTGCGGGCGTAGTAGTTCCAAAATCGTTTCCGGAGAGCGCCAGCAGTGAGGACGAGCCAAACTCCTCCCCGTCGACGGATCCGGGTTGGAACGTGGTGAATCCGGCCTTCATACGGATCGCTGCCATTGACAACGGACTCGCCTTTCCCTTCAAGCATCCGGATTCTTGGAGAGCCTATCCCTATCATTGGGCATGGCTGCCACAGGCCAAAATCCCATTCAGCGAAGAGATCAAAAACCAAGTGCTGCCCCAGCTGTCTGATATGAACTTCGTGGAGGAGATCTGCACGGAGCTGCTGTACCTCTTTCAACAGGATCGTGGCTTTGACAAGCGCTTGTTTGAGCGACAGATGTCTGTGATGCGGGGCCAAATCCTAAACCTCACCCAGGCCCTAAGGGACGGCAAGTCGCCGGTGCAGCTAGTTCAGATGCCGGCTGTGATTGTAGAGCGGTAAGTAGTCTAGCTTTAAAGTTACTTGGAAAACAGTGGAGATAGTTTCTTACGCCGATCTATAATGTTTCCAACAAAAATTCCTTTCCCACAGATCCAGCGGAAGTCGCTTCTTTTCATTTACGCAGCGCTTCCAGAACAAAAGCCCCTTCTTCTCCTGGTGGTAAGAAACATGATTCAATGACTATGTAACTTGAAGCGCTTAAACTTGATTCATTCGCAGCTAAATGCCCACGGAGAGCTGCTCCCTGCTAACCCCACCAAAACAAACCAAATCGGGCACACCGGTCCGGCCGCCTCATCAACCATCGTGTCTATGCGCTTCGTTATCATCTAGTGTGGCTTTATGCGTTGATTAGGAGGAGCCAGCTGTATTTTGTTGAATCTGTTAGTTGTCTTTTGGGCCAAAATTAGCATAATGTCTCACAAGTAACACTTTGTGTTGAGTTCGTTTTCATGGTTTTGCTTTCCCTCACCATGTTTGTGTATATGTAGAGAATATAATTTGTTTTGTCAAGTGTCTGTATAGTCAATCTGTGTAGAGTCGAAGTCGAGAAAGGCTTTGTGTGAAGGCCATTCCAGAAACTCACGCTCAAGCGCTTATTTTTGGTTATTATTTAAATATTATTATTATACATCAAGCATATCAGTGGAGTAATCAAAATTCATATATACATACATTCGTTAGCACTCGGGGCGTCCTTGCCAATGTAGTGTGTCCATTGTTATTCGCATTAATATTGTACATTTAGTTGGTTTCCTTTTATAAACTATATTTTAATTTATTTTAGTGTACGGAGCATCCTGCACCCGTGTAGGGCAGCCCCACCATATGGAAATATATAAAATATGAAGTTAAAAATACATATATATTAAAGTGTACGTTTATGTATATCAAAAGGCCTTTCTTACATTAACATTCAATCAACAGAAATTATACAGATTTTCCTGAGCTTATTATAAAATCAACAAACATCTTAACATAAAGCTGCACGCAGCTTAAAGAGCTTATAAAATTCAGAAGCAACTGCTATAAATACGAAAGCCAATCATCCGAGGCATCCGAGGTCAATCTGCTAGCAAAGACTGCCCCATTAGGACTGTCCTTTTCACTTGGGTAAGCACTGTTCTTGGAGACTGCCACCCTCTTAGTTTCCCCAGGATCACAGCACGCTTCATCTTCTGTTGGGATGGGTGGCTCCTTGGACTCGGAGTCTACTTCCGGGCCCTCGCTTTTTATTTCTATTTCTAACAACAAAGAATTGTTTGCTTGCAGAGTTTCATCGTTGCCATCGTTTGCTTCCGTTTCTGGTGGCGTAGCTTCGTTTCTAACGACAATTTCGGACTCCGAAGTGCTTTCAGAAATGGTCACACAATCCGTTGGTAGGCTCTTCTCCACCGCCTCCATTGGACTTAAGATCATTTCATTTTCTGATGACACCTGTGGAGCAACTGGGCGTCGACCTGGTGTCGTTAGAAAAGTGGATATGGATGGCTGATAGCCAGTGCTCAGCAAGGAGGCAATGCCTCTATATTGATACCATTTGGTGGGCACTTCACCGGTGACAAAGAGATCGCGACCCACAGGAACTGTGCTGATTACCCGCTTGGGCTTAAGAAAGCGAACAAATCGTTCGAGTTCTTTGTAGCTGGAGTGCTCTGAGTACTCAATGCCAATGGTACTGATCCGCTTCCCATACGACGGCTTGCTGTTCTTCTCCCATCCGCTTGGCCGAATGCCCAGCAGCATGTCGTATTGGTCCTCGAAGGGCTTAAAGTACTCGACCAGACTCTGCAAACATAATGACAAAAATGATGTGTTAATGTAAATGTTGGCCCTATGCAACTGAATCTTAAACCTACCGGGTAGCTGATTTTCCCCAGGCCAATCACATGCAGATTGGCTGCACGGGGATCATCAGTTAGAATGAACTGCAGCTCCGGCCATTGCAAGCAGCTGACTGCCCCGCTGCGATGTGGTTCTGTCCAGACGTTCAGGGAAAACTCCTCAGCCAGTGCCAGCCAGATCTTCTCCTTGCCAATGACGTAGGCTCCGCAGACAATCAAGATTCGCTTGCCTGGGTTCCTTTCCATGAATGCCCGCACTAACTCCACAGTGCGGTCGACGCTGTCTGTCTGGTGGCAAAAGTCGTAGTTTTTGTCCATATACGTCGTGTCCAGGTAGAGCAGATCGATGTTAATGTGGTTCCAGAATATCGGCAGGGATTCCATGTCGGCACTAGCTCGAAAGTCACCAGTGTGCAGAATACACTTGCCGGAGCTCAGTTTAAAAAAGAACATGAGGGCTCCTGGACAGCTAGAAATGCAAGGGAAAATCATGGTAGACTATAAAAACATGGCTCGTCGAGTCCTACTCACTGGTTAGCTTCTATAGCGGTCACTTCCACGTCATCCACCATCAGTGATTGGTCCACATCAATCTCCTTGATGTAGTTCTCATCGAGTTTGATGAATGTTCGCACCAGGCGCGCAGTGATGGGACTCATGTAGAGTGGATGCGAAAACGTTTTGGTTAGGCCAATGTAGTGGTCCGCATGGTAGTGGCTGAGGAAGTAATGAGTGACGCCATCTAAATCTCCAAACTGAAAGCCATCCACGCAGAACGTAGTACCTTCAACAATTTTGTAGGGCGGACAGGGTTTTGGCTTTCTTTTCTTGCGTCCAGTTGTGGTGCTGGAACTGGAACTAGGAATGGGACTTTCCCTGGGTACTGTTAAAGTTGACGTATTAGACGAGCTTTTGTTGAAGACCGATGGGCTCTTTTCTGCTGGCATTGTAGGTCTTGCTGGACTGCTAAAATTGGTTGGAGTCGCAACCATTGGGGTGTTAGAAGAGGTTTTTGGTGTGATTGTGGATTTCGTTCGTTTGGGAGTAGTTTCTGCAGGCATCGCCACCCTTGCCGGACTGCGGGCGACTTCGACTTTCGTGGATGACTCCTTTTTGATGGTCTTCTCGCTTTCGTCCTCGGAGCAAAGATCGATCACATCCATGTCGTCATGGATTGCATTTTCCTTGCCCTTCGCCTTTCGTCCAGGCTGCACACGCTTTTCCGGCGGCTTCCGATCACACGTATCCATAGACTCGTCGAAAAGGCGCTTGCGTCCTTTGGCAGCTCCCTTTCGCTTGGCAAGAGGTTTAACCACAGCCTTCGCAGTCGACAGCGGCGCCATTTCCACTTTGTAACTCTTGGCAGAGCTCTTAAAGAAGGAGTCAATGAGCATTTGGCCGGGTAGCGGCGTCTTCTTGGACGAGCGTTTGATGGCGGTTTTGGGAAGAATTACACCATCATTTGGTTCTCCGTTTGCCTTGCATTTTCTTGCCGTGGTTGCTGCACGTCGAGTTTTTCCCGCGCATTTCTTCTCCGGGGTTTTGTCTTCGCTGATGGCCGGCAGAGGAGCTTCATCCACGTTTATGGCAGTTGTCGCCAGTTCCGCAAAATTCTTCAGGCGGATCTTTCCGACATTGGACATCTTGTTTACAAAGAAGTGCTATGACTCCGATTCGTAGGAGCAGCGTTGGCAGGATTGCCACCCTCAACCAAATAGTCGGATCCTAATACTTGGTCCTATCAATCAGATGAGCCCACACATAGGCCGTGTTTTTAAATTACTTTAATCACTCATTTAAATATTACAAACCAATGTTTTACAGATTTTTGTAAAAAATTGTTCGCAGCGCACGATAATCAGTCGCTTTGTTTATCGATTGTTCCAAAACGGCTTATGTACAACGATGCACCTTACTTTTAATCGGTGCTTCCCCATCTCTACTGTGCATCGTTCGAACAAAAACAAACCCAGGACGTTAGGAAAAAAACAATTCGTTTTGGGAATTCTCAAGCTGGGCCTGTTTATCCGCGCCTTTAGCATGGCGTGGCGATCTGTTGGGGCCAACAACGAAGACCTCATCCGGCAGTTGAGGGGTAAGCTGCTCAATTGCGCTGCAGAAAAGATAATAATAGAATCGAATCCCCCCAAGACTATGGCGTCATAGCAAGCGATTCTGTGGCCAAGGCAATGACGGAGACCGACCGCAAGCACTACTCTCCCAGGAATCCCTATATGGATGCTCCACAGCCCATTGGAGGAGGTGTCACCATCAGCGCACCCCATATGGTAACCTGAAAGCATGGCTTACATAGAGTTGAATTTACAGATTCATGGCTGTGGGACGAAATCCCCCGCAATGTTTAATGTCTGTACTCTGCCTATAAAGCAAACCTATACTATTTCATATATATTTCCCTACCTAATTGTTTCTTCCATTTGTAAACCCAGCACGCTTTTGCATTGGAATATCTGCGCGACCACCTGAAGCCAGGCGCTCATGTGCTAGATGTGGGCTCTGGATCGGGATATCTCACAGCCTGCTTTTATCGCTACATCAAATCGAAAGGCAACAGTGCCGAGACCCGAATTGTGGGCATCGAGCACCAGGCGGATCTGGTCCGAATGAGCAAGGCCAACCTGAATACAGACGACAGCGGTATGCTAAGCTCGGGGCAGTTGCTGATTGTTGAGGGTGACGGACGCAAGGGTTACCCGGCTAATGCTCCCTACAATGCCATCCATGTGGGAGCAGCTGCTCCGGACACGCCCACCGAACTAATTAACCAACTAGCCAACGGGGGACGCCTCATTGTGCCTGTTGGTCCCGAAGGCGGCTCCCAGTACATGCAACAGGTGAGCACATCTTAAATACTTATTCAAAAACAATTCATTTAAATTAATATCTATAGTACGACAAGGACGCTAACGGCAAGGTGGAGATGACACGCTTGATGGGCGTTATGTATGTGCCCCTTACAGATCTGCGATCCTGACTGCATTATGCGGGACGGGCGTTAATTGTTTTGCTGCTGCTTGGCTTTATAATCTACCGAATTTGGGCTTACTATCGCTAGAATTAATTATCCAATCAAAAAATTTAAGTGCGGTTCTTGTTGGGTTCTATTAAATTAAAAGATAAATAAGAAAAATCATGTAAACGTTGTATGTGATATTCAAACTGAAATCAACGTCTAAAGGACCCGCAATTTGGCAAAAGCTATCAAACTAAAAGGGAGAGAATTAATGCGATTGAGTTAATTTAAAATATATTTTAATATATATATTATATTATTTATTTATTAATTATAATTGATTGTAAACTGAGTTTCGATTATTTTAATAATTTTGAAAATGTATTTGCCGGGTTAAATATAATCGCATGGCTAACGCCTATCGCATGAAAAATGATTTACAAATGGTTGTATAGGAGATATTGATGCAGTTTTGCCACGCTATTATAGGTGTCTCAACATGTTATGTATGATAAATTTTAACTTTATTACAAAAACTATAAAGATTTTCGGCCATTTGACGTCCATTTTAACGATGGTATTTCGAGTTTTTTGAAAACTTACCTTTACCTTTTGCGATATCGATATCTGCGGTGCATATCGATAATCACGATTCTTGCCATCTCCAGCCCCAGGGGTGCATCGTATGTGTACTTCAGTGTTACCAGGCTATGGCCACCCGTATAAGCTAGATTCTATGAAAAAAAGCTTAAACTTTAATAATAATATGTATATTTCTCTTAAAAAATATATGTTAGAATAGAATGCTAGTTGAATATTAAAGTGCTAAGAGTTAGTTGCAAACTTTACAAGCTTTTCCATTTTCAAATATACCAGATTTAGCTTGAAGTAGGCAACACTGAACTTGACAATTACCAACACTGCTCACTGCCTCTTCCTCTTCTTTTTCAACAAAAAAAAAAAAAACTGGCAGCACTGGTGTATTTGTTTGTCTGCTCGTTCAATAAACGTAAAAACAGAAAACGCAGCTCTGTGATCTCTGTATACGTCACTCCACAATGCTCCAACTGTCCCAATACGCAGCAACTTGATAAAGGCAGCAAGGTAAAAGGTAGTTGTAACTCAAAACCGACAACTACAACACAGAACGCCTTGTGCGCAGTATATGTGTGTGTCTCGTCCGCGTGCGTGCGTGTGTATGTGCGGCAATTAAACAATAAGAAGTGCTTTTTGTGAAGTGAGTGGAGAGCGGGGAGCAGGGATCTGGTTAACGAGTGGGGGGCACTGCGTGCTCAGCACTCCACTGTTGGGCGTGGAACGAAGAATTTAGGGGAGCCCGTTAGGTGCGTCCCATCAGGGCTAGCGAAGCGCGAAATTGGCTTCCAGTTGTGGTAGGTGGCGAAAATGTGCAGGTGTCCTCTTCGGCGGCAGGTGAAATTCGAGTTGGGCGACACGCTCTCCAGCCAGTTTTGCGAAACTGGTTTCGACCCTCTAGTGGCGTCCCAACTAATTGCTTTAACGTAAAGTTCGTTTATTTGTGCAGCTTCCCTTGGAACAGACGCTGAAAATTTAGTGCAATTGATATTTGTTTACATCCATACGCCCTGTCTCGCTCTCGCCTTCTCTGTATCTGACTGGAATTCGAACGGTTCAACCACCAATACACATGCGCGAGTGTATTTTCAATTAGATCATTAATTTTAATATTGCGCGCGCTTGTGCGATTTCAATTAGTTTGGTCAGCCGTCAGAATTCCAAGTATGCAAGCTTCCAGCATTATTTAGACCGATACCAGAGATACTCTTACATACGTTTTTAATAAAATTAACAAAGGTAGAAACCCAACTGTGTGGTCTAATAAAATGTATCCTATCAGACATATCCTAAAGATTGCGAATCTTTAGAGTAAGTTTATCCAATTTGCACACCATTAATCATATCTGTTTGTGCATTTCCAGCATTTATGTGTTTCATTTAGAAAATGGACGCAATACTAGAGTGAACAGGAACGGCTCCCCATCATCATGCCCATATCCCTGCAGGCCGCGGGTGGCACTGTCGCAGCTCCGACCTCGACTCCAACTCCAGCTCCGGCTCCGACTGCTGTGCCGGCTACTCTCTCCGTCAGTGCCTCCGGCACCCAGATGCTGCGTCCCCAGACACTGGCTGGTCCCGAGCGTGAGCCCATTGAGTTCAACATCAACTTGGTCGGCGCTCCGCCTGAGGTGGAGCAGCTGGTGGAGCAGATCAAGAGCGTGGCCGAGCAGTTCCTCTACCACTGGAAGAGCTTTCCCATTGGTAAGTGCCAATACAACATCAATCAGCAGCTACTAATTAGTATCTCCTGTCTGTTTGCAGTGTTACCGCAGGCGTTGGCTAGCAGTGGGTTGAATCTGACGGCCAGCAATGCGACGAACAGCGTGAGCAGCCGCAAAACGCGTCCCATCAATCTGCGCGACCTATTTATAGCGCCTCCCTTCGACGAGCTGGACGCAGTGGCCTCCGACGGGAGCGGAGAACCACGCCGGCTAACGAGCGCCCAGCTGAAGACGCTGCGGGAAACTGGGTGAGTTTGCGGTCACGAGACTGCTGTGTGAGCTGCTTATGAGCATAGCGCTGATGGATGAATTGATGGTGGCTAACGAATGATGGATGGAGTTGCAGTCGCAAATAAAACAAAATAATAACAAAAAAGAGCAATTGTGCAGCTAGCAGTTAACGGCTTGCTGATTAACTGCGCTTGTGCCACATCCCCTCACACCTGAAGAAGTCACTTAATTCGTTTTTTAGTTTCTTGAGTTCCATTGCCTATCATTCCGCGACACTTTGCACCCAGCAAATGCAGCAATCAAATTAAGGCATGCTCCAAATCAGTATAAAAATGAAGATGATACGAACAGCCATCGTTTGTCTGTTTATTTTTGTTTTTCTTTTTGTTGTTTTGTTTAACCAAACTAAACGCATGCCACACTCTCGTGTTTTTATTTCTGTGTATCACTTGCCAATGAAACAACAATTTCGTATGTGACATATTTCTGTAAAGCTTGCAAAAGGATAAATATGGAAAGCCGAAGAAATTAACTTTGGAACAATTGGAAACAATACGTAAAAATGGGTAAATAAAAACACATTCCAAAAGACGGGCAAACTGTACTGCCACTGTTTAGTCGGTGTTCTTGCGTTTGTACATACATTCTCTTCATTTCTATTAAATGTTAATTGTTTATACGTTCTGTAAGTCATTGTCTAAAGCCGCTCCCTACAAATTTGCATGCCCGTTGAAACGAAAAGTCCAGAGGCAAACTTCTGCATGGTGGATAAATATAAAAAAACATAGGAAATGGAAAAACAAACATATTCTCTGTGCCCAACATATAGCTTGTACACTTTAACATTTTTCTATTGTCTGTTCAGAATATTATATAGGAGTAGCAGACCTATTTAAAGCGACTCCAAGAGCGGAACTTAGGATGCATATTAACACAATAATCACACTCACATGTAATACTCACATAGAATCGGGCAAATCCTAATTCAGAATCTGGTACACGCTTGTGCATGCCAACAATAATTTGTCATTTACGTGTTTTATGTTGCTTCGATTTTAACCGCCATCATGAACCATAAAATCTAATTCAAATGCCTAATCCACACGCAGGGAGTTCGATGTGCCCAGTCTGCACTTTCCGGGCCAGGTGCACAAGTGGCGCCTCTCCCAGCTGCTCCAGAAGGGAAAGCTTCGAACTCAGGACTCCTTCTTGAGCGATTTGGCCTTGGCTGCTCGCTTCGTCGTGGTCACCGCCCGAGCACGGATCTTCTCGCACTTCTTCTCCGTGGTGCATGCGGTGCATGGTCTTCTAATGGCGTTTACCAAGCTGGCGGACATGTTTATCGGAGTGCCGGCTTTATTGGCCCATAACCTGGACTACAAGATCAAGGAGGAGCGATGTCGGTTCCTCATAGCCGAGTTGGTCTGTCGGGTAAGTACATATTTAATGGTTACCACGATAAGATTTTGAAAGATAATTTTGTAGCCCGAGTTCGAGGACTGCCTGGATGGTCTGTGCTCCTATGTCCGGAAAATGCTGCGTCGCGCTACCATGGAAAAGTTTGACTTCAACAGCTGCGAGGTCAGCCAGCCCGTGCCGTATCTCTTCTTAACGCCCAAGGGACAGGAGATCGACTTGCGTCTCTTCTGTCGCGACATCATGCGAAAGGCCCTGCCTGTTCTCATTGGAATTTTGGAGCGAGAGACGCGGGGCTGGTTCTTGCACTTCCGCGAACGACTGATCGCTGAACTGCGGGCCAAGAAGCTGAACGACAAGGAGATCGAGGAGGAGGTGAACGAGGCGGTGATGAAGGAGTATTTACAGCGGGTCTACAGCTCCATCGTATCCAATGCCAAGCTGGCGGAGCTGGGCTCCGGAGTGCCCGAACTGCTTGTGCAGCAGGCCCAATCTGTGGTGATTATGTACAAGGCGGTGGACAAAGTGCAGCAGGACATTAAGCGCACCCGCGAGGACCATCAGAAGTGTTTGGCCAATGATCATTCAGTGCTGTCACGCGTGGCTCCCTGGTTGCGCTCGAAGCTGCGCCACGCCGAGGAGAACCGACTGCACAAGAGCGCCTGGTCGGCCCACGAGGAGGCCCTAAAGATGTGCACCCAGCACAATTTGCATCAGACCGCCTACTTTTTGTCCCGCGACCTTGCCTTCATGAAGGAGCGCGAGCCAGTGCTGCTAAAGGAGCTTAAGAACGCTAAGACACCCACGCGCAGTTTCCAGTGGGCGTGTCGCATTTGGTCACCGCAATCGTGGATCATACGGCGCAACTTCCAGGGCCAGTCAGACGTGATACCCACTGTGATCAGCCAGCATGCTACCAGCATTGTCACCCCGCGCTCGGATCCCAGCCAGCCGGTGTTTCTGGTCGAGAAGGAGATCATTCGCACCACCAGCACCCGCTGGCCCTTCTGGCGCCTGCTGAACATGATCCAGCGCATCTGGTGCTGGTCCTGGAACATGATGTTTCTGCTGGGAATTCTCGTGCCGTGGTGCAGCCCGCTGGGTCTGCGGGCTCTCTGCTGTGTGAAGCCGTTCATGCCCGATCTAGAGCTGTCGCAAATCAATGGCACTCTGTTCCCACGGAAAACCAGCATCACACAGACGATGGCATCGCGACTCATCGAGCTGTGGCGGCACATATCAAAGTCGCGCACTCACTTTGAAACGGAACCGGACACAGGTGAGTTTTAAAATATAAACAAAAAAGGAAACTAACTTTTGGATTCCGAAGTTTGAAATTTAATTATAAGATCGAATCCGGAAATCGATCATAACTAACCTTAAAAATATTAGAAATTTTAAAATTAATATTAAAATTTTATCGACAAATCAAAGTTTAAAAAACTCATAACTAAGCCAAAAATGTCTCAATTCGGAAAGCTTTTCTATGTTAGTTTTTATAATGTTAAAAATTGAATACTAAATTACAATTTTTACGATGTAACCCCTTATATTTTTTTTTATTCTGATCTAGATTATATATGATTTATAGGGTCGGAAATGATTCCTTCATTGTGTTATAAGCTTCTGATTTATACTATTGTCCAGCAAAAAGGTATAAAATTTTTTCGAATAATCAAAGTTTTCCAAACATCATAATTAAGCTAGAAATGCATTAATTTCAAATCGGAAAGCTGTTCTGTGTAAGTTTTAATAGCGCTAAGAAATCTGCATACTGCGTTTGTTGATGCTGTCAAAAGGTTCTGCCAAAAATTATAATAAAGTGCAAAAAGGTATAAAAACAGGCAATTTTTTTAAGTAATCAGTATTTTCCAAACATCATAGCTTAGCTAAAAATGAGTTGATTTCAATTCGGAAAGCAGTTCTGTGCTAATTTTTATAGCCCTAACAGATCTGCATACTGCGTTTTAAATTAGATCGATTCAGCCGCTCATTCTGATCTAGAATATATATGATTTATAGGGTCGGAAATGATTCCTTCATTGTATTATAAGCGTGGTACCATACCATAACACAATGAAGTGGTATTCTGCATTCATTGAGCAACGGTCACATTTTACGAATGTTTACAATTTTTCACTTTGGAAATTGCAACAAAATAAGAAATTTAATTAATTAACGCGCAATAGCAAAAGATGGCCCACTACAAGGGAGCCGCCAGCGAGGCGGGGCGTGCCGTCCAGCTGATGAAGAAGCGCGAGATCCAGAAGCAGGAGATCGAGTTTCGCAAGATGAAGATCAAGGAGGAGCTGGAGCTGGACAAGATTGAGAATAAGTTCGCGACGTACTACGATGCCATGGAGCAGCAGCTCAAGTCCTCGACCATCGGCCTGGTCTCCCTCGACGAGATGAAGGCCAAGCAACATTGTGCGCGAGCGAGAAAAAAAGCTGGCACAGAAGAAGGACGACAAGGATCGGTAGAAGCAGCGTGCCCTAGAGGCCATACAGACGGAGAAGAACAAGCAGAAGCGGCAAATACAGGCGCTATCTTTCAACGTGGACGAGGAGGAGGATGACCACGGCAACGACGATGAGGAGGAGGATCTATAAATAAGGGTGAAGCAGGTGGCCAAACCCAAGGCCAAATGGACGGAAATGCAGGACGATAAAGAAGAAAAATATCTGCAAGAACCCCGATGTGGGCATCAACTGCGCCAGGAGTGGGTCATGCAACGGGCGGAGCTTAAGGACGAGGACATCTGGGACGAGGACATACTGAGACGGATCAGGCCATCGGCGCAGCGTACTGATGAAGAAGGAAAACTCCATCTACCAGTTCCTGAGAAAGTGCCTTGTGTTGCTGCGCAAGGAGTTTATCGAACTGAAGACCGTGATGGCCGACCAGCTGGTGTATGTTAAGGAGGATCTGATACTGCCGCACCATTACTCCTTTTACGACTTTATTGTGACTAAGGCCCGCGGTAAGTCCGGTCCGCTCTTCCAGTTCGACGTCCACGACGACGTGCGCATGATCAGCGATGCCTCTGTCGAAAAAGAGGAGTCGCACGCTGGCAAGGTGCTCCGCCGATCCTGTTACGAGCGAAACAAGCACATCTTCCCGGCCAGCCGCTGGGAGCCGTACGATCCCACAAAGTCCTATGACAAGTACACCATTAAGGACAAGGACAAGAGCAAAAAGTAGTGCAATTATTAGGAGCTGCTATTCTCACCTCGTTTTATAAAACCTTATTCAAACACAGAGAATTCATATTTTTAATTTTCGAAATTATCTAATTCACTTCTAAGATCAGGAATAACAACAAATAAACATATCTTTGGAAAGCCGAAGCATTAAAGCTTCCCGATGTCAGTTTTCATTACAAAAAAAATCTGCCTAGCCCCGGATCGGCATTCTTTAACCAGACAAATTTAATAATTATACCAGGCAAACAGAAACAGCTGGCAGCAACCCAGCAGCAGCACAACAGCACGAGCTGATTATAACGGATCTTTTCAACTTTCCTAATGGCCGCCCTTTGTTTACGTTTGAATTGACCAATCAGTGAGGTTACTTCAGGACTTTAATGGCCGCCCTTTGTTTACATTTGAATTTAACCTAATGGCCGCCCTTTGTTTACATTTGAATTGACCAATCAGGGAAGGTTCTTCACGTTCCCCTCTTTGAAGATCCGTTATTTTAGGACATTTGTACCAGCGGATCAGCTGCTTGCTCAACATTCTGTTTGCCTGGTACATAAAGACACGAGTTGAATAGCGAACTTCTATAATTCAGCTACGTGTGTTGTTGGATTTGTTGTTATTTCTTACAAATATGGGCTGTAGTCGGACTAATTCAACAATTGGTGTAACCAGGCAAACAGAAACAGCTGGCAGCAACCCAGCAGCAGCACAACAGCACAAGCTGATTATAACGGTTCTTTTCAACTTTCCTAATGTCCGCTCTTTGTTTACGTTTGAATTGACCAATCAGTGAGGTTACTTCAGGACTTTAATGGCCGCCCTTTGTTTACATTTTAATTTAACCTAATGCCCGCTCTTTGTTTACGTTTGAATTGACCAATCACAGAAGGTTCTTCACGTTTCGCTCTTTTGAAGATCCGTTATTTTAGGACATTTGTACCAGCGGTTCAGCTGCTTGCTCAACATTCTGTTTGCCTGGTACATAAAGACACGAGTTGAATAGCGAATTTCGATAATTCAGCTACGTGTGTTGTTGGATTTGTTGTTATTTCTTACAAATATGGGCTGTAGTCGGACTAATTCAACAATTGGTGTAACCAGGCAAACAGAAACAGCTGGCAGCAACCCAGCAGCAGCACAACAGCACGAGCTGATTATAACGGATCTTTTCAACTTTCCTAATGGCCGCTCTTTGTTTACGTTTGAATTGACCAATCAGAGAGGATACTTCAAAACTTTAATGGCGCCCTTTGTTTACATTTGAATTTAACCTAATGGCCGCTCATTGTTTACATTTGAACTGACCAATCAGAGAGGTTCTTCACGTTCCTCTCTTTAAAGATCCGTTATTTTTGAACTTTTTAATCAGCTGAATAGCTGCTTGCGGAGCTTTCTGTTTGCCTGGTACACAAAACCAAGAATTTAAGAAATTTGTATGGAGAATTCGCCAAATTGGATTTGTTTTTTGTTGTTGGATTTGTTATTTCTTACAGTTAAGTTAAATATGTTGTCGAATCAATTCTTTAAAATGTTGAATTCTTTATTGATCTTTATTTTGATTGCCAATAAAAATATATAAGCTTCTGATTAATATTAATATTAATTCTGATTACCCTGCAAAAAGGTATAAAAACAGGCCATTTTTAAAAGTTTTTCAAACATCATAATTAAGCCAAAAATGCATTTCAAATCGAAGCGCTGTTAGTGTTAGTTTTAATAGCGCTTACAAATCTGCATACTGCGTTTGTTTGTGCTGTTAAGTTTCTGAAAAAAATTTAAAAAAATTTATTTTTTAACCAGACATGGCTAGATCGACTCAGTGAATGCTGATCAATAATATATATGATTTATACGGTCGGCAACGACTCCTTGTAAAGTTACAAGCTTCTGACTAAACATAATTCGATGTCTCTTTCAGGCTTTATCGGCAAGGGCTTGACACGCAACCTTAATCGCACTTGGAATTATTTCGTTAAGGGATTCCTCGGAACGGTTGTCATACTTTTCGCTTTTCCGTTGATCTGCCTAGCCGCCAGCTTGCTGAGCATCGCACTGGCAGTGACGGCTCCCCTGTGGATTCCCGTGTTCGTTCTCCTGCTGCACATCTACATGATTCTGATATATGACTTGGATGCGCCGGACAACACGAACAATCGCTACTGCATACTGCTGGAGGCCATAGTTTGGAATTTTCTCATACAGGGTCTACTGCAGCCGCTGGCAGCGGTTCTAGTAGCTACAGTGATCTGTCCCCTGGCAGCCGGAGTCGTATTTATAGGTGAGTTGTCTATGATTCTTATATTATCATCAGTTTTTTTTATCGAGTTAAAATCCATTCCAAAGTCGGCGTCGTTAGATATTCCCTTCGCATAGTCTGGGACTCCCTCACGTACCATTTGTTTATCAAAAAGTGCGGACGGGTGCCGGCTTCGGATAGTATTGCGGTTAAGCGAATTGCCGGACCCGGACTGGCCCTGGACTACTACTTTATTATCCGGCCAGAGCAGGCTTTGGCCGCACTAGAGGCTAAAATGGAACTTGACGAGCTGCAAGCCTACCAGCATGCCACGGAACGGGTGGTCCTGCAGCCCCAACAGGATTTCCTGCAGTTCGTCGAGGCCTGCTTTGGTCCCTTTTCCGCCCAAATCAGCAAGGCAGGTCCATACTTATCGCTGGACCGCGAGGCGCAGGATCTGATGAGCACGTTGCACGAAAAGCTGGAAAAGCGACGACGAGAACTGCAGACGGCGTTGACCACCCAGATCAAGTCGCGTATCAAGTTGAATACCAAAGAATTGAAGGTTAGTTACGGGGTAACATATAGGGATATATATCGAGTGGTAGCAATATTTTTCAAATCCCTAATTGAAACTTTAACAACTTTCCTCAGATTGCTATACAACTGGCCGCCCATATTTTAGAGAAATATTATCCGTCTCATGTAATCGGCCGACTGTCGATTAGCGAAGAAGAATTCTGGGATAACAAGGTTAGTGATTCTAAACAAATTATATTTATAGACATAAATTGAATAATCATTTAATTTATTTATTTCGCAGGGTCTCACGGTGAACGACTGGCCGGGACTGGCTGGCCTTATATACACCGACATATTTAGTTTAGATTTTCTAACGCCATTGACTGAACACGATACCCATTTTAAGCTAGAACCACATGCCTCGCTCGATCTGATGCGTTACACGGAGATGGTGAAGAATGCTACCGATGTGATTGGCTCCAAGGGGCTGGACCTACTGGGCAATGTTTATGCGCCGCGAGGCAACGTCCAGGTGCATTTACCCTTCCTCGAGGTGACAGCCTTCAATCCACGCTCCCGCATAACGCTCACTTTCCGCAAGCCCGAGAAGCGGTAAGAAACTTTTTGGGTTCCATATTTTGGCTAGAACTAACCTAATCCTTTGCAGGGACATGTCTGTGGGACTGACAACACCCCGAGTGCGTGCCCATCGGGCCCAGCATGTGCCGAAGTCGCCGCAGGAGGTCCAGAAGCCCTGGCGTCCGTGGAAGCAGCAGTGCGGGGAGAAGAGCGTGACGGAAAACCTACTCATCCCACTGCCGGTACCGCATCCCGTTCACATTGCCATTGCCATCTACAATCGCGACACGGAGCAGCCGATACCCCTGGATTCTGAGCTGGTGTGGGAAATCCTCAAGTCGATCGAGGACTGTCAAGGCGGCGATGCTATGGTGAGTAAAGACATAACCCTTTGATGTTTAAGTCCTCACAGGTGGTTTATTTTTGCCCATATGTTCAGGCTGTCCAGGCTGTGTCGCGATATCGCGGAGCGGTTATGGAGTCCAGCAACGATTCGCTGGCCAGCAGCAGCAGCATTGGCAGTACCCGGGACTCGGGCTCTGGTTCTGTTTCAGGCTCTGCCTTGGGCAATGGCACTGAGACCTTGCCCTGTGGCAATCGTGAGGTGAGTTATAGTAAAGTTTGCATTATTTCTGGTAGAAAGGATTATGCATTATGTTATTTCATGCTTTTCTTCTTTCGATATTCCTGTTGCAGGTGTGCACGCAGGTGAAGGTAGATGCTGAACCGGCTGCCAGCACTTCTGGTTTCCATTGGACTCTCAGCAATTGGGGAGCAGCGCAAACAGCACGTCGTCGTACCAACTCAAATGTGCGCGTGGATCTTGCCAGTCCGGAGGATATATCCCTGGATACTGATAGCTCGCGTGCCGTTTTTAACAACGCCTACGGCACAACTGTCTAGAAGGATCGCACTCAGTGGTTTGGGCACACACATAAGTATGTATTAACCAACACACACATCCCCGTAGATTTAAGCGTGGTTGCTTGCTTTTTAAAAAGGGAGAGCAAGGTCCCCCTCGAATATGGTTTTAGGTAGACGCCAAGCTTATTTCTGCTCGAATCGAAACACTATTTAGAAAGTTAATTTATCGTTTCTTACCTTACGAGGGAACAATCCTGGATCATTGATTATTTTATGCCACACCCCTCTCTCCCTAAGCAGCCGCGCTAGTTAAGGAGAGTACTATGAACAAATTTATCCATCTAACTATATATTTACATACGCGTATATGATATACATATGTATATGATTCGATTGCCAAATCGAAATGCAACAAACTTCAATCTAGTCGCAAGCAAATTTTATGCAGCAATCTACAGAACTCGACTTCTTATTCGGCCAATAAGAAAACTAAACACTAAACGGAGCAGCTCCATGACAGCAGTTTCCATTTAAAGTACACTTGAATTGCATTAACAACAAAGCCATGAGATTTTTCTTTGTACCTTTAACCAATACAAGACCACATTTATGTTTAGCAATTTTGTATTATAAAAAATACACGAATTGTACTACGAGCAGCTTAACCAGATATATTGTTAATTAATGACTAATTTATTTATACGTATACACACGATCACTCAGAAGAATACTAATGTTTTAACTACTCCAGTACTTTTTCTTCCAAAACTACTAAACGCAAATATTAATTGTAGTTAAGAGAACAATTAAATAACAGCATTAAACGAGGGCATACGCCAGAGTAATTTTACAAAGATAAATAGGACAAAAGGATAAAACATTTTTACATTTATATATACAAAAATATTTAGATCATATAACCGCAAATGAAAAACCTGTTGACATTTCCAAAGCAGCTTTTTAGTCCCCGATACCAATTCGACGATGGGATGACATCGATATTTGACGCGAGAAGCGATATATAAAGCGATCTTTAAGCTATGAAATATATGTTCGATATAGGAGCAATATAATCAGAATATAGAACAGGATAAAATCGATAATATCCAAGTTTTAAAGTTATATGAAATATTTTTCGTTTTATCAAAATTCACGGTATTTTAGATATGAATTATATTTCTTGATATATCATATCGGACTTTTCCTATCGATATACATCCCTTATTCGACCAGTTCCATGCCCTGTGCACCTCCAATGCCCTCCAAGTATTTATCGTGCGAAATTCCCTTGAAACAATACATTTTCAACTGCCACAAATGCAAGTATTATCCGCACCGCGCACTATGCCCATTAATAAGTTAATTTTGATATCGCTTCGGCAGCTTCCAGTGTTACGTTTAAGCCTCTAACCGATCTATTTATTATTTGTGTCGAATGTCGAATAATGATAACTCCAGCAATGGAATGAATCTTTACATACAAATATACAAAAACATTTACATAAATCTATGTATGTAGTTATACAAATTAAACAGAGGGAAAGCAAATCCTTACCAACGGTAAATCTCATGAAAATGCATTGAACAATTTTATGTAAAATGTTTTCTTAATATTAAACAAAAACAAACAAGATGTAACAATAAATTACGAATGAATGATTATGAGTGCTCGCAGCTTTTCAAGTGGCGTGCAGTTGAGACTGTCACTCACACTGCTTTTAAAGTTGCCTGCACAAAATTGTAGTTTAAAATGTAATAATAAAAATGTTGGCTAAAAATAATCAAAAGTTTTGTTTTAATTCTTGTGAAAGTAAGCTCGCAGTAAAATTCGATTGAGGAGCATATTTGGAGAGCTTTGGAATAAACATATCAATTTGATAGTCTTTATTGAAAAGATATACATATGTTTCCGTTTACATGTAAAGATACAAAGTTTCACTTAAACTAAGTGTAGTTTCGCTTATAATACATACTCTAGGTGTTAGCTTAGAATGAATTTAACCAACAAAACTCGCTTCGAGCACTAAGTAAACCATTCGGAAATAAAAACGGAGATAAAAAATAGAGAAAATGGTAATCACAATTAGTTTTGATTGCAAATCGATCTACTCTGTTACTGAAACTTATGAGAAAATATTCGGTACAGTATTAACAATTAAATGTAATAATTAACTTAAAACAGTGAAAGAAATGTTTTCGACAATTGTTTTGAGGTCGCTCGGCGAACATTTTCAAGTTAATTACAAATGTAAGGTCTAGATTCTAGCTTTCAGGTATTACAGAGTCAACCAGGTGGGGGACAGAGAGGTATGGGAAGGTAAACCTTGTCTAGGTTGGGGAAAAACGCGTAACACGCCCACTAATTAACACATGTCAACAGCCCTATTATTCTCTGAGTGAGTTTACTACACATTAATGTACTCGGTAACAGCTTTAGAAGATAATCATCCCCAAGGATATTATTTGAGCAAATTTCTACTTGTTTCTTTTTTTCTGGAATTCGAATCTAATACGGAAAAGTTATGTGGATTCAAGCGGGTTAAGAGATTTATAAATAAATTCCGCACTGAATCCGATTGAGAATGATTTACGAGAAGGTTTCATGGCGGAATGGTACCAATACTTTCGGTCTCACATTTAACTATGTGGTTGCATTGGGAATGATTGATAACCAAATTTAGTGCCTACATCAGATACTCTATTCAAATTGCAACGGCTATTCCCTCACTGAAAAGGCAGGAGGCTGTGTGCCGTCGTATTGAGCAAACCCAAGCGCTGCTTCTGCTTGCGCTGCTCCGTCATGTGGTCCTTGAGTTCGTGCAGCTGCGTGGACAGGTTCTTGATGAGCAGCTGGGTCTCCAGGAGCTGGGCCTGCATGCTGCGCAGCTCGATCTGCTCGCCATCCGCATCCACCGCCGCCAGGGACATGGCGCGTAGACGCGGGAACCACTCCAGGATGCCGGCCTTCACCATGGCATACACATAGCTCTCGGGACCAGTGAACTCAGTGGGATCCTTCACCTTGACCAGGACAATGAAGTACAGATAGTGCCACATGTTGTGCTCGCTCTTGATGTGCTCCTCGAAGCTAACCGTCTTGTTGTCGAAGGCCGATCGATTGAGGGAGCAGATGAAGCAGGTCGTCTTCAGGATGGCCTCCTTCTGCTGCTTCTCCGACCTCAGATCAGCGAACGTGTCGATGATGACACCGAAGATCAGGTTCAGAACAATAATGATAACGATAAAGAAGAACAGAAGATCGTAGATGACGCGAGCCACGAAAAGTCCCTCCTAAAGCAAAGTGAAAAATCAGTGGATGCTCGAGATTATTTAAGGTATATAGGTTACCTTGCTTGATGGTGCCCTTAGTATATCGCCGATGCCACCGCCATTGCGCAAACCCTGGTTCAATGTGGTGACTATGCACATGACAAGTGAGTCGCAGGATCTCTCCTTCACATCGCCACCTCCACTACCATTTGATGGTGGCGACACATCCTTCGCTGCCGTAGGGCAATTTCCCAGTTCATCCGGAGCGGCACATGAATCACCTGACGATAGTGGGACTGATAAGGTCAAAGGAAGAGGCGTAGGGGACCCATTTTCCTGCTCCTCGAAGTCCACGCTGACCAGAAAATCATCCTTGAAGAACATATAGCCAATGATGGAAAACAAGTAAACCAAGATCAGAGCCAGCACGGCGGTTAAAACGATAGAGCGTCCATTTCGCGTTACGGATCTGATGACATTAACCAGAGTCTCCTCTCGATAGACCACATCGAAGAGCTATAAGCGAATAAGTTAATAGGTAAGGTTAAGGGGTACTACAACAAGACTCACCAATAACGAGTAAAAGAACGGATGAAAGATCAGGCCACAGAAGCAAAATGCTATATAAATGCAGTGGTAGAGTAACTGGAAGTCCGTGATGATCTTAATTAACTGCTTTTCCAGAGTGCCTTTGTTGCCCATTATGCTCACTATGTGAACGCTTTTCAGGGTGACCTTTTTGGACAAAATTATATTAATGTAATTTTATATGAATTCTATGAAATTCGTACCGTAACAACTCCCAGTAAACAAAGTGTGGACTCTGGACCCAATAGGAAGATAAACCGGAGGATTACCGAGCCAATGAGCGTCCTAATGCCGGACTCTCGGGGCAGCGTTATTACAATGACCAATGAGAATATCATTATGATCCAGAACAGCAATGAAATGTGCGAGCTCAGCTCTGGAAGAGAGAGTTGAAGAGTAAGTAATCAAAAAAACAAAAAGTTTAAACATTCTTATACGCTTGAAAGGTATTGTAAATTTAGTCAGAAGCTTGAAGCGTAGTATAGAAGTCATTTCCGACCCTATAAAGCATATTCTTGATCGGCAGGAGAGTTTATATAGCCATGTCCGGTCGAACGACAATTTTTAAAAATTGTCAATTGAAAATCTTAGCTTAGCTATTTCCGATGCAATCCTATAAATCATTAGCAAACTACAAGAGTATATAAACTTCGGCTTCCCGAAGTTAGTTGCCTGTCTTTTTGCACTTAAAATGCAAATGACAAACACCATCATTATTACTCATTTCAACTCACCTGGTACAGTATTATCGAAGGGATAGAAGAAAGCCACAATCATATTGATAACGACCACACAATTAAAGAGTATATTGCTCCACAGGGACATATAGCTGCTGATCCAAAAGAGTAAAGGCTGACCTGAAAGTCGAATAAATAAATGCCTTTAGTACAATTTCCAATTAATGGGGAGTGTCCACATACTTCTTAGCTTCTTCTGCCATTTCATCTCGTTGAACATTTCCTCGGCCTTGTCAAAGAAGTCGGCTACCTTGGAGCCCTGATCATCCCGCTCGGCGGTGTTGAGGATTTTGATTTTGGTGTCCGTGGTCAGATACTCACAGATCTCTGGAATGGGGAACACAATCTGCTCCAGGGTGCGATCGTTGCGAACAATCTGGCAAGAAAAATGGTTTACGTTAAGGATATAGGATAACATGATATGAACTATATGTTACCTCAATCTGGGCCGTGTGCGTGGCGTAGTACATCAACGCCTGACTGGTCTTGGCATCGAAGCTCGCCGACTGTGGGTCCTCGGAGGCCTTTAGCAAGCCGGCCAGCTCCTTGTTGTGCTGGGCCAGCTGATGGCACAGGATGTAGATGTTGTGACCCACTTCCCGTGGACTCACAGTGGCATCATCATCATCCGAACCAGCATCCGGCTCATCACCATCATCCTGCTCATCAATTAGCTCCTCCTGATGGTAAGCCTTGCAGGCCACCTCCACCAGCTGCTTGGGATTCATGTTGTACAGGATGCGCTCCGCATTCTCGCTGTCACCACGGCTTTCCATTATGGCGAGGAGCAGCTTGGAGGCATTATTCTTCAGTTCCAAGACCAAGTCCATGCGGTTCTCACCCAGCGGGTTGATATTGTTTAGGATGAGCGCCGTGATGATGTCCAGTCCATTGGACTCGTGGGTAGCTATGCAGTTCTGATTTTCGTGGCACGGCCCCTGGCAGTACTCGGTGAGTGCCTCTAAGGTTTGGTTAATTAGGGCCACATTATGCTCATTGATGTACAGTCCTAGAAGGCCCAGTCCTCCTGTAGTCGATCCACAAATGCAGTCGAGGAACATCAGCGTCTCTGAGACGAGGTTGTTATTCGTCTTGTTGTTTTGGTTTCGCAGCAGGTTCTGCATGTCCGGATTGTGGTTCTCGCAGAGCAGCTGCAGGAACCGGAGGATGGGCTGCATAACCAGAACCTTGTTGGAGAGTTGATTGCGCTGTTCTTTGCTATCCTTGTGCTTCTCCAGCTTCTCGGCCAGGATGTCCTCCAGTGGATTGTTCACATTGATTGCGGAGCTCTCCTCGCCAGAGTGGATGTTTCGGGCGTTTCCGTAGGCTCTTGCAGTCGCCAGTCCGGCGTTATGTAGCTCCCGCTTTAGCTCCTCCGTGATCACCACTCCGTTGCTCTTCAGGCCATGCTTACGCGCTATCTTGTCCAGCTCCAGATTGGCGTCCTGTTTGTGCTCGTGGGCCTTGGCTGCAATGTCAGTTGTGTTCACCGTCACCGTTGACTTGATCTCCTGCTGGGCATCCTTCATCTTCTCAAAGAAGACCTTGAAGAAGGCCTGGTTGAGGTCGTCGCTAAGGAACTTCTGGAACATGCCCTTCTGGATGATGGGATTACCTCCTTCCAAGAGCGCAATTCCCAACTCCACGGCCTCTACGAAGATGTTGGGCGAGTGCACGGACTTAATGACCAGCTCCACCACCAGATCGGAGGCTCCCTCGCGGTCCAAATGATTCTGCATCTCGTGCAGGGTTTTTCCAGCTCGCTGAAGGTACTTAGCTCCCGGACCGTGTGTCACCAAATGGTGCTGTTTGGCGGATTCCGCTAGAGGAGCAGAGGCCAGTTGTGGCATTTCATCCTCCGGCAGCCTGTTGCTCTTGCTCTGGAAGTAGCGTAGCAGGAGTGTCTGGCGCAGAGCATCGCCCTTCTCCCCATAGTTTACATCAATAGCCATCATCTCGCGCAGCGTCCGCAACACCTTGACACACATGCGTTCCTCCTTCTCCTCCAGCAGCTTCTCGGTGTGCTTGATCAGCTTCCGGATGAAGCCGCCGCTCTCGCAGCGCTTCCGAGCCTCGGTTCCCGCGGGGAACAGAAGTTCCGAGCGGTACAGGATGTCCACAAGCAGCGATAGTTCCGCTTCCACTACAGGTTTCAGCTGATCTTCCAGCAGGGAGACTATGTCCTGCAGGCCTTCGATAATGGAACGATCCCAGCGCATCAGGCTGGCTGACTGCTGGGCCTCGTATTTGGGTTGCTTCGATGCTAGCAGCCACTTCGTCGTCTGGCGCGTCAGCATGGCCGTCTTGCTGGACATGGTGGCCACCTGCTGCTCCAGCTCCGGCGGTAAGGCAATGCTGCGCATCTTGGCCGAGTCGGTCAGCGTGCGGATGCAGTTCTCCACGTTGAAGCGATCCGCTAGGGACAGCCACCGGCATTGGGTTAGCCGGTGGGCAGCCTGGAGCAGCTGCACGAAGATCAGCTGGCGGGACTGCACGATGGCACTCTGGTCCGAGAAGGGACTAGAGAAAAAGCTGCACAGGAGATTGGTAACTCCGTTGAGGACATACGCCTGCAGGGTTTTGTTGCTGGCGGCAGCAGCATTGGAAATGAGCTGGTTGATGTCTACCAGGAAGCTCTTCTCGAACAGGCTCCACATGTGGCCCGAGGAGTAGATCTCCTTCATCTCCACCTCTGTGTCGATGTAGCAGTGGTTGAGAAAGTCTACATAAGCCTCCTTCACCTCCGGCATGCACAGCGGGTGACAAATTATGGTCACTATGTCGTCCAGCGACAGCAGATTGTTGCACTTGATCTCCGTATAGACATTCTTGCCCATGGTGCAGCAGGCCAGGAGACGGACCAGCTCGACGTGGTACTTCAGCGGACTGTCGTCGCTGAGTTTCTCCAGGCGGAGCAACTGCTGTTGCTGCATCATCTGCACAAAGTGGTTGAACGAGCCCTTGTCGTTGTAGAAGACCAGCACATCCTCGCCGGCGTTGATCAGTTCCTGCATCACCATGTCCTGGCAGCGGCGGATGAACTGGTTCTCAGCCCGCACAATCGTCTGGAGGAACTGAAGATAGGCCACATGCCGGCCATGGATCTCAATGCAGTGCACGAAATGTTGCACCACCTTGTCCGTCACCTCGTTGCACAGTGCCAGGTTATCCTTGAATATGGCGCATACTGTCTTGGCCTCCAGGATCTGGAAAGTAAATATTGTTTTATTAGTTAATGAAACTGAAGAAAATGGGACAGAGGAATGTTTCAAGCATTCTTTGGCTTAAGTTATTTGCATTTTGTTTTTATTTTTTCAAATGCTATTAATTAATGATAAATAAAGTTTATATTTGATAGCCAAACATATCTAAGAGTATGCACTAAAATAACATGCAGATCTTTATATACCCTTGCAGGGTAGAAGCAAGCTTGTACCGTATTGAAGGAATTGTTTCCGACCCTATAAATCATATATATTCTTGATCAGTTTCAACAGGGGAATCGATCTAACCATATTGGAACGAAAAATAAATTTTCGGAATTTTTTCAAAAATTAAAAATTTTATAAGGGGTTACATCGTTAAAATTGTCAAAATTTGACAAAAATTTTAATTTTCTTAAACTCAAAAGTAAGTATGCAGATTCATTAACCTAATAAAAACAGAAATGGTATCCGAATTAAAATTAATGCATTTTTAGCTTAGTTATGAGTATTTTAAACATGGATTTGGTATATAAAAACATTGATACAAATAATGTGAATGGTCTAAGCTTAGTTATGATCGATTTCCGATTAAGTACTACAATTCAAGTACAAGCTGCAAAGGTTTATAAACTTTCCAAAGTTAGTTTCCTTTCTTTATTCTAACATCCATTATGTCAGGGCTAGCATAATTTATTTTAACATTTTATCAAAATGAATTTAAACATTTAACCTTTCTCCAGGCAACAGCTATGGCATTTAAAACAGTTCTTTTTCCAGACTGTTTAACAAATATTATTTAGATAATTATGTAGAAAAAAGTAGTTGAAGACAAACATAAAAGTAAATTACTTACACCCGGGTTCAGGAACAAATCGAGATGGTTGTGCAGCAGAGCCTGATTTTGCTGATTGCCAAGGCAAAAGTTCTGCAGGAACTCGTGGGCCAGACACATTAGCTCCTTCATCAGCTCGTCGTCCTTCTCGTCATAGGGATTCTGAAGGAGATCGAGGACGACCGTGTGTACACCGACATTCCGAAGGAGTCGCTGCTCGTGCTTTCGCGGCTTGACCACAGATCCCGGACCGGAGGAGGCCACGCAGAACTTGTTCATACGTATGAGTATTTCCTTAACCTTGCGATACTCGTTCCGTTGATCCTGCGACAATGCTGCATTGTACTCCACGTTGATAGCATCTCCGCCAGCATCCAGTTCATCGGTAGCCTTCGCCTTGTACACCCACAACTCCGACTTCTCAACGCTTTGGCGGAGTATGTCCAGGTCGGATTTGATCTGCTTGTACGATTCCACGTCGCTGTCCGACACCAGAAGTTGAACCTGAAAACCGAGATGGATAGAGAATAATGCTCTTGAGTTGTGGATTGTCTGGAGACCAGTGGTCACTTTCAAAATCATGGGTACATACAAAATCAAAAGATCGGTCGGTGTAAGTCCACTTTGTTAGTTGTGATTTTTTAAACTATTACATGAGTTCAATAGCGTGATTATACGATTATATATATTAGTATATATGGTATCGGATTAGTAAGGTCGAGTCTCGATTAAGAGAGAGATATAGAGAGTTAGCGCATGCAAACACAAAAGAGAAGATGAGCATTAGATCAATCAATCAATCAATTATTGAGTTAGTTGTAAGAAAGCTATATAGGCAGGGCTGCCACAGAAATCGGTATTATTTAATGATATTAATGCACATAAAGTATAATGTAATAATATATTTTGGGCCTTAAATTCACTGGTAATTTAACTCTATAATAGAACCAACATTTGGTAGAATAATTTTAGCCGAATTCTGTGGCATCCTTGACTTTATAAATATGATATGCACGGCCTGCCGCAGTCAGAAATTTATGGTTAAATAAGTTTAGTTTACTTTGACATTAAAATAACAATTTAAAACGATCTTGAAAGCACTTCTGTTCTTTAAATTATGGATATCAAATACTATTATTTTGGGGAACTACATTTCTGTTCTAAAACCATTCTTTCATTTAAATATTTTATGCAATCAATGAATATTCTTTATATTAGAATCCCTTGGATAATACAAATGAGAGTAAATGCAATTTTAATTAATTTACTTCAACTATAACGTGCAATAACTAAATGATTATATAAAACAATATCTAAATTATTTGTTAAACATATTTGTGATTATTTTTCAGGACCTCACAATTAATTCTACTGCAAACCGTTCCCAAAGCTTCAAACCAATTAATGGTGCTGCAACCTACCTGTCGAAAGGCCTGGAGAACCTCTTGCCGTTGGCTGAAGTGTCGGAATAGCAGATGCAGGGCACCAGAGACTAGGGGCGCATAGTCGTGCATGATCAGGTGGAGCAGGACGCGCAGGAAGGTACGTCCGCCTTGGCCATCCAAGTCCAGGTTAGCTGCATCGCTGCGCTCGCAGTCGAAGATGCCCTCCGCCTGCACCCCGATCGACTCCAGATCGATGTTCTTCTGACGCGCAGCTGCAGCGGCGGCAGCTGCAGCTGCAGCTGCCATGGACTCGGCGGTGGCCAGAGGATCACTCTCGCTGGCGCTACCCGGAGTCTGTGGCTGCTGCTGTTGCTGCTGGGACGGTGGCTGACCCGCCTCATTGCTGGTGGCGGAGGTGGCCACCTCGGACTCATCGAATTCCCGTTTGAATATGGAGAGCAGACAGCTGATCCTATAGTCCAAGCGCACGTCCAAGATAAACTGAAGTATCTCGATTATTTTGAGCTTGGTGTCCATCACCAGAGGATACTCCTTCATTAGCTGGGACACAGACTTGCGCTGCTGCAGAGCGATGCTGGGTGCAGCTATGGCCTGGCCCACTGATCCTAGCGCCAGTGATGTCATCACTGTATTGATGTCACCAATTGAGCGCAGTACTCCGCCTTCGGCTGAAAATATATTTTTACAATTTAATATATGTCCTTCAAGTGGAATTCATTTTATTTATAGGGATTAAGGAATTATTTAAAGCTTCTGGATATATTATTAGACTGTTTACCATTCTTACCCTCGGTGCTTGTTTCCTCTTCGACAGCTTGTCAAGGATATAGCAAGGGTCTCAATAAGTTAATTCTTTCTATATTTCATAAATATATCTAGAGTACTTACAATCAATGTCCGTGCTGGCGAAGGCTCCCGAAGAGGTGTCGGAGACACAATCAAGGATTGATAGTAGCGTCTTGGTGAGTCTTAAAAGATCACTAAAGCTGTAGAAGCCGAAGTAGATCAAGTCTCTGGCCAGTTTCACAACCTGAAATAAGATGTTACTTGCTGGTTATCTTCTAGACAGATATCCATCCATGGGGCTTACTTCAAAGGTGAGTTTGTTTTGCTCCTGATCAGTGAATAGCCAAACCTTAGTGGCCACATTGCACAAGTAGTTCTCCACAAAGGCGATGGTTGTGTTAAACTTGGCCCTGCATGCCTGCTTGTTCTGGTCGGGCTGCTGGTTCTTGCCATCATAGCTAAAGAGTAAGAGAGTTAGTTATGCATACTAAGCGCTCTTTCACATCAATACTTACTCCATGATGGACATCTTTGAGGGTATCTCGCTCCAGAGGCGGGCATACTTCACAGGTGTGACCGGTTCCTGTGGATCTCGGTCCACGTGCAGGTGCAACATCAGACGACAGAATGAGGCTCGCAGCTCGTAAGGCATCGTTTCATCCGACATGCATCTGGAAATAGAATAATCTAGATTATAGGAGATACCTGTATTCATCTGGTTAAAGAATTACTTCAGAATTAAATCAATGTCCAGACGAGGCGAGAGTTCGTTCAGTGCCAGGTACTGTCGGTTGAGGCACATGTTGGAGAACAAGTTCAACTGGTGGCGATAGTAGTTCAGTATGGCGGCCTCCTGCTCGTTGCCATCGGCCACGGAGTTGGCCAAATCAGCCATGGAGCGTGAAGTCTAAAAGTTTTAAAGCACAAGTAAAAATATTGTCTTATCAAGTTCCAGAATCTATCACTTACCGGCTGTCCCGTCCACTTGAGGTGAATTTCGTACCTATCCCCAGACGAAAGGCTGCCATCGTCGTCGGTGAGACTGGCACTGTCCCAAGTGGTTGTCGTGGACGTAGACTGCACATCCGATCGATCCTCGTCATCGCCGGCCACCTCGGCAAGAGTGGCAAGACAAACGTCCTCGGTGGTGCCCTTGTAGCAGCGTGCAGCGGCGGCACCGTTCTTTAGAGCCTTCACCTGCGTCTCGATCAGGATGTCCTTATTCTTGTCACTCAACACGCTCTTGCAGATCAGCTCCTGGGTAACGGCAATAGCCTTACGGTTGGACACGCACAGGTCCGAAAGATAGTCCAGGAATCTCGAGTCCCAATTGTGCATATTCTTGCGCACCAGGCCAACGAAGGTCTCAATCTCAGCGGCTGTGATGTGCTTCTCCAGCAGCTTCCGGTTGTTGTGGAGCAGCGCCGTGATGGTATCCTCCGCTAGGATGTCGTAACCGATCTGCTTCTGCATGAGGCCAAAGTGCTTGGCGATGTACTCCTGATTCTTGCGGTAGTCCTGCTGCGACAGGCGCAGGATGCGATAGCACAGACGGAAGATATTCTTGTACGGGCTATTCTTGGGATCGCTGAGCTCATCCAGCCGTAGAAAGGGTCCGTCGCCGGCCGTGTGCTCCTGGAAAGGTCCCTGCAGGATCTTGAACAGCTGGTTGAGAATGTACTGTTCGCGGAGCAGCTTCTGTCGATCTCTGATGGGGTTCTTAATGGTGAACTCCAGAGCCTTTGTCTTGTTCTGCTCGTTCTCCATCCCAGCTATGAAGTACACTATGTCCTGGAGCAGTGAGATCAGCGCCCTCCGCTCGTTTATGGAGATGCTGCCATTGCCCAGCTTTCCGGTCACAGTGGCCAACACCTTGCAGGCATCGTTGGCAAAATCCAAGTCGCGCACCTCCACAGGAGAGACGGGAATCAGTGCGAAGGCCTCCTTGTCTTCCTTGATGGGAGAGCAACAGACCATCGACATCACGGGCTTGTCATCGTCAGCGTCAATCGGTATTGACGTGGCGTGCACCCACGTGTTGGAGCAGATGTGCTGCAGCCTCACGTAGCTCGACTGGGGAACCAAACTGTCCGGACGTGCCATCGTGGTGGCATCCAGTACGAACACAGAGGCTATGTCCGCCGAGTATGGAACTGATACCAGGCGATACTGCTTGCCCTTGGGTTTATCTGTAATACAAAGAGGATAATAGTTGTGAATATGACTAGGAACTTTCACATATTTGTGGCTTAATCTTACCATTCAGGGTAGAGTTCATGGTGGAACAGCCTATGCCCGAGTCCTTGCTGCAGTCCGCCAGTAGAGGCTCGTGACCGGATGTGGATGCCGCGCCAATTGCTCCAGCCAACACATCCGCTTCCGCTTCTGCTGCCAAGTAGTGACCCGTCGCCAGGTGCTTAAAGCGATACAGGGAGTTCCAGTCGCCAGCTCCGCCGCGACATGAGTCGTGCTGCACTACCTCGATCTCCCAGAGCGCCTTGCTGCTGGTGGCCGCAGTGGCACTGGTCCGTCCTGTTGTGCGCAAAAAGACGTGGTACTGCTTCTTGTACTCGTCCATGGTGAGGAACTTCTCCTGCTCGGCGTGAAACAGGCGCACCACGTCGCCGCCCTTAAGGATGTGCTCTTGATTTTCCTTGTGTTCCATAAACAGTGAGATCTTCCACGAGGTGGACGAGTTGAGGACATTAACTTCCTTACAGCCAGGATTGTCGGGCAGCTCGTAATTAGCCGCCACATGGAGATTCTGCTGGTCGGCATTCACCGGACTGAGGATCACTTTGTCGCCCACTACCACATAGTCCCCGATGGAACGTAGTTTGTAGAAGGGCTTGATGTAGAACCAGGAACCCTCGTTACCATTGGCGTCCAGATAGACTCGCATCGCATTCTTCTCCAGCAGCGACGGCAGCCGCTTGTTGACCGTCAGGTACTTGTTGGACTTCAAGTGGAGCAACTGCACCACCGCCCTTCCATATTGGATCGAAGTGCCTAGCAGCTTCTTGTTTTCCGTCTCATTCTGTTTCTTCTCGATCTCTGCAGCGTGCTGGGAAAATGAGAAAAGGAAAATATGTTCATCAGGTGTTGCACACAAGGGTTTTAATCACAAATCTGGGTATGTAACAAGTCTCTCCGGTTATATAGCTGTACCTACATGTAATCGCTTGAGAAGATTAGGATCCGTATTTGAGCCGGCCGATTGTTTAGCTGCTTTCCAAAATTGCTTTTGCGCGGAATAGCGATTCATAGGACATATTTTTATGAGGCAGTCTGCAAGCAGAGTAAGTATTCAGTAGAAAAATAAGTCCTAAACAATCACATCATATTTATTACCTCTAAACTTTTTGGGAGGACAACTCAAGTCTCCCGCCTCGGGGCACACCACTGTCCGATCATCGACCAGGCTGTCGGAAGAAATCAAGGGATTACCTTAGTATTCTCTGAGCCACAGGTGGATGCCGGGGATCCGGCTAATCCCCCGGGCCATCGGCTCGTTTGAATCTCATTCAGTCCGGACAATAGCACTTACCCGAGAGTGCTCAAGAAGCCGCAAACACTGCCCTCTGCGTACAGGGACACAATGTCGCCCAAGTGCAGGAAGCTCGCCGAGCCAATTATATTGTCGCCCATGTCTGTAGCCTTCCTTGGACTGGGCTTTGGGGCGAGAACTCAACGGGGATGTGGCTGTGGCGTCGAGTGGGTGTGGAGTGGCTGCCACCGGGTGGCGCAACAATGGGCCACCGCCCGCTGCTCCTCACGGGGCTGCTCCTGTTGCGTCGTTGCGCTGGGAGCTATTGTTTAGCTGTTTGGCTGGCGCAGTCGGTTACGCGAGTTAATTGCAATGATTTGTCGTCCTCGTTATGTCCTGCGGGGTTAAACAAAGGGAGAACATACATCATGAGTTTGCTTTACATGCCTCGGGGGCACATTAAGCAGGCTTCTTAGAATTGTTCTTAAGTTGTGGAAAAGACAAATCATTTTAAGGTACAATGCTGGGAATGTTCTGTAAACAGTCCGTTGATTTTGTTTCCCCTGTGATATTTTTATCAAGAAATGTTGTTATAATCAGTAAAATTGTATGTCTAATAATATTTATTTATATGTCAACCGACTACACCTCGAATAACTAAAAGAAAAATTATAATTGTGTCAATTTATGGCACCTTCCGTAGCCCCTAAGAAATAATACACGCTTTTATCTGGCTCTTAATGTTGTATAAGCTTATCACGGGTAAATATTTAACTCAGTCAAATATTTACAAAAGATAAATCAGACATTTTATCTATATACTTCTGACAATCTAAGAGCACGATTAAAGTCTCTGCTGTTTTGACAAGCATTAAGGAATTTAAAAAAGGTTCTTCTAAAATATCATTTTCTGATTTTTGTAAGATTACAGACATTACTTCCCTTAACTTATAGATTTTTGTTGTCTCAGTTTTATTGTAATTGCTTTCACCCAGTTTTCATTTGGTTATAACCATATTTTCAGATAGCCGTCAGCAGCAGGGGAACGCGTTGGGGAGCATTTCAGTTTTTCTTTTTCCTGTCTGGCTTAGCGAGTTATAAAGTATTCATGGACAATTTGTCGACCAACCCCACATTACTCTGCATGACAGGGGCTCAGTTGCTCCCATTACTTTCCACCCTCGCCTTGGGACAATCCGGCGTATACTTAATATTCTCACCCCTTAGCGGGATATGTAGCAAGTCGCCTGCATAATGCTTCCAATAAACATTTCTCGTTGGTGTCTGGCTGCAAACTGAAAGTTGTCACTCCTAACGATTTCTGTAGTCTGTATCTTCTCTGCTTTTATGATTTCTTTTTGTATTGTCTAACTAACTTTGCGAAGCCGATGCTTCTATACCCTTTCAGTTTGCAATTGGATAACGAGATTGATTGCGAAATTGATCATAAATAATCTTCATATACCTGCAAAAAACCTTACTTATCTGTATTTTTGGGACATTAAATCGATATTTGAATATGCCAATTTTATGGGTAAATTCCAGTTTTATAATTATCATAACTATGTTAAAATTAATTAATTTCAAATCGGAATCCAAATCTGTGCTAGTTATTAAAAGGTTAACAAATCTGTATATTAAGTTTTTAAATTTAAGGAATTAAATTTTTTCTAAAATTTTGAGAATTTTAACGATTGTAACCCCTTCAAAAAATATTGAAAATTTATTTTTCATCCGAATAGAGCTAGATAGATTCCCCTGTTGATGCTGATTAAGAATATATATGATTTATTGGGTTGGAAATTACTCCTTCACTTCGTTTCAAGATTTTGATTAAAATTAAAATACCCTTGCAAGGGTATAAACATACATTTCCATATTGTATGGAATGATGGAAGCAGGAAAATGTTTTCATTGTTGAAGAACCTCTCATGGCACGGTGCCACAAAAGTTTGCATATGGATTTTAGTTTGAAGGATTCCAGAAAGTTGTTTAAAGTTCCCAGTCAATGTCAGAAAATTTTTTGCATAAAGTTTGTGGTTTGAATAAAACTTGTTGTTTTGTTTATTTGACTGAAAACTGAATGAATAGAAATTCTTTGGCTGCAACATTTAATACCTGACCCTTAAAACTTGTTCAATAAGGTTTCACAATTATTAAATACTATAGCTTTATAAAATATCTGCATATAAATAATATAAAAAGTACTCTCCGACTAATAAGATTTCAATGTTCATTAAAAGTGAAATCATTGTCAGATTGAAATTTATGCAAATGGCACGCCAGTATTTTTGTCTATTTATTTATTTAATTATTTTGGCCCGCCAAATCTTATTATTTCGAATGATCCGTATGAGTGAGTTATTTATGTGCAATTTGTTATTATTTCAACGTATTTGTTCATGGTGATTAGTGGCTGCTTAAGGCGAGGCATCATGGGCATACTAATGAGCGGCCACCCCCCAAAAGAAATCCGAATAACCGAAAAAGAGGAGAGCTTTGGTGGCATTTACAGTCGCCAGATGTGATGTAGGCTCAATTGATGTATGGCTCCAGTTAATCAGGTTGATTGACAATAAGGAAATGCTTTCCGCTCTCCTGTCAAACTCCACTGATTAGCCTAAGACCCAGAGGATTCTGGGAAAAGCAGAGGAAATGAGAAATTCATAATTTCTCTCTAGGCAAAAGCCACTTTGTGGGAGGAGATGGGTGGTTGGGAATTCAACGAAATCCGGCTCAGCAGGGCGGGGTGGCGAAAAGCCTGGCTGCTGCTCAAATATGTTCATCTTGTTGGCGGGTGAGTGAAGGCAGGAAACGCGGAGCTTGTCGCCCCGACAAGGGCCATGGAATTCCAAAGGCATCCTGGCAGCTGTGGCATCCATCCGGCCATCCAACCTGTAACCATTCAATTCGAATTGGGGGCGTTCTGCTGTGTCTACGTTTTTCTTTTCCGGACGACGATTAAATCTGTTTATTTTTATTTTATCACAATAAAGGGCGGCGGGGCCAGGTGGCGAGTGGCCTAATCTCAGCCACCACCTGCTGTTAGACAATTAAAACGAAATTTATTCGAATATAAATTGGGCTAACAAGCGTTTCAATCAAATTACGCGGTCGAAGCACAATAATCCAGCCATTTCCTCCAAACAAAACCGCACACAACGGATACACACACATGGCCTCTAGAATCTCGGAGTGGTAGCTCAGATATTTGCCTATTTTTTGCTTCTTGTTTCACTTTTTTCGTTTTTGTTGTTCGTTTTTCGGTTTATTGTGGCGGAAGCTGGCATTGCCAGCGCCTCACGAAGCCTTCCCTGGGATCTGCTTCAGCCTCAGCCTTTCCAGGTGTACATTTTCATCCCAATGGAGCAAACACTTACACACACACACACTGGGATTCCCACTCGTATTCGTGTTCCAAATAATATTTGGGCGTTTTGTAAACACACAAAATATCATTGAACGCGGCCGCGGGACTTTAATAAATAACAATCTCCGATGAATAATAACTGTGGGAATTTGTGGGCAGCTCTTTGAAGTCCAGTTCTGGTCTCGGTTGCCGTGGCCCGACGGAGGAAAACCGAGGCGGTCTGCAAGCACCGAGCGCTCCAGTGAAAATGTTGGCCAAAGTTCGCCGTAATCGGCCCAGAAAGCTAAGGCGCTGAGCTTGCGGAAGCTTTTCCGCTTTTCCGCTTTTCCGCCCGACCTTTGAGTGGAATCCGATGCACTTTTCACTCAAGGCACCCTCAGCGACTCTTTCCATTCATGGCACAGTTCTTTCCGCATGCTTTACGCATCAGCGCTACGAATTAGCCGGGTTAGTGTGTTAAAGTTGGCAGCGAGAGGACATTAGTCAAAACTGAGTGCATCTGCATGTGGCTTTCGGGCCGAGCATCATGTGCAGATTTGATTTCACTTTTCACATCTTCTCGGGTCCTCGGCTTAATGCGATTTCCCACGCCGGGTCAAGGTCGACGGTGCGACTTGTGCACCCACCCAGCTGCACTGTGAGTGTGCCGTGTCCTCCCCTTATGCCCCTCCGCTCGATAAGCCTTTGTGCGGAGCGATGAATGGGAAAAGTCTTTGAGAATTCGTCTTAGCCAGATTAGTTTGGCTTGGCAGTCAAGTGATTTGTTTCGGTAGAATGAATAAATTAAGGGAATGAATTATATACGACAGATGTGTGCAGATGCGAGAGAGTATTTAAGAAAGTTTTGCAGTAGTTTCAAATTATAAATGGAAAGTCTTGTAGTATAAAAGAAGAATACTTTAAATTTTACTTTCAATGCAAATTAATTAATATAATAATAATAAACAAAGCTTAAATGAATTCAATATCTAAGAGCAGAAAGAAGCTAGTGATATTTAAAGTGTAAGTATTAGGCCAAGTGCTAAATCACTAAGAAAAGTATACATTAAATAAGTCAAATGAGTCATAAAGAAGCTACTTAACAACTCTTGATTTGTTGAACATTTCTGTAGAATTTCGAAATATTCTTGTTTTCTGTAACCTTTTAATTTGCTTACATTTTGGTTTCTTTGTTTACGATAAATACCTGATGCAATGTAAACAAAAAAGAATTTCTACAATAGTAATTTCTATTGTTTTCGTAATTGCTTAAAATTTGTTTCACAAATTACGGATTCGAGACAACAAACATAATCAATGCCTATTAAATAAACACAATAAGAGCAAAAAATATTTAGTTATAATAACATTAATAATAATACGCTTGGAGGGTATAATAATTTTAATCAGAAGGCTGAAACGCAGTAAAGGAGTCGTTTCCGACCCTATAAATCATATATATTCTTGATCAGCATCAACAGGGGAATTGATCTAACCATATCCGGTCGAAAAAAAAAATTTCGGAATTTTTTTTTCGAAAATTCAAAATTTTATAAGGGGTTACATCGTTAAAATTGTCAAAATTAGGCAAAAATGTAATTCTTTAAATTTAAAAACGCAGTATGCAGATTTTTTAACCATTTAAAAACAAGCACCGAATTGAAATTAATGTGTTTTTGGCTTAGCAACTAAAAATATACCTAGAAGATACATATTTTAGGGTTTTCTTGAAGTATACGAAAAGCAAATGTTTGGTCGAAAAAATAATAAAACATTGAAATAATGCAATAAAGGTTACAATAAATTGTATCATATTTGTATTACTATTTAAGATCTTTAAAGGAAATAGGATAAAGTTAAATTACAAAATAATATTTTTTTTTTAAGCCTTGACTCCTTAACTGACCTATCCCACAGTCGGCACAGTGTAATGCCTTGTTATTTCACTGTCACATGACTCTTCAGGGGATTAATGTTTGCAAATACCGCTATCGGCCTGTCAGAAGCGACGTATTTACTTAGTGAAGCGATTATCGATTGCTTAAAA